TTCTCAAATTTTACTCATGGCTTGACTATGAAATCTGTCATAAATATGTAGAGTATGAAATTTACTATTATTCAATTTACCTAAATGCAATACCCTCTCAAATTCAAATAAAAAATTATCAACTTACATGGATAAATGTGTATGTTATTTTTGTCCCTACTCCCTAGTCCCTATGACTTGTGTTTCTATCTAGTGTTTACGGTAGATAACACTTCAAGAGGCAGAGATGTGATTTGTTTAAAATTAGTGAATTTGAGAAAGATAACTCAAGCGCCATCTCAATGTCGATGGAGTAGTAAATGCAATAGAAAAGTCATTAATAATAAAATTTCTATCAAGGTAATTTTCATAAAACATACAAAAAGCGGATAATAAATGAATAATGATCAATGTTAATGTGAAACGATTTTAATAGAATGCCGCAGTGGTAGAAGATTGAATGGTCGCATAAGCTAACCACAGCTAGTTTAACAGTTATCATCACTTATCCCGGTCTTCGACCTTCGCGGTAGTTTCATCATCGCATGTCATAGCAAACCCTACATTGTCATATAAATCAGATTTATGTAATAAATAATTAATGCCATCGATGTTTACAAATTATATGGTTTTTTTTTTTAAATTATTACATTTTTTGTTGCTCAAGAAAAAAGGCGATAATCTAGTGACGATGAAAGGTGATATCATATTTTCTGTGTTTTTTTTTTAAGAATTCACAAAACATTTCAGACGCTATTGATTCCATTATTCACCATAAAATCGCCGTTCGGTTGAGTTGTATCGCGTAAACCGTATCTTTCTCGCATTTATCACATAGCTATTGTAGAGTATGCTCACATCAATGCTATGCCGACAAGGTCAAAATCCTTTTACCTCTCGAGATCTACAGCGTACCTGACTTTGTGCATCAGTTAGTCAATACTCCTTCTATAAGCATACACTGCGAGTAACAAAGCACACGGCTGTTAATTCCTCAAGTACATAACATAATAATAAAATGTATAATACACACTTGAAGTAATTGAGTGATAAACACGCACGATACATTTGACAATGAGCTTCAGTTGCTATTAGGAATAGAAACTTTTTTATAATTTTATAAAGGCAAGTTTGCTGATTATTCCTATCTATCAAAAAACAATATCACATTGTATTTGCAATTAGTGTTACTTGTATAATATATTTAAACTTGAAATTATATTTGTATGTATTATGTACGGTATCCCTACATCGTACATTTATACACACCTATATATTATTATAAAGTTTTCTCATCCGTTTAATAACAACCTGCCATTATAACATTTTTTCGTACGGTAATTTCAATAACGTTGAGGTCAATAAAACCGCACAAACAATTAGTACAGTTCGTTTAATCGACTTAAAGGCAAAACAGTTATCTGTAATGTGTGTATGTATTTAGCATTAATAAACTTCAGAGTACACATTGGTAATATTCATTGAGTACCTCTATGAAATAGCAAAACTAATATAATAACAATAATTTACAATGTGCATTAAATTATATTTTTAATGTCTATACTACTTTGTCAACATTGTTACACATTACAGATATCTACATACGTAGAGCATAGAAAAATCAGGCAAGTTTTCTCAGTAAACAATGTTTTAACAACAATTAAGTTTATAAATATCAGGCGTGGATTCAGGATGTCTGATTGGGGGGGGGGGGGCATCAAATAATATCAATGTTAATTTTTTTTAAATCAGGATAATTATGATTGAGACGAAGTTTACCTCGAAATTATTTATTTAAGTAGACCAAAATTGAAAATATTACGTGCTTGGTGTCCTAAATGATCCATATTTTTCATTTCATTTTAGTTCCAAAAAGTAAACTTCAATAAATATTTAAAATTTTTATTGTAATAAATAAACAAAAACAAATTTTAAATAGAATTGACCGAAAACCAATATCATTTTTACAAAATATATAAAATATAGAAATATGTAATAAGAATAATTAAATGTTTTTCTCGTGCAAGTTTTAATATTATCCTATAGAAGATGAAGTTAAATATATTATTATTATATACGTATACCTATAATAATTTTCACCAGCCTCTTTTTTTTTAGATTTGGGGAGGGGGCATTGCTCCCCCTTGTATCCGTGCTTGACAAATATATGGACTTAATTTATTATGCAATAATGTGAGTTGTAAGTAAATAGGTGTTGTACACGGGTTTATTTTTCAGGTGGGATGGGTTTATTCGTGCGGAATATTTCAACGAGTACTTTTGGCGAAGAATTTATATTTACTGTATTTTATCCCGCAAAGTCATTACAGCGTACTATATTGTATTATTACATTTTTAAACAAACGACATAGTTTTGATTGTCATTCAATTTTTTTCGAACTACGCAAATCTGGAGTCGAGTACTACGTTTCCATGTATCAAATAACTCGACTGGCCCCTGTGATATTCAGAGTAGTTCAAATTGAATTTTAAATATTTGAAGTATAAATTTTGATTGGCAGACACTGTAATCATTAATAACATTTTTTTTTAAGTATCGTCCTTTAACCAGAAATTTAGAAAATACGGTTTATTTTCAAAATTAAATTAAATTTTGATTTCTTGAGATGTCACTAGGCTTCAGGAACATACTGTATACCTATAAATGAAGTACGCGGGGCTGGTAAACCAAACGCGGAAAACAAGAGGCAACGAATATAAAAGCGTTTAGTTGCGCATCAAGCGGATTGATGAACCCACGACTCATGTTGTCCACTGCCCGCGATAACTGTACTCGGCGGCGTCCGTTATACCACAGAGTCGGTGGTACTTGCGGCGGCCACAGCGATAGAGCGCGAGCGGAACGATGGCCTTACGACAGTAGCCGTAGTGCGATCGATGGCTAACGGATGCAACGCGAAGCTATAAGAGAGCCAGCATCATCCATCGACTCGTTGCGGGCACCACGACCTGACCGAGTGGTGGGCGGCAACTGGGAAGTCGCCGGCCGGGCCAGGAATTGAAGATTTACCGGTAACAACAATGATATTAATTATTATTGTGAATGACCGAACAGCGCACAGCCTTGTCCCGGTACCGACCAGTCGCGTGTCTCTATGTGTCTATTATTGCGCGGACGCTGCGCTGGCGTACAATTTTTGTTCAACCGCCGACACAGGCACGGACGCTATGAGTAGATTTTCCGAGTTTTTTTCCGGTGCGTACAAGAGAAGAGAGAGCGATGACGGGTGGCCATTTATGTTTCTTCCGGAATTCTGCGTTCACCATAGAGTACAGAGAATCAGGAATTTCGGGGGTTATTGACCCGCCAGCCGATTTCGGAAAATTTTTATTGATAACAAATGAAAACCATAGCTGTTAACGAGAACACGGAAGTCTGCGACGACACCCGTCAGTCGTTGGCAATCGTCGAAACCTTATTATCAGATATTCGTACACGTGGACCTACCTATTTACGCTTTCGGGTTTGGTGACTTTTAAGTCCTTTTATCCTTTGTCCTTTCATCACTGCACACACACACACACACAAATTTACAGTTTTGGTGTTAAAATAAAACGATGTTTATGACAATAAACGGTTGTTGGAGAGAGGGGGGGGGGTTTCGTTTAAAAAACAATCAAACTTTTTTTTTTTGAAACCTTATAGTATATTGTGAGTCGTCTTGACAAGCTTACTTTTCTCAATGTAAAACAACAAAACAATACCTTTCAATCGGTCTAGACAACACGCGGTCTAAGTCTATGTTAGGCATTGGAGTAACGACCGAAAAATCGGGTTGAACGAACCAACTGCAAATGAATAGACAAGCCTACGCGCGCGCTTATAGTTTCTTCTTTTAACACGGTTGTTAACGGTTTCCGTAAACACCGTTTAACCTGAATTAACCTTAAAACGCACGCTTGCACATTACTCTAGACGTTATTCAACAATACGCCGTTTCTTCAATACATCAAGTACTTGGAATAATAATTTTAAACGCAACTGTTTTAAAAAACAAACAGTAAACGTGCCATTACTTGATTATTTCCCTTGATTTTGCATTTGAAAACTAAATCACTGTCAACATGATAGATAAGAAAATCACTTAGGTGACAATTCACAACGTTTTTACCTATGTACATTTTTATTATAAAATAGTTTCGTCGCTACTACTTTTATTTTGATACAGTGCAAGTTAAGATTAATTGAAAATGCTCCATTAAAATTTTAACTATCGCAATTATCTTAATTTATTACGATTATGACAACATATATTACCGACCAATATAAACTGTAGAATAATATTAAAACAATTAAATTACAATAATTTTTGATATTAAATCATAATACGATATATCATATGTCGGTAAAATAATATGCCATAGCTGTTTATAACTAAAACACCAGAAAAATACGTTGGTTTGTCTTTTAAGCCCCTACTTAGGTCCACTATAAAAAGATTTCGTTGGCAATACATTATTGACACAAAAATATAATGTAAATTCCCATTATTTTTAATAGTATATTATGTGAAACAGTGCCGTCAAAGTTGAAACCTTCTTCAGAGTATTAACTTGTGACGGACACAAAATTTAAATATACAGTTTTACCTCCCATACTATAAGTAACCTCTTACCACAGGACATTTCCATACACAATTTTAATTTTTTAATTTTATTATTCAAAAAATATATATTAAGTCTTAACTCACATAGTTACATCTGACCGAATATAGCCCACTTACTCAGTCGAAATACTTGGGTAATTCAGGTAATATTTCTGAGGAGACGATTTTACAACAAGTATATTAAAGCAAAAAGGTGACAGAGAGAGTAGGTACTCATTCGGAGAATTAAACGTCCTAGAAAATTTAACTTTTTAGACTAATCAAACGTAATATTTTTTAGCCAAGTTTAAATCCTTCGCTTAGCCTAACTTTAGCGCCTACGTGTAAACGTAATAAATGTAAACGTAGTAATACGAAACAATAAAATTATAGTTAGGTGGGTAAGGTACTCACCGGAGGAGAGACGATACCATTTGCGAGCGGGTGAGTCCTCGGTTTTGAAAACTTAATCTCGCCGTTGAAAAAAAATGAAAATTCTCGAGCAAAACCAAACACAAAACTGTAGTACAATGTTGATGGTGACGGCCGATCAAATGAGATTTATGGTACGCACACAAATGAAACGGTTGCAATAAACACGAAAACGAGTAGAATAGTGGTAAAATATGGTTATGGCATCCGGGACGTTCCGACCAAACGGCGGGTTGCGTTGCACTGCGACCAGTCGAGTTGGCGCGCACGGTCATCGGCTCGATTGGATTTCGCAGATTCGCCGGCGCAAGCTTGTCACGGCAGACAGTATGACCACGTAATCAGGTGCATATACGCCGCTTGAGTGGGGGGAACGGGTACCGTTGCGCGACGCCTTGTATGATCCCGTACGCAGCGCAGCAACAGCTGCAGAACAGGAAAACACTATTTGACCCGTGACTAATAGGAGAAAGGGACGAGGCCGATTCACATAAAAGTACAAAGCTCACATTTATGTAAAATTGAGCACCGGCTCTTAAGAGCACTCAAATGGGATATTTTCTTTTACCATTTATTTCAAATAATTTATCCCTTTTAAATAATCATATAAATTTATATTATATTATATATGTGTTTAAAACGTATATCCAATATTGTATTAAAAATCAGTTTTAAAGTTGCGAGGATAATTGTAAATTGCTATTATTATTATTATTAAGACTATACCGACATGAACAATAATTATAGGATAATAGCGCAAATGAATATAAATTATTTAAAAAAAAAAATCTCAAAAATATTCACCAAAACAAAAGTTATTTCATTTGTCAAATTTTTGTGGTTCACCCAGTATATATATTTTTTATTTGAGATTCTGCTTACAGTACAATTTATCTCAATGAATACTTGTATGTTTTTTGCAACACATTAATTTACAAAAAGCTTGTCATTACATAATTAAATTACAAGGAGATAATTGATTTTTACGATGAACATCACATATATTATTATTTATTACTACTATAAAATTTAACTTTACCTCTTATACATAGTTCACAAACCCCAAAACATAAATTAGATCAACCTTCTAAATAAAAAATTAAAACGTCTCAGTGCTATAATGCCCATACACATCAAGAAAGTCAGGCGAAAAGTTTGGGATTTTAAACGGCCATGTTTGATACGTAATAATGACAGAAACATTACTCAGAGCTAAAGCTATCATTGATGCAGTCATCATCTCTGCAGCTATAGCCTATATATTAAAATTTACATGGGATACAGTCACATGGCGCACACATAGTTATGAATAATTATTATAAGACATTTTTAAACTACTATAAAATAATTATCTAAACAAAATGTATATCTTATTTTTATACCGTCATAGAACCTCCTAACAGACCAACGAAATCTACATATGAGGTATATTTCATAACTAATTATATATAATAATGTTTGAATATTTACAAGACAGAATAAATCTAAATACGTTTACCTGATTTCATATCGCCGCCCCGATAGAACAATGACACAACTGCAATAATTACAATTTTACAGGGGAACCAAAAAATCAAATTGCTTTCATATCAATAATTCACGAATGCACAATTAATTATGAAATTGGGGCTTGGCCAGAACACAACTACAGTTACATCGTGTTTCTATCTTATGCGTTTGCTATTGAAGCATTTAATCCATTTTACCAAATTTTGCAGTTGTGCCATTGTTCTACCGGGGTGGCGATGTACATAGTGTATATATTTTTAAAAAAAATAAATTTCCATATATTATATTCAAATTGCATTAAATGACCAAAATATAATATTTGGATCTCTAAAATGTTATTTTGTTTTTTCTGAATATATATTTATAATTTATATATATATATATATATATCACCTGTAACTGATTTGCCAAAACCTTATGCCAAGTATGTTTGCATGACACACTTTAGTTTCTATGCGAAGCTGAGAAGGTAGTTTTTAAATTTAAAGCTATCGTTGTTTTTTAAAAACAAAACACTATTTCTATTAATTCACTACTTGGGTCCATTTTTTATCTTACCTTGCTGACAGTCCTCATTTTAAAACAAGTTCCTAAATTTTTTTAATTTTTGCTTATCATATAGGTCGTTCTAAGGGTCATTTTTTACTTCTATTTCTTCTCCTTCACCTTCATACCAACTATTAAAAGTCGGCCACCCTGTGTGCTATCCTGTGGGGGGGGGGGGAGATCTAAATACTTACCACAGTACCTCTACCTGTCGTAAGAGGCGACAAATGGTGTTGCGTAATGTCGACAGCTGGTGTACAATTTCATCAAACAATATGAAAAGTTCTAAACAAGACTTAAATAGATTGTCTTATCTCGGATGTTCGCATGAACAACAGGTGAGAGGAAATGACGTAACCCTCCACAGTCCACGTGTCTACGTTTACTTGGTTTTCATCCCTACCTAGAGCTAAATCATAATATGTTCTACTCTAGTAACACCTCTAATTTTAAAATTTAAGTGGACATTTTTGCGTCCAAAAATGTGTTACGAAAATGTAACCTATTTATTATTAATGCTAATAATATTATTACATTTAATCATTCATTCGATTTCATTCAGTCGTGTTAACTGTTTTGTGTGTTTTATCGTACTTCTGTTTTTTACGATATAAATAAACGTTAAACTATAACTAAACATTTGCACTTAAATAATATCATAATGTTTTGTATTGTATCATTATTGTAATAATCATGTTAAAACATTGAATCATGGTAATTATGCGGACCAGTAATGCTAAAAACATATCAATGATTCAATGTTACCCGTAAAGCGTGGAAAATAGACGTTAGTTTAGTGCTGTAAACAATGAAACTTTAGTTATAGTTTAATATTTATTTCTATTGCGAATAACAGCAATACAATACAATACACGAATGAAATCGAGTAATAACTAGGTTATCTATATATATATACATATATATATATTAACTAGATTTCGTAACTTGAGAATATCCAAGGAAATTTACTATTTAGTATTGACATTCCCCCTCCTCTCTCCCGGCCGAAAACATATCAATGAATTTTACTAAATTAAAACATTGCGTCGTTGAAGTTAATTCCATCGACGTTTGCATAGTTAGTGTCTATTGGAAATTGTAGTACTAGGAAACAAAAAACATCAAAGGAAATCATTCCTTTATCATACAAAATAAAACCATTTTAGAAAATGTAATGCTATAGATTTGTTTGTTTACATATTTTATTTTATGGAATAAGATGTATACTAAAATTATACTTTACATTTTTTTCTATAATAGGTAGGTACACCATATTTTTGCGAAACATGATAAAACGTTAATTTTAACTAAGTGCAAAAATAAGTAATGTTCAAAAAGCTTTTGTAATTAACAATTTGAATTTAAATAAAATAGTTATTTAAATAATGTTTATGTTAAACAAATGACAAAAAATAATTTAATTAAAAAAAACATTCAAACTAATCGAAACATTAAAATAATTAATTTGGTATTAATTAATTAATAATTAATTAAAAACTATATATTATGTGGACTGTTGTTGGTTTTTAAAGTTTCGACAATAACCTGAATATTTAAAAAATATAGAAATCTTAAACTATTAAAAAAAGTAGATACAAATTATTTACAAAAATACAAAATCATTTTTACGACAATATTCTTTGACTTTACTCTAGAAATCTTCTAGCATTGGAGTAGTACTTGGTAGGTCTAGCCTGACGCAACTTACAGTGAGGCAGAGACGTGCAGCTGCTTGCGCCTTGCACGATGTCGCCCGCGTGCTAGACAAAGGCCATATCTATTCGGTCCCTTGCATTCCCTCGCGGAGTGACCGCACTCGTGATACCGATAACGCCTCTTGAGTCAAAAACCACGGTTATCTACTCCTCGGTAGATACCAAAACCAAAGTGTCACCCAGCAGCCTGAGCGCACGAGGCACTCGAACCACTGCTATCACCTGAGCTACAGCCATGCTTACAGCCTCCATACCAGAAAGCCCCTGAAGCGTCTCCTCCACTTCTTTCGCCGTTGTTCCCTGGCTCGATGTTACTCATGATAACCTCAACGTGCTTCCCACTAACCGTTACTTCTACTTCTTTCCAGAGGGCGGCGATCACAGCCTCCTGGAGCCCTGCTGTGGATTAAGCCTCGAAAGGACTCCGAGTCAGTTGTAAATGCGATGAAAGAAAGATATATTTAAATAAACTACAGTTAACACGACTGAGGCGTTAACCGCCACCACCGCTACTAACTCATCTTACAGCCACTTACTCGTATATAATTTATAATATTATTTGTACACAATTTACTAGTTTAAAATATAACAAACGTATTCGGACAGTGCACGCGTGTACAAATAAAATGCTTATAGAAATGTTTATATAAAAGGCTTATAAGAGCAATACTTAATGTAAATGATCATTTAAAAACGATTCGAAATTCAACATGTTATTGCGTTTTCGCTAAAACGTAAGATCGGAATTAATAATTCGTTGGAAAATTATGGTCAAACTAATTAAGAAATGTATAAAACTTAGTGGAATAATCTTATGCAATTAGATATACAAAATTAGACACACATATATAAAATTTAACCATGAATTTATTATTACATAATATCTTATATTAGATTCTGAATTGCTACGTAAATTGTAAGAAATAGATTAGGGAGTATAGAGTGAAAACCGTGTATATACTGCGAGGAACGGTTACCGCGATAAACAAAAAGAGAAAAGTATAAGAAAAATTAAGAAGGCAAACACGGAATCAGAGGGAGCAAATAAAGTAAAGCAGAAGCAGGAGTGAGGACAATTTTCATCGACATATTTAATGCAGAGACATGTCTAATTAAATTAAATAAATTATATGTCCCAACTGCCATATAAGTTTCAATCCGATAATTGTTCTCATGTTTTAGTAAGCCAATTGTAAATTTTAAAAAGCGGCAATTTTTTTCTGATTTTATTAGGGGAAATTATTAGGAATAAATGGACATTTTATATTCAATATCAAACAGAGATGTTATGACCTCGTGTAAATCGGTCAGGTGGAAAATAGTTATTAAACTTTCAAACACAAAAAAAAAATTAATTATTAAAACCAATACCTCCTCCGCTTCCACCGAAGGTAAAACATTATAGCTCCAAGCCCAAGCGTGTACAATAGTCAACATGAACATAGTATAGTTTAGTACGTATAGTTGTTAATGTCGGTTTCTTTCTAATTTTCCTGAAAATTTCCAACCTCTAATACAAACATAGTTTTAAGGGTCAACATCATATACGTATTATAATATGTTTGCTTGTTTCTGTAATGAGAAAAGCTTAATCCCTGCTCTTCCCAAAACTTTAAATTATCCAAATTAAAAAAGTTTAATTGGTATTAGCAATGTATGTAAGATAATTAGTAAGCTAGGTTTGATTACGTGTTGTACGAGCCAAAATTAATTAGCTCTTCCTGGGTAAACATTTTCCACGAGCCTGAAACGTAAACATAGTATTTGAAAAATGGTTAATGATTGAAATACATGTTGATATAAAAGCTTTTAAATTTAAAAATTGCATACAACAACTGGCCAACAAAATTAATAGGTACTTCAGCCTTGAGCAAAGCTAAACTATTTAAGTATATATGTATTATATTTATTTAGCTTAAAAAAATTTGTTATTTTTGTTTTTGGCAAAATATAACTGACTCAACTCATGAAATAATTTGCTTGCAGTGAAAACCCTGAAATTAGACTTTATCCTCATCGAATCATCCGTAATTTCTAAATTCATGTCTATGTTTATGAGACAGTACCTATGTATTTTTTTTAAGTATTAAGTGTTCTAAAGTTTTATAATTTATTCTGCAAATTTTTCTCAAACTAATAGGTAAGCGTTAAGCGTTTGTCAGGTGACATTTTTCTATTTAATTTTTACCATAAATGGACTTTTATGAATGCTATTTCGCCTGAGGGCTGAGTAGTATTCCAACATTTCGGTACCGTTGACTTAATTGAAGTATTAAATTATTGTTTATAGTTTATATTAAACTGATGTCTGATTACGGCGAGTTGTAACTGCACCCGTTCAATAATTTTCTTTTCAAACTTACAATATTAAAATAATTATTATTTAGCATAGCGCTATCTACTGTTCTACTCGACATTATCCCGTTTACAGTAGAAAAGAAACAGTTTGGCCATATTAAACACTTTGTAGTGTTTTATTTTATTAATAACAATTTTAGCGTTTTACAATAAATGTTTGTTATCTAGCTTGCCTCGGCCTTTATTATTTTAAATTTACATCCAATCCAACAAAATATAAAATACAATATGCTTGAAGAGAATTTTTTTATTATTACCTACTAAACAAAATATTAAATTTGATCATGTGTTTCAGTCGCTTGTGTTGTGAACTTGAGGGTTATTGTGATATCGCAGAGCTGATTATACTAGTGAAAACAGTAATAAGAAGGGGAATTCGTGTTTTGTGGCATTGTGCTTCTGCGCAACCCACCTATCTCACTGTCCTAGTGTAGTTTTCATTACCGTTACCACTACCATTACCATTTATACCAAGTATCAGCGTGCCGTCTATTCCATTTCAATTGCCAAACAACGGAGGCCAGAGCGTTGTTGCTGCTGTCGCCGCCGCTCTGTTTATTTGAATTGTAGAAAATTACATATCTTTTTTCATTTTGCGTGTCGATATCTCGTCGGCCGTCGCGTGCCGTCCTTGTGAGCTTCGAGTGCGTGTGTGTTAATGTGTTGTGTTGTATTTTTCAATCCAATGGCGTATACGTTTGATGTGGACGACGACGACGGCAATTAGTCTTCAATTGGATTTCGTCTGCTTAAAAAAAATCGCTACATTTTATTTTTATAAAAAATAAATTAAGAAACCATACCAAACGCCTAATATAATGTTAAAAATGATGGCTTATAAACACTCTTGATATTAGGTCTCCGCGCGGTGCTATTACCACTCGGAAGGCCCCCTAAGTAACTGTTTTCTCTTAATTCTTAAAATTTCTTTTTAATTTTATAAATGTTTAATATTAGTGTTTTGAGTAGATATTTTTTGTATATATGTGTATAAATTCGTTTGTCACGTTTTAAGTGTTCTGAATAATATCAGTTAATTGCAATGGGAAATCATAACAGTTTTAATTTAAACCACAAAGATCATCTGCACAATGCAAGGATTAATTCCCTACACAAAGATCCGACTCTCAGTATGTTGCCGATGGAAAAACTAGGAAAGGTTTGTTTCCAGATATTTTTCTTAAGGTATTCGGTAATTCGGGTAAACATTTTAAGCTATAATTTATAATTAAAAATAATGATTCATTTCTATCCAAAAAAATGACTAAGATTATTCATATTATTTTTTTTCGGTTATCCTGATATTTAAGTGCTCTAAAACGTCTAGCTATAATGTCCAACTGTCTTGCTTCTGTATTGATAAAAAATAAATGTAGTCTACAATATTGTTTTAGCTTTTATACTTTTCGCTAGAGCCTAAGTATAGACTGATTAAAACAAATTTTCTATATCACTGGTTTTTACTTTTTTAATATAGATCTAAATGTCTGTTATCAATATTCACCTCCCTTTCCACCATTTCACTCTACTCCTATCCAATACATACAGATAACAATTTATTTGGATCTCAAATGATCTTAAGGATCTGGAAAAGCAATAACGAAAACTTAACGTGTTGCATATTTAGTATTTATTAGTTATGCTCTATCATTGTAATTTTCAACGAAAGTATATAATTAATATATTAATAGTAGAATAATAAAATATTGCAAGATACCAAAAGATTGAGTCTCATTCTATTAGAGCAACAATTATAATAGCATTGCTACCGAGATACACATATACAATACAACTGAAGCATGGACCTTTTTTTTGTTGAAGGGTATCTTTTATTATTTTATTACTTAATTGTGTATACTGCACAAGTTGTGGTAAGGTTTTTCTAGATTGTCATATTAATATAAGGTATAAAAGTTGTGTAAGTTCTTGGTGTAATCTTAAATATATATATTTAAGTACTTGAGATTACGTGTCTATTAATTATTTTATTGATTTTTATAGTTACTAGTTCAAAAGAGTTTAGAAGAAGATGCAATTAATGGGATAGGATGTGGTGTATTTAAGGTATTTATATATTTATTTTAATTCAAACTAACTTTGTTTTTTTATGTTGAAACTACTTTTGTTGTTCTTAATCTACCTATTATTAGTAATTAATTCAAACTAGAATTTATATATTTTATTAATTTTATATTATATACATGTGATATTAGATAAATACATTGGTAAAACTAATCCAGTATTCACACTTGGATCTTGTGTAAGAGTATTATACACTGGCCCACAAGAGAAGGAACTCGCACAAAAATTAAAACACGATACTCTCGTATGTGCCTGCAAAATAAGGAGTAACGCTTTTTATTTTCTGCGTAGGTTCCTTTTCTGGTAGTTCAGAATATATAAATCTAAGTTCTTCCTAAAATATTTTGAAACTAAAATTTACTCACAGGAATAATTAAAACATAGCCCAAAAGAAATATAATTATATCTCCAAAAATATTTTATATTAATTTTATTTCCTCATATAAACATTATTGTTTTTCTTTAGCGTTATTTGTTTCCACAATACCCAGAAATGGCCCGTAAGCTTTTTGCGTTTTTAGTCACATCATCTGGGGGTCCTGCATCTTCTCATGTCATCAGTTACTCCAACTTCAAAAATCAAACGGAGCGATTGCTAAGTGTTCTGGCTGATGACCGCCAAGTATTGATGTACGTCATGGTGAGCAATTAATTTTATTTATTTTAAGTTTTAAAAATTGTCAATTTGATTTTTATTTGCTTCTGGCTATTATTTGAACCCTAGTATACTTATCTTATTTTTACACATTTATTGCTAATAATTTGTCGAAAATGACAATTATAGTGTACATAAATATGTTAAAATTACAATGATTTTTCTATTAATTTATTATAAATTTAATAAAATAAGTAAATAATTATATAAGATCGCTTTTTTAAATTGAATAGCTTCATGCAAAAAAGGCCTTGAACCTTAACTTTAAACTTTTGGAAAAATGAAAAAACTTTTGATATGTTATATATTAAATATGATATTTCATATTTAAGATGCTTGTTTACAATGGGTTCTAGTAATGGGACTAAAGCCGTTTTATCATGTATCGATGCGTCTAAGTAAAGTGATAACGAATCTGTAATAATCATGTTTTTGATAAGATATTGACTTAGGCCCTTTTTGCACAGTAATTTAATTTTACTACAAATAAAAATTACAAAATAGTTTGTAACATTTATCTGAAAAACATGCCTTAAACATCAGTCTTAAATTTAATATTTTTCAACTATAACAAAATGTAATTTTAAGTAGATATTATCCTTCTTAAAAATCTTCTATTTTGTTATCCTGAATTTCACTATCATCTGAATCTATCTCTTTCAGTGTACACATTATGTCCTTATTATCTATAGTTTCACATGCCATTTTTAAAACTAATAAACAAAAATGTAATACTTAAAATAATATTTTACCATAATTTTCATTACATTACTATAATTTATATATACTGTTTAAAATCACCCCTTATTTATTTATAAATATTTGTCATATCAAAGAATCTATAAACGGCATGTACTACAACTATTTGTCAAATGGATGAATAATTACTTACGTGTATTACATACTATTAGTTGATTTGACGATATAGGGTTTGTGCGACCAATGCTTGTTGACTGACTGATAATAGCAATAAGTCGTTATATCTTTTCTTTAAATATACTTATCAACATGTATGAGAGATTAAGTGGGATAGAAGGGCCTATGATAAACATGCTAAAAATAACATCACAAATAGATGTCGGTTCTAGGGTTAAGACAGAAATAATTGTTTTTTTTAGCTAATTGATTTTTTTATTTTCTGTATGGTAGTTTTAAAAAAAAAACTAATTTAAAATTTAATTAAAAACAGATTTTACTAGTCTAAGTTGTTTTTGTTGAATAAGTTAAGAAATATAAATAATATACCTAGTATGTAACACGTCCTAGATTGACATAAAAACTAATTTTAATACATTTTGTGAACTGATTTTAGTCTGATTTATTTATTAAGTTCTAACTATTTTAGTGTTAACAAATTACTATTAGTAAAACAGATTTTGTTGTTTGAAAGAAGTACTCATTCTACTTATTCATATATTATATCTTCAACTATTGAAAGCATTTTAAAATTTAATGTATATTTTTCATTGACATTTTTATAACAATTCTAAAGACCTATAGAGATATACACTATACCTAGTATATTTTACCAATAATGTCCAATTTTAATTTTAGCTTTGATGTGGAACTAATGTAAAAGGTATTATTTTTACAATGTTTTTTTTCTGGACTACAATTTCTTCTCAACTACTGAAACGATTTTTTCAGGTACCAAGTTTACAGATCATAAGTCATACTGGAAAGGTACTTCAGAAGACTAAAAATTTAATAAGTTCACTCTTTCCCCTTCAAAATTGAGAAAATGACCCAAAAAATTTACATATTTTTCAACTTAAAATTATGGCAGCTATAATTTTTTTTAAAATAGTCAAATTTGTATGGAATATTCTTAGATAATTATTCTACTATCAATAAACATAAAAAAAAAAAATATCAAAAACGGTTCTTTAGGTGTAGTTCAGGGACTAAAGCGCTGAAAATTGTACTGAAGGTAGATCTAGAGTGAGACAATTACAAAAACAATTTTTTCAAAAATCTAAACAAACTTTTTCAATATAGAGGAAAAGTCAAAAAAGAACTCAATTGACTGATCCGCTTCCGCTGACGTAGGTTATATTCCGTACTCTCTGCCTCTTCCCGTCACTGCCAGCTGTTTTCTTTGGCAACCCCTCTTCGTATTAGCCGTTTATCGTATGATTGATTTTAATTTCTGTTAACAAAAGTTTCTTGCTGTACTCCAGGCCCTCCCCCACTCTATCCGTCCCCATTATCTACTGGTCCTCTTTTTAACTGATGTATCACTGGTTTCCACGTTTTGCTTAATTTCTATCCATCTTCTCGGATGCAAAACTAATATCAATAAAACTGATATTACTTATATTAGCCGATATTCCATTTTGTTTGTGTATTAGCTGACCTTTAATGCATTAACTTAAGGTTTAAGCACACTTAAATGTTGTATTTTATGTTGCAAAAGGTATTTTATTGTGATTAAAAATACAGGATTCCATTGGCATTGACAGTTAAAGACATTTAAATGACATCTATATTTGTATCTAATAGATCCTTAATGACTCAAATACTATCTATTAAGATTTGAAATATGTAACATTAGATCATAAGCTGTTAATGTTACTATTATACTATTACACATAAAATAATTCATTTCAAGTTTAAGTATAAAATTTTAAATTTATACTTAAATAATAAAAATAAAAACTCATTTTTAACTAATATTGTTTTATAAGATACAAGTTTTATAGCAACAAAATATTACTATTTTAAAAAAAAATTATAGCTGCCATAATTTTAAGTTGAAAAATATGTAAATTTTTTGGGTCATTTTCTCAATTTTAAAGGAGAAAGAATGAACTTATTAAATTTTTAGTCTTTTGAGGTATTTTTCCAGTATGATTTATGCTCTCTAAACTTGGTACCTGAAGAAATCATTTCAGTAATTTAGTAGATATTGTAGTCCAGAAAAAAAACATTGTAAAAATAATACCTTTTACATTAGTTCCACATCAAAGCTAAAATTAAAATTAGACATTATTGGTATAATATACATATATATTAGTGTTTTGGGAGGCCCCTTTTAAATAAATTTACTGATAAAAAGGCACTGACAGTGACCTTAAGTATAGAGTTCTAATGTTGTAGATTGGCTAGTTACTGAACATCATGTTATAGTTGCATGATAATTGATACTTGTTAATTTTTAAGAACGATTTTGGTTATACCAAATTAATAGAAAGAATTACAATAGATAGTGCTATTTCTTTCATGTGGTCAATCTTATTATGTCAGATTGACCACATTGGTCAGTATACAATGTACATTATTTTTTTATGTTATATGTAAATTATATTATTAATAATTGGGATATACTTTAATAATAATGAAAGCATAAAAAACATATTTATAGATCATTGATGGTAAATTATTTTAACATTATTAATTAATTGTATAATATTATCATATAGTTTTATATATTTAATAGTATAAATAACATTTTAATTATGAGTATAATACTGTCAACTGAGATAAAAAAATAATAATAATGAATTTAAGAAACTCGTTATAATTATTATATATTTCAACAATAAAGTAAGTAGAGTTAAAAATATAACTAGTTATTATTATAATTTATAACATAATGTAACATCAGTTAAACAAAATTAAATTAAATCGTGTATATTTTAATAGCGATTTGGCTATGATTGTTGTAAATGACCTAAACAAATCTCAAAACCGATTAATGCAGATTTAAAAAGTGATTTTATATTTTATATTAAAGAAATATCAGTTTTCAGAACAAAAAACTATAATACCATTCGACTGTTTAAATGTTATCACATTCGCCGTCATTTTAAATTAAAATTTGTATTTTGTTGAAACTATAAAAACGCTATTATGGCATTATGAATCACCAATTTGTAATATCACCGTGTTGTACATAAATAACAGTAATAATAAAGGTCTATGTGGTAACATTTGTTGATAAACAAAATTATAATGTTAAATTTAATTTGCATTTGAGCATACGCAGATTAGAACACATAATTTTCTACACTTATTTGAACAAATTTAGGTTTTATTGACAATATTTTAGCATAAATATTTGTTTTTGTTTCTACTAATGAATAACATTTGATAAACATGATTCAGATAACAATGACTAATGAGTAATACATATGTATTACTGTACGTTCGTATTCGTATTTTTTTTTTATAAAACCTTTTGTGGTCTCTTGCAAAGTTACACATTTTTATTGTTTTCTTTTTTTCCTTTAAGTTACATCGTAACTTATTTCATCGTATCGTTTTATTTTATTTACTTATGTTAGCGAATTAACCCATATTTATTTTTCATTTTGCTATAAGTGATATATTACTTGCATTTACGAACCAAATAATAATTTAAACGAATCGTTTTTTAATTGTTTTTAATGTCTACATTACCTACGATAAACTTTTCAAGTATATGGGTTAATGGTAGTATTAAAAAGTATTTATGTTACTGTTCTAGTTTTTCGATCTACTGATAGTGGTTTAGTTTCAATGTCGTCGAGAGATGGTTTTTTTTCTTATATTTAAGTAAATATTTTTGTAAACTGATACTCGGCGTGTGTCAATAGTGTACACCATGTGTGTCGTTTGCCTAATGATTTAGTGTCGTTATAACAATACGTTCTTAGATAATTGTTCTAATTTTCCTTTTGTGTAGTTGTAAATTTACACAAGACGATTGTAATATTACCATAATGCTTTGTCGGCAAACAACTAACAACAGACTGTTAGTTGTTTGTTACTAAACTTGACTAATTACTTTTTCCCTATGTTTAATTATTATTTATTATTTTGTATACCAGTTACACCACCTTTCTATTCTTGTCACACGCATCATATTTTTTTTACAACTTTAGGACTTAACGAATTTAATTGTCGTTTTAATCCGAAAGTACTCGCGTGTTAGATTTGTTTAGTACCTACGAGTACATAATACATTGTTACTATTTGGTAAATATAAAAAATCCTAACATAAATAATATAATGAACATTTTATACTTTATTGGCATCTGATATTTTTTGAGTTAAATTTAGTTAGGTATAAACTATAAAGCTATTTATTTATCTCGTAATAAATAAAATAATATGTTTGTTAGATTTTTCTAATGGTTTGAGTAACCATTTTAATGTTATAAACAGGACAGAGGAATAAAGTGTATCTTTATTAAGATACTAAGCGCTTAGCGCAATGTGTCTATAATTTATGCTGGGATAATTACTATAAAAATTATATATTATATAATTGTGCCCTTGTCCTTGATATTTGTACTGTAATATATATATATGCATAATATATTTGTTGAACACGTGCGAAACGGTTGGTATTACAGAATTTTTGACTGCGTGACGTCAAACAATAGGTAACACGAGAAACTTTTGTCAAATAGTTGTAGATTATTAATAGTCAGTGGTATTTATAACTAATGACTGTATGCTAGTCTGTACCAATTTTTAGGAACTTATGTACTGAACGCGATGAACAGACTTTTGAAAAGATATTTTTTATATTTTTTAACGTCTTTACGAAGAAATTATTATGTATAGCACAGTCGTTAAAAAATAGCACTGTTAATCTATAATAGTTAGTGATTGGATTTTTAAAATAATATACGTTTGATAGATTAATTAACCTTACAACAGAGGATATATCAATGTTATCTATTAAATTCTCAACATTTAAGGTGTTCAGCGCTTGTACTATCTCATGAACTTAATGAATCACTATGACAACGATTTATATTTTGTTTACTTCTAATAAGTTTTGGACGTCAGCCATCTATGCAGAATTACATTCTGCAATTTAACAAACGACTGTGACTAGTTTTATAATTTCAAGTATGCAGTTGTCCTATAGCGCTATTGTTTTTAACAATATACTGTTTTAAGAAATTTACGGGCAAGAATGCATTTTGTCCTAGATAATTTTACACGGTGCAGAAAGTTTTTCACTTGAGGCCATTGTACATACAAAAAATAAAGATATTACATATAGATATATTGTGCAGTATATAAATACATATTTTGCACTCTGAATTATTAGAAAAATTAAAACAACCGTAAATTGTGCACGTGACCCTTTCATTGTCCCTCTTTAATTTAGCTTATGCTCGTATTTAATTAAACACATTTTTAATTTGGGTTTGGATCATTTTTGACAATTAGTTGGTTGTTTGTTAGATGTATGCTGACGGAAAAGAAGAAATCGATCAAGATCAATTCCGGGATCTCCTCTTGGCCGTGTATAAACTTGCGATGGACCATTATCCGGAAGGACCTCAATCGTGTCGATATATATTTAAGACTGTTCAAGCCATCGTCGACTCGGCGGTGAGACCACCTGTTATTATTTCATCGATCGCTGTTTAACTAATTTGTTCGTAAATATTTTTGTAAACAGTTCCACAAAAAGCTAATCCTCAAAGTGGGCTACCTGACTAATTGGATCCTCCAACACTGTCCCCGGCTGATAGTGTTGCTCCACCGGTATATCGTGCACATTCTATCCACCGGCTACAGGTCCGTTATCGAAAAATGTCCGTATTCCAAACCCAATGTGAGTATTACTACCTACTGATGTGTACAGATATTTGTTATTATATTATATTGTGTTGTATCTTTGTAATACATCTCATGTTAGGAATCTAACGTGAGTAATAAACATATAGCGTCGTCATCAAACTTGACGTTTTGCCACCTAACAAAAATGATGGTGTGGTTTTAGGATCTCGAATTGACCACTCCGGTTCTAGAAAAAGAAAACGTTTTCACAGCCGAGAAGAATCCGTTGTTACCGCTGTCTCAAGTGTGGATATTGTCTACCACACTACCGGCGTTGTACACTCAGCCTATTATGCATTCCAAACCGACGCCCAACTGTTTCAACACTCAAAACTTCCTATCGAAATTTGTAAGTGAAAAACTTACTTATTGTACATATTCACACTAGGCGTAAAATACAATAAAACCTAATTATAAATAATCCGTCGCACTCTAGTCATAAACGTCGCCTTGTTCGGATATTACTAGGATTAGTTGTATCGTTAACACGTGCTTTGACGTGCACGTTCACATACATTTCAACGTTTATTCATGTGTAGTCATTTCGTTAAAATAAACAATCATATTATTTAAAAGTTCTTCGTCGTATTCCGGTGGCCTCTTTTCGTTTGGCGTTTTATAATACTGTAACATGTAAGTGAAATTTAATATTCTATTATAAATAAAAAATATTTTTCTTTGCTCACGTGAAATCGTTTAAGGCAACGAAAAGTTCAAATACTTGTTTAATAAAAAATAAATAATAAATTGTGTTATTAAAACGCGGGAGGACAGTTGTGAGTGTCGAGAACATAATTTAGTTGAATTGTGAAATGTTATTTACTCTGTGTTCTGAGGTTATTTCTCGTTTAATAAGAGCAAAAGTATGACATTGCGTGAAAGTTGCTTGAAAATTTCTTCTTTTTTATATCATTTACAGCGGCGCAGAACTCGAATGTTCTAAATGGTATGCAAATTGTTTTTTTTTTCTTTTTCTGCTATCGACCAGTCAACAACTGATGGCTAACCATTGACGATTCTGCAGTCCGAAAAAACCAGTTTCTGTTAACTGTAAAACGTGTAACGCATTTACACACGCGCAGCAGGGGTTTCATTAATTATTTCGCTACTACCTACTATTTATTATTATTATAATATATCATTATTATAATTTACCGTTAGCTTTACAAAGAGTTCGGGTCATTAAATTGGCTACGTGCAAAAATAAAAACATAAATAATAATCTTGATTTTCAAAGAGTGTGTGTGTGATGGATGACGCCGCTACGGCTTGTTATTATGAAATCTGTGAATCTTATTTTTGGCTCAAAAAATATTAATAAACAAATTCTATTATCACAAAAAATAATACCAGTATGTTTGTGTGTTTGTCTAGATAAACCGATTTAAATTTTGTGGCTATTATGTTCCATTTTGACGGGAACTTTTTCTCAAGATCTATTAAACGTAGATGTTTGAAATTTGTACAGTTGATGTGGTTGGCTGAACCCGATATGTGTTAATAATTTCGGCTCTCCAGCTGACAGCTCGAAAACTTGTATAAGTTATAGCTATTTTTGCTTTTAGTCTAATTTAGGTACAAGTAGAATTCGATTTGAAGAAATTATGTGCGATGATTTGGCAGCGAGGTTTTTCATGTGTAAAATGGTTGTCCTATTCTAGAAACATATTTTTTCTTGAGGAATAAAATGTGAATTTTGCCGGAACTTTATCCGGACCCTCGCTAAAAATACTATCGTGACTCAATGTACATCATATCCCCATTGGGTTTCGCTTGAAGTTTCGACCAACTACTACTATTTACTTGCTCATAGTAGATTTATAGGTTTACGATTTCTTTGCTTTCAAAATTAGTCCATATACCGACTTGAAAATGTGCCAAGTATTCCCTAAATGGTACAGGCCTGGCCGTCTTATGACCTCAGGTTAAACAACTCGCTACGCAATGATCTAAAAATGAATTTTTTTACCAACTTGTAATTAAACGTAACAATCCATTTCCTTTCTTCCATCTTTCGTCTTAATTTAAAAATTGTGTATTATCGTGTAGAATTAAAAATAAATAGGATTTAATGGAATTATTTTTATCGTTCAACCGTTTCTCTTCTTTTGACCTTTCAAGTCATATTATTTTGTTTATTATTGTTTATGATAATGATATGTCAAAATGCATAATGTAAATATTATTTTAATAAAACAATAATATTAACTTAATGCCACAACTCGTATGACAATCATCTTTTATAATTTATTCGATGTCGTGTCTATTGATGGAACTTGGGATATAATGTATTCGGTATTGTTTTTAATATAATAACAAAATTGCGATTATATAAACCACGTGTGAGCAACGTGTGATGAGTGCTGCGGTTTCCTAATATATCGTACCTTGGTTATTATTTTTATAGCTGTGTTCCCTATTCAAAACAATTTATATGAGCCTGTATTCGCTATTGGTGGTATCACATGCGCGAAAGTGGTTAATGAAAAAAACATTTAAGTACTAAGAATATTACACTCCATGTTATACATACGCCTTAATTATAATTATTATTAGACGTTTTTTAATTAATTTGACTTTCGAAGATGCTAGGTTAGCGTATTGTAATAATATCATACCTTGTGCTTAGTAACTACAAAACTAAAAAACCTTTTTATATCATACAAATAACCCGCCCAGGCCTCTCAAGGATATTTTGATTTTGATATTACTTGATAGATGTAATCAAATAACATTTGGGACTGCGCGAGTTCTAATCAATTTATTCAATATTGGATAATATTCGTTTTGTTACTACATCGTTTTTGATCAACTACGGTTTATTACATAATATATTTCATAATAATTTAAATTGCGTGTACTTACATTTCATATCCTTCGAAAACTTTCCTGGCATGATCCGTTTAATTTCTTACTTACCGGTACATCACCTATGTTTTTTTTTATATTATCTTTCAGTTACTTATAAGGTTAATCCGAAAAATAATTTTTTTCTAAGCTAAAATATAGACAGGCATTATAAAAAATTGTAGTTGCTTATCAAATACGATTTATAATAGGTTATCGAGGTCAACAAATCATACGGTGTATGGTATGATCTAAATTGCGATAAAATGGTAGCAAATATAAGACTGAAATAGACCAATAACGGTCGCCGATGTTTATTAAATTTAAATTTACTATAATATTAAAAATAGAATGTTAAACTGCGATACATCCTGTAACAATCTTTCACGCGAACTGCTTTTCAATATATTTTGCATTATAAAATTATCGCTGGACTATTGTTTGTATAATATTATTATATAACGTATCGTTTGTGTATATTGTGTGAATCGAGTGACCGTGATATACTATTCAGCCGTTAAGGTCAATGCCGATTGTCCTTGATAAGTAAACGTTCAAAAAAGTGCGAGCACTAGTTGAATTTCCAATAAATCAATCAACATGTATTGCACGGTGTGTCGCGTCAGCTAAAAATTAGTTTGTAAAATTATGAGCAGTCCTCATTTTCCACCAAAATTATATGAGGAAATAAAACGCACAACCTTGACTAAACTTGTCATCAGGGTTGTTATTGGGGAAACGATTCACCCGCCTGTTCAGAAGTTTTTTCATTAGTAACGTTTTTTTATCATTTAAACTATAATCGACGCTCTTCTCGTTTGACCTCGATGTAACCGCTTAATGGGAGTAATGGTAATTTAATTGTTTGTGAAAACGATTCGTTTTGTGTGAGTGACAATCAATAATGTGGAACAATAAATAATAGTAGATAGTGTTTTCCGTTGATGTGGGTTTTGAATGACTTTTTATCGTGTAGGACAACCGCAGCGATAAAATTTTAAATGCGAATTTGTAATACAAGACTTATTTGCTTGTGCATAGAATAAGTTGTAGTAGTTATTTATGCGTTTATCGTTTTCTAATTAATCAAACGGAAAGAAGGTCTAAAATAATGCACATCTCTCCAGTAAAGAGGTAAAACTTGTACCTTTGCTAGACTTCATAAACTAATTGTTTGTAAAATGTGTTACACAATTATTATATTATTAAATAATAATATTAGCTTACATCATTACTTGTATAATAAATAAATTCAGATAATATCGCTACACGAACATAAGTAGGAACGGTTTATCGTATTATGTTATTAATCTAATATTTAATAAATAACCGTTAGTTATAACTTACAAGTATGAAAAAATTAATATTTTTTATTGATAAATATATTACTTAACACATAATTATTATTATTTTTGCTGGCTCGCCAATTGGACAGGAGGACCCTCGTGATTTGGCACTATTATCGCTTTTTTAACTCTTGCGTGGGTATAAAATATATGACTTTTAAAATATTTAATTTGACTGAAAATACATTTTTGTAATTAAACAACTAACGTGCTTTAATTGTGTCATTTTAGCGATTATACATAATAGCGCTTCGAACGTCGTTTATCGCGAATTAAAATTTTTTTTGTTTCGAGTTGTATGTAATGTATGCAAACGTAAATCCTCTCCCTTCTCTCTCTCAGATTGAATAATCAAACGATAAAGGCGTGACCGCTTTCTGTTGATTTGCAAATCTTTGTGGTGTCTTTTTGTAGACTAAAAAAAAAAACTAGTACTTGTAAAAGTTATCTAATTCGGACAAGGTATTTTGCCTTCAATGTGGGTCAGCGTCGTCGGGTGTGCGTTAAGAAGTTTTGTTTCCTCGTCGGTTTACATTTCAAGGCGACTGCAACTTGTGTGTGTGTGTTTTTGTTCAGTTTTTTTGAAATTTTATTATTATTATCACTATTGCTCGGTGTGGAGATAATTCTTCCATATCCTTTTCGGACACGTATGCCGATTAATAACGTTATTATTGATAGTCATCGAGACTAAGAATAACGGACTGAGCAGCGTTGAACATATTACAATAATATAATATAGCTGTTGTTGTAGTGCGCGTGTGCTGTGTCATGTGTGAGAGCATAAATACATTATCTTTAAAAACGAAATATGCCGATTGTTTTAAACGGCGAATAAAGAGACTGTGAGAAAGCCAGTTAGCACTAAATTATGAATAACTGATTTAATGATACGTTTAAATTGACCGATGACGAATTGCTATTTTTTTAATAGCCGGTGGTTAATTTCAATTACTTAAGTAGTGTGACACCAACGACGTTAATAATAACTATTTAGGTACTAGAATAATAGCTGAGTAGGAACACGGCAATTTAGAAATATAGGCCTTGATGGGGAGGGGGGGGGGCTAAAAAAAATAAGGGAACACTAGTATTAGTTGGTAATAGAAAACAAGCTGAAAGCATCCGAGCTTTTATGTTTTATATTTCTATTACAGTTGGACTTTTCGTGTCCATCACATTGGACACTATTGTACAACAGCAATCAACACGGTATCGGAAGTAATAGGTAATTATTTCCAAATAACTAATTTATATTACTTTTATTTATTAATATTTTTTTGATTGAATTCATACGTCCCCAAATGTGTTTGTTTGTTATTTACGTTTCATGTTGTAACAATACCGTATATCACTAAAAACGTGTCGATGAAACATTTTCTTTTTGGTTTTTGTTTTTGTTTTTTCTTGCACAAATAGATTTTTACATCACGTGTTAAGTTACCGAGGACCAACGTTAACGTTCCTGCGTGGCGACGAAGGCGTTCTGTTCTGTATAGGCGCGACTACCGAATGGCGGGAATCCCACCAATACTGGGGCGGAGACGATTCCATCATCTTGCAAATACTTCCCCAGTACAGAGTTGTAAATCGTATGTCTTCCATATTTGATTTTCTTCCGTTATGATTAATTAAGCGAATGATTCTATACTCAGGTGGCCCTAAGTCCATGTATTTGAACACTACTATTCGTGGATATCCTAAGGGCATCAGGGCTGGTAGCGATCCCAGAAAACCGGCCATACAAGTTGACGATTCCTTTCAACACGTTGTCCATTGTGGTATACCATATAAATTGGAAAGCATCGAAGTGTGGGGTTGTGGTACTGTAAAAAACAGGTAACATTTTTTTTTTAACGCAAATATTTTTATAACTACTTTTCCTAGTCTGGCTCGGATGGTAACGGACAATATTTTTTCTCTTGGTAAGCAACTGTAGACAAAAAAAGAAGGAGCAGCCAATCCTCCACTTTTGAGTGTCCAGTATATGTATGATCTGTGTTAAACCCTATTTAAGTCGTGTCTGGTAGAATTTTAATCATAGACAATATATATGTTATATATATATATATATATACACACACACACACATGTATATATATATGTGTTCAACAAGAAGAAAAAAATCAAACATCACCACAAATTATACTTTAAAAACAAAATTGTTATGTTTATATCTAGGGAAATGCAATTGGACATAAAGACATGGCAGATAAAGGAAGCCGAGAAGAATAAAACATTAAAAATGACATCTAAAGAATGGCTTGATCACCCAGACCGATACCTACTAGAGCTAGCTGGCCGACAGTCATACTCAACTACTTAAAATGTTTATATAGTAATCATTTTAAGTTCTTCTCAGTCCTATTTACAGATGTTAATTTAATTTGTGTTTGTGTGTACATGTTTTTTTTATATATATATATCTACCTATCTAGATGAACCATTAATACTTAATCATTTTCCGACGTACTTACAGCTACAAAAGTATTATTTTATCAGTATTAACCGAGTACCAAGCTAAATTTTTATTAAAAAAATCATACGTTTTAAAATTTGACCATCAACTTCTGCTTAAAACTTCTAAATCTTATTGTAGAATTACAATCCAACATAAAATTGGACTTGAGAGTAATGTTATCAGTAGCTGAATGTTTTTATTTCTTTTAAACTGCAATTAATTAACTTAATAGACTGTTCAAATAAATTTGTCAATTTTAATCATCTAAAAGTGGAAGAATATAATTCTTTATCGAGTGATAAGCCTGTGATACACCCATCAGCTCATTGTATAAGCAATTATTTTTTTAAATTAAATTACCGACGAATTTAGTAGCGAGGCTGAGGGATTTTCAATCTCAATATTTCTTAAAGAATTAATTAAAAATATAATCATATTTTTAGTGTTCCATTTTTGTGAATTATTGTCTTTTGTGTGGATAAATCAAGGAAATTATTCTTGATATATTTATTTGGCGTGAAACACATATTCAGAGTTCAAGATTTGTATCTATATAAAGCCATATTAAAATAAAGTGTAACAATGTATAGTTATTTTATTTATTTATTACTATTTATAATACAAATAAGAAATTAAGTTAGTTAATGTAATACTAAATTGTAAAAAATCACCTTAAACCGTTCTGTAGATAAAGTATACAACCATTCATATTATCATAACAAATAATTTTGCAATAAAAAAAATTTTAAAAATAATATCTTTGGTTTTAAATTTGTCATTGCTATTCATTCCTTTCTACTAAATTATAATATTTTTTCTAAAAAATTTAAATTATTCTTGCTTACATAATTTACCATCAAAGTTTGTTTGGCCCTTGATCAACAACATAACCACCATTAGTTTGAAACTAAATAAATGAAAATTATATGTAATATTTATAAGATTAAAAAACCTGTTTTTTAATGTTAATATATTTATATAATACCTTATCTAAGTCCGTTTTGTACAATGTATAATTGTTTTTTGCACTGGGTTTCCACATCATTGCCGCTACAGTATTTTGCACTAAATAATTGGGTAGTTTTTGCTGACAAAAAAAGTATAATCATTTTTAGTATAATAATTATTGTTATAAAGCATTGTTCTACTTTTCTTATACCTCGAAGAATGGTCTACCAAATCTTGGAACATCTGAGTAAAGTTTGATTTCTTCTAAATGAAATGTCTTGCACATAGGCGAAGGCTGTCTGAGAATAATTTTAATCTTGCAAACATTGTTCCACGCCTAGTTAAAACAAATATTTAAAAAGCAATATGGCTATAATTGTGTTTATACATATACCTCTACTGTGAATAGAGAAAAGTAATCTTGTGCATCGTTCTCATAGTGAGGCCATTTCATTAGAGTACGATTCTTAATGGCGACTTCCCAGTTCCTAGATCCCATTGGTGCGCTTTGATTGTTTGAGCGCAACAAAAGTACACTGACGCTAGCTGTATAATAGTTCCTAAACGTTATTTCGCCTACCTACAATATACATTTATCGGAAATATAGTTATATTTTTAATATTACTATGAAACATAAATAAGAGTACCTTGGAGTTTTTTTGTAATTTTAGTTCTATATAAGAACAACCGGTAAGTACTTTCTGTTTTTTATGTATATAAATAGGAACAGGTCCTTTCACATTAAAATCCAAAGGTCGAGCCATAGATGGACAATACAATAAACAATTTAAGCCTAAAGGAACAAAGAACAAAAACGATTTGAATAACAAAAAAGTGATGTTAATCAGTTAAAACCTTGTTGGTTGACGTTCATTGTGATTATCTTGATTTTTCTTCTACATTATCCATGAATACGATTGAATTGAATGTTACCAATAATATAATAACAAGTAAGATCAATAAGTTGTATAGTAGTTGATTTTTATTCGTGCTATATTTTATGGCTTAGAGTTGTATCAATAATTGCCATAAAAAAAAATGGTTGTCTTAGAAACAAACATTTATATGAGTGATCGAATGTAGAAGTAAAACTTCAACTGTAAGAGAAGTAAGTACATAGTTAAATATTTCAAATCTGATCGTTCCCGGTCCCAAACGTGATATTATCAAACTTACTTATTGAAAAACGTATTATCACATATTATCCATTATTTATGCCTCGCTGTATAAGAAGTAGGTTAATATATGGGCTGAATGTAAAGAAGGAGTTACTGACACCTTGCGAATATATTTTTTTTACTATTATTCTATATTATTTCTATTAAATTTCGTTTTTTTAAATTATTTATTATATGACGTACAATATTGAATGTATAGAAATTTAAATTTTAAATATTAAAGAAAAAGGATTATTTATTTATTACAAAAAAATATTATTTACAAATTACAATGTATACAGTATAATAGTATAACTAATTTATTTCACATACCTATAGTTATTAGCAAACCCTTAAAGGTCGTCTTGTATGTAATATGTTAAATTTATCAAACAATTATGTACGTATATAACTTATATCAAGAACAGTCTCAATGAGTATTTATTATAACTAATAAATATCAACACTGTTAAAAGTATAGTAGAGTTATTTAAATAGTTTAGAGTTTTAAATAGTAATTTTCCTTAATAAAAAGTTTTATAGATTTTTGAAAAATCATATGCATTTGTAGGACAACACTCTTAGATCTACTTACAAACCTCAAGTCCAAAAACTACACAAATAAAAAATTATTAAGTTAATTTTAAGTTAGAAAAAATGTAAATATTTAGAGTAATTTTCTCCATTTTGAAAGGAAAGTTGTGTACTTCAATATGTTTTCATTTTCTTCTGTAGTTTGTGTGTATACTTTATGGGACATAAAGTCATATCAACCTGTGTGTAAATTAACTAAAAATTAGTAAGTAGTAAAAGCTTTTACCAATTCCCCTCCCTCAATTCAAGTGCTACAAGTTTAACATCTGTATAGTCCTTTCAGACTTCTTAAGCCAAACTATTCAACATCATGCAGTCAAACAAGTTTTGGCACCTAAGGAAGGGGCTAAAAGTTATTTCTTTCTGAATTCTGCGAACAGTTGCCTGTCCAAAGAAAGGAATGGCCAGAGCCGAGAGTCAGACCACCGATTGTCGGTTCCCATGTTGCAAAATCATCCAATACGGCAACAGAGCTCGCCAATTGGAACTACTAGTCAAAGACAAATTTGTGATACAAAAATAAAGTCATAATATAACCAACTCCATAATTAGATATATGTTATGAGTAAATATATTATATAATGCAGTAACATTCAAATTTTAAATTTTATAAAACTAAAACAAGAACATTTTCTGTGAAACACACAATTACAATTAATATATTTGAAATTTATTTGGGCACAAATATCAAAACTGAAGTAGTTTTACATTAATAAATAATACAAAATATCTCAAGAAGTTGACATTTTTTTTGTCAAAAAGAAAGAAAAAACATATTATCTATAACTTATATATTATAGCCTTAACTATTAGTTTAACTTCTAAAACATTAACTAAATATATATAAAAACCATAATATAACTTATAAGGCTATTGATAGTAATAGTTAGTACAATACAATAATTGTAACAAAGTACCATAATTAAATAATTTAAGTTTAATATATCATTTTAAAACAAATGCAATATAGATAAAATCATAATAGGCCCTAAATTAATATAAAATATACACACAGAATTTTCTACATTTTGTAATTTAATGTAAAAACTCTGGAAGTTGGACAACAATAATATTTCTTACTTCTATAAACACGATAATAACAAATTAGGAGAGAATCCATTATACAATTTCCTTATTTTATCAGACTTTGCTCAGAAAAACTTGATTATTTTTCAGACTTAATTTTTTGTTTTTTATAAGCCATGTCGTAGTTAATATGTTGTGTCATAACGGCTGAAAGTACAAATTCTGAAGAGTAAATACCTGAAAAAAATAATAATATAATAACACAAAGAATGTAAAAATAGGAATATTTTGTTTTATTTCATACATCTATTAATTTACTTGTAATAAAAATGACCTCTACTAAATGTAACAAAATGAAATGATTAATTAATTAACGCATACGTTAAAGAAACTCACCAAAACTTGCTCGAATAAGATCAGCGACCAAATGAAGATCGTTATTGCAAGCAACTACAATATACATGTTGGGTTCAATTTCTTGTATGGATCGCAATGATCGCCTTTGTTTTTCGACTGTGCCACCGGCAGATTCTATTATTTGACGAACTACAAAAGCTGGAGGATGATTCACTCCAGGTGTTACATAAAATATTTTGTCTTTGAACAACTCCTGACGACTTGAATTTGATAATATTTTAGGTACTTTACAAACTACTTTCTGATCAACTGAAACTTCTTCAATAGTATAAATAGCTTCTCCTGAAAGTAAATATTATTTGTTTTTAAACATATTTTCAACACTTAAGTATGAAATTATCAATTTTAGGCTTACCTAAAAACATATGTTGAGTAGACGAATCTTTGAGCCAGTCTGCAGTTACAATGTGTTTGACTGTTGACAAACAACATAAAAATTTAGTTGTACGGACAGACTCTTTCATTACTAAATGGGTGGCATCAGAAAATTTTTTCGCTATTGTACCACCAAGTTGTAAAACCATCTAGTGAAAAACAATACAAAATGATAAAAACACGAATATGTAATATTTTACTACTAAAATATACTCGTTGTTCTTCTTTGGCCAAGCCAAATCCAGAAAGCATAACACAAGGTCGATATTCAATTGGTGGTGGATTGATATTTGTTATTATTATGTCAGCTGTACTCAAATCATTATTTTCTTGATCTATAAAATCTGGAAGACCCGCACCAGGTCTCGGTCGCTTTCTTTTCGTAGCTACAGGATTATTACGTATTCTGTCATACAACTCTTGAGTAACATTAATCGGAATTTTCCAAGCACCTAATTGCAAATACAATTATAAACTAACAAAAATTCTATGGTTTTATTAAAATTGTTAAAAACTGCAAACCCATTAAATGATGCACTAAGCTATAATCAACTCGAAACGGATTACTGAGATTAAATTGCTGATATTTAGCATTCTCAGGCTGGTACATACAAGATAAATGACCAAACAGAATTTCGTTTAACCACTGTACATTTACTACAGGTCTATTAGTATCTCTAGCTTTTTTTACTTTTTTACCCTCCAATCTATAACAAATTAATTTTTATACAATAAATATATTTAAAAAGTAATTTTATTTATTTATTTTCACTTACTTTCGGCTTACTAAAATGTTATTTTCAGCAGAAAAATAAGAAGTTACACGAGCACCCGTTAGTTCTATCATGAATTTAACACGATTACGCTCTTCGCTCTCAAAGTTTGTCAAGGATATCATCATTTGACGGCAAGGCCTTTCTTCGCAATATGGAGTAGGAAAATGAAGAGCATACCACGGGGGCATAAGTTGTTGTTTTGTAATTATGTCACTAAGCCAATACGCTGTAATACATCTTTTACCATCTCGTAATCCCTAATTGTACGTTATAATTATATTTTAATCAAACAAGTAAAATCGGGTATATATTTTTACCTGTTGAACAAGCGGATGTTTTTGTGTTTGACAAAGAATGTGGGTGAGACGCAATGTATAAGAAGGCTCAATTTCACCGCCGTGATCTAATATAATTTGTTTCCAAGTTGGGACATCATTGATTGTATCTGCACATCGATCGTACTCAACAATCAGGAAAACACAACCAAGCAAACACTTATCAGGGGGTACTGAAAAAAGTATGTACTTAATAAATGAAGAACTAGTTGAAACATAAAAGAAAACTGACTAACATTTAAGATTAGGATTGTGTCCGAAAAATCTAGCTTGATGAGGTAGTTGCTGTTGATGACCGACTGTTTGTCCTGCTGCACTTTTAGCTAAGACTGCTGCTACCCTTACAGCAGCAGACTGGTTATAATTTGCAGGAATTACTTTATTGTTTACTGGAGTTTGGAGAGATGCTCGACCTACTACTTGAGCAGCACGATTCGAAGGAGAACTGTTTGTGACGTTATTTAAAACTGTTCTTGACTATTGATCACCAAAAAACCAATTAAAAATATTCTAAAATTAACAAAACTCACATCTTAAATACCTGATATGCTCCTTGAGTTCCTTGTGGTTGATTTTGATGTTGAGCAGCATGATGTTGAGCAGTCATTAGTCGCAATTGTCCAGCGGCACTAATTTCCTGGCCAGACATCTGTTAAAAATAAAATAAGTTTAAAACTCTCTTAACAACAATAAACTATTAAAACTGAGGCTGGATTTATTTGTATGGGGCTAAAGTGATTTGTTTAATTATAAAACCAGGACAAAAAATGGAAAAGTAAAATAATGCCTTAATAGTCATAATAACATAATACTTTGCCTAAATCCAGTCCCATTAAAAATTATTACATATTAACAAATACTGTTAACACATTAATAACATAACTATTTTACAAATTGATTTGTTAATTTCATAGCATGCTTATTAATATATTAATAGGCATTAATATACAGAGTGGCACAAATATTCAGTGGAATATTTAATAGTGACAATTAATAAATTGAACTCATAGATTTGATAGAGTAACCTAGTATTAGTAAGCAGCTAAATAATTTTAATTAAATCTCAATATATATATATATATATATATATACTAAGTTAAAAATAGTCAATTATTAATTATAAGATTATAACTTTTTTGTAAACAATGTTAATACAAGCAACTAAAGTAGTTTAACTAAACTATTTACAAATAAAAATTAGTTTTTTTAACATTATTGTACATTTAAAATATTATACTACAAGCTATAGAAAAATGTACATACTATTTATATAAAAATAGTAATTGTTAAACATTAGAAATATTTTATGAAATCAAGATAAAGAAGAAAAATTGTATACAACATATAAATTTTAAATTTTAATTAAATAATTTGTTTTTTTTTTTTTAAATACAAATTAAAAAATGTCACAATTTGGGTTATGTTCACACAAAAAATAATAATTAATTCTACAATCTGCAGAAGTATAGTCAATAATGTTTCTTGGTTGCTATTTATTATGTTCTGCATGTCACGCAATGACGAATTTACAGAAGTGTCAATACTTTGACCGTATTTAGAAAATTAATTAAAATCTCAGAACCTCATTAAATTCGCCATTACATAAAATATGGACAATTAATAAAACTGATCATGCATTGGTAGAATAAATAGAAAGAAAAAGATTAAAGAAGTCATTGTTTAGAGATCACACTGCTATACTGCAAAGAAAAATAATTGGCCAAAAAACACATTGGTCCAACATTTTCTTTTATTTTTACCTGTTGCGTTGAACTTGATGATGATATGCCATTTTGTAAACGTATACTTAACATATTAGCAAGAGCAGTTTTAGTCTTTGGATTAACAACCAATGCTTGTTGATTTGTTTGAGATGTTTGCTAAAAAAATATGATTTTGGATGCTTTGAGTAGCAATTTATCTTTTTCCAGAATAAATTAGTTTTAATAAAAAATGTTACTTTTATTAAGTTTTTAACAATCCGTAAAAAGATAACTTACTATTTTTCAATTTCAATAAACTATGCTTACAATAATTTTATCAATAATTTAGAAATTATCTTTAATATTATTATTTTATTTGCAATTATATAAATGATCGATTAGAAGATTGTAGTAATTTATTTGTATAATTATTTGCACATGTATTTGTGCAATAATGCTTAACAAGCATTATTCACTAAACTATTTACACCTAATTAATATTCTGCACAAAACAAAATTAGACTTCTTACAAATATTATTGACTATAAAAAAACAATACTTACAGTCCAGTTACAAAACTAAATTTATAATAAATAAAATATAACATAGTTACATAACATATTTTATACATTATAATATAAGTTAGGCCCTTTCAACTGAAATATTACTAAATGCAAATAAACAATATGTAAAAAATGCAATCTTAAAGCGTGTTTTTGTTGTCAATAAAAATATAAAATTTACATGCCTACTTCCAATAAACCGCATTTTAACATAAATTACCCAAGTGAATGGAAAGTGCTATTTATTAAAGGGCAAAAAATAAACAATATATTACAAATATTGATCTAGTAGCCATTTAGTTATTTAAGTTTGCAAACAAAATTAATTCTTTTACTTTAGTGTTATATTATGAAACTTTTATTATAAGACTCAATCAGAATACTTGAGTACCAATAAATATACTTATTGAACATTTCTATTATTATAAAACTATTGACAGGTTTTCTGTCTAGTAACAAAATAAGGTTTGGTATTAAATTAGATACACATCTCACATACAATACACTACTTATTGAAATATCTCTTAGACAAATTCCGTTTTTTAAAAAATTAATTTGTCTACAAATGAATAAAAATACTATTTATGTAATGCAAAAAAAAAACAAATTTACATCCCAGAATAATATTTACAACAATACAAAAATCTTCTGTAACAGAATTATAAAAAGCCAATTCCCTTCAGGAAAAATTTTCTTTGAGAATAATTTTAATAATACAAATTAGTTACATTCTAAAATTAGCTTACGTACCAACAAAAAAGAAAATATTCAATTTTCTTAGAGACATTATTAATAGGAGATAGGTTTGTAGGCAGTTTAAAATACCAGATTAGAATACATTCATAAAATACACCGCTGTAGTCATATTTCTAAATCTGTAGCTAATTTATAGTGTTGAAACTCAGCATTCCAGGTGCCAACGGGTACAGATACGACGGGGGGAGACTATGGAGGTTATATCCACTCCCTTATATACTTAAGTTGTATTTATTAATAGGGAACTTTCATATTATTTTTTTTAATAATATATTATACCTATATTATGTATTGGAAGAGAATTTTTTTTTAGCCCTACCCCTAATTTTCCGTCATAGATCCGCCTCTAGGTCCCAAAACATGAATTTCATCTAAAATTTATATTTTGTAGGTGTTTATGCATATTTTTAATATCTTAACCGGTTGTTTATGTTTCATAACAGTATGTAATGAATACACAGAAAACATGGTATAAAATATAATAAGTTGTCCGTTACCAAAAGCCCATTACTAATTTAAGTACAATGATCCTTCACCATTATAAATTTGTATTAATTACTAATAACATTGATTATAAATATTATAGATAGCCTACTAAGACAAAGTTCAGTTCTGTACATTGACACAGGACGGACGCAAGTAGAATCGTTTCCATAGAAAATGACACTACTAGCGCCTGTTCCTTGTCGGAGTACAGAACTGAAATTTGTCTAGGTGGGTGATCTATAATATTTATAATCAGTACTAATACTTACAGCAAATGCCTCTGAACCCGTAGATGGCGTTTCTGTTTGATCATTGGCTGGTAAAGGTACTGTTTGTTGATTCTGTGCTATTGGTGTTGAAACTGAAGCAACTTGGGAAGGCTGCACAACATTTTGTTGTTGCATAACTCCTGTAATTGGCTGACCAGAAGCAACCTGCTAATGAAAATTATATTACATTATTTCATTTTATTATTTCAATTAAAGCCTACCTGTTGTTGCATGACCTGTTGCTTCTGTGTAGCATCCATTTGTAATTGTTGCTGCAATCTTAACTGATGTATTTGTTGACGTTGATGTAGTTGAGCTAACTGAGCAGAAGACATGTTTGCAGCTGGTGCTTGTTGATGTCCTATGTATATATATATATATATTTTTTTTTAAGTTCTATTCTTAAGTTTAATATTGGAAATTAAATTTCAAATAAACCTTGTTCTGTAACGGCTGACTGTTGCCAAACAGTAGTTTGTGGTTGGTTGGCCTGTTGGTTGTTTACCAATGTGTTATTAACAGTTTTTACATTTGTAGGCAATCCAGTCGTTACTGTTCCCCCTGCCATTTGTTGTTGTTGTTGTACTAATAACTTAAAGATAAAAAGTTATACTTATTTTTTTAATTTAAATATGGCTTCGACTACTAGGTCATTAGCCTTTAGTTTTATACTTATTTGTCATAGTATGTATATTAAAATATATAAATTTGAATAGGCGTGTAATTTACTTGCTGCTGTCGCATCTGATTCCATTGAGCTTGTTGAGCCGGTGTCATTCCAGAAGTAGATATAAGCTGATGATTTAAAGTACGAATTACTGTTGTTTGTCCATTAGGAGTGTTTTGTCTAATATTTGAGCCCCCAATTCCAGCTACTTGCTGTTGACGTGCCTATAAATAACAAATTCTAGCATTAATGATTAAATTTATAATAATCTAATTTAAAATGACTTTTTTACATTGAATTGTTGTAGCACAATATTTCTTTGCTTTGTTAGTTTATTAATGAACACTAATCTGTCAGCTGGGTTCATAGCTTGTATTTGTTGATGAGTTTTAGCATCCATGTGTATCATTTGTTGGGGTCCATGCTAAAATATAAAAGTTTATTTGTGTAATTTATTTATATAAATAAAACATTTAATAATTTGGCTCTATTCGGCTTACAGGTGATTGCTGTGACCAAATAAGTCTTTGATCTAAAGGTTGCTGAATAGTTCGTTGAACAGTTAATGTTTGCTGTTGTGCCCACTGGGTCTGAGTGGTAGGTTGTGTATTTGCTACATTAATATTATTTACAGGCTGTTGTGCTTGTTGTCCAATAACTAAAGTTTGCTGTTGTTGAATTTGTTGAGTTTGTTGTTGATTAACTTGGACACGAGACTATAGTGAAAATTTTATTACGATTATGTGTGATATAAAATTATAATATCAGAATAAATTTACCATATTTGCTGAAGGAGGCGCCATTCGCCACTGAGTTGAAACAGTCCCACCACCTTGTTGAACAATACGTTGCTGAAACAATAATCTTTGCTGTTGTTGTTGTTGTTGTTGCTGCTGTATAAGTATTTGCTGTTGTGTTTGAGATGGTGGCATTTGTTGACCATTGGATACTATACATATTTGTGATGGTTGAGAAGACTGAACATTCTGCAACTGTGGTTGTTGTTGTTGCTGCTGTTGAGTATGAACTTGTGCGTTCTGGACCCCTTGTTGTTGTTGTTGTTGTTGTTGCTGTTGCTGCTGCTGCTGCTGTTGCTGCTGGAATTGTAAAGATTGGTTGTTTCCTGTTTGAAATTGTAATTGTTGAATTTGTTGACCTTGTTGTAATTGTTGCTGTAACTGATTAGGAATTTGTTGCTTTTGTAACTGAGACATCTGAGCTTGTTGGATTTGGACAGATTGTTGTTGAAGTTGTGGAATTTGAACCTGTTGAGGTTGTCCTGATTGCATTTGGACATTTTGTTGTTGTAATTGAGATATTTGAGTTGAATGTTGTCCTGTTTGTAGTTGCTGAACATTTGGTTGTTGTTGTAGTTGGATATGCTGCTGCCCTTGCTGCAACTGGACAGTTTGCTGTTGTAAGGTAATCTGTTGCTGGCCAGGCTGTAGTTGTGGAAGTTTTTGCTGTGCTTGTAAATGTTGTTGATTTTGTTGTTGTGGACCTTTATGCATTAATTGTAGATGAGTTTGTTGTGGTTGAGTTTGTTGTAGTTGAGTATGGTTTTGTTGAATTTGCGGTTGTTGCTGATTTGGTTGAAATTGCAATTGTTGTCCATGTTGTAATTGAATTTGCTTTGCTTGTTGAATTTGTTGAGCTCGTATTTGTTGCTGCTGCGGAAATTGATTTTGTTGTTGAGGAATATGTATTTGTTGCTGTGGCAATGTTTGGTTATTAACGTGGGTTTGTTGTTGTAATTGTAACTGTTGAACTTGCTGTTGTGAAAGACGTTGAAGTTGTGGTGTTGACATCAATGACATAGTTGGTTTTTGTTGCGTACCACTTATCAGTTGTTGTGTTCCCTGAGATACTTGAGGTGATGAAACCTATTTTATTAAAATTTATTAAATTAAATAGTATATATATATACTTATATTTATATGCTGAGATAAACTGGTAATGAATAGGCATATTATGACATGTAAAAATACAGCAATGTTAAACTTTAAAATAAATAAACATCAGTTATTACTTGAATGGGTTGAGATGTTGGAGGAGTTGATGGTTGATTCCATGGTAAGCGTTGTTTCAACTGTTCTAATCCTTGGTTTTTAGTAACAACAACTTCAGGCTGTTCAACAGGTGCTTCAAAATCTGCAAAACCGGTAATTGTTGACAAACCGCTTGTTTGTACTTCTGTAAAATAATTATATTAAAAATGAATAATACAAATAATTACTTATAATACTAAATATTAAATAGCAATAGTTTACTATGTGGTGGATTATTCGAAGTGACTGGTAACATAGGCCTAACAAGCAGTCTAGGGTGATAGATATTCTCAGGACATAATTCTCTTTTTTTCAAACTATCAATTATCCAGTCAGGAGTAACAATTTTGATCTTCTCAGAAGCTTGAGATAGCGCAACATCATATTTTTTCTAAATCAAAGAAAAAAATGGTAAATTAATTATATTAAAAATGATAGAATAGTCTTAAATTATTGCATACCCCTGATGGTTTAGTTATTACTAAATGTGTGGTTTTATTTAAATCTAATGTCAGACTAAAAGTGCCTCCATTATAGGTAATCAACGCCCATAAAGTTTTACAATCATAAGCATTAATTTGTGAGACACATGCCACAACACCTTTAAAAAGGTTATCTTCAAATGGATTAAACGGTTTTGTTCTAGAATTGCATTCTTAAGGAATATTACACAAATGCAATTAATCTATGTTTCAACATAAATTTTGTTAATCAATATTAGGTTAGCTATCTGCTGTAAATTCAGTATATCAAATCAAAATCCTAAATCTATAATGTACATCTACTTATTCAGTCATTCAAAAATTCTGTTGCAGGAAATATTTCATCATAATATATAATATATTAAAAATCAGTCACTTTAACCAGACCACCTTCGATGTTGGGGCCTGGGTATTTAACACAATATTTTCTAGGGGAAAAAACTATAAAATAATGTAAATTGTAAAAAATATGAAATATACAAATCAAATTTTTGGTGGTCCTTTAAGAGCCAGGCCGACCTTGTTATAGACTATAGTATACCTAGATTATAGTATATTTAAAAAAAAAAATTTTAAAGCTTTTAATTTAATTAGTTTATCTCAGAAACTTAATTTTAAATTTACAGCATCCTAAGGTTTAAAAATCTTTTCTTTTACAATGTATTTAAAGGATACGGCATAAGTCTGTTACATATGACAGACATACGAATCCATTCAGGAGCTACAGTTATCACATCATACAGTTCTCTTGCAGCACTAACATCATCTTCAACAAAATTGTCACCAACAATGCAATGTGTAACTGAATCTGACAATAAACATGTAGATTCTGCATTACTATTTTTAAGAATGGTTGATACCTAAATTAACATTAATAAAGATACAAAAAAATTAACATTAGTTTTACTTAACACAATATTTAATGAATTTATATTACTTACGTCATCTCCAATTGAACCGCTGGCAAAATACACAATTTTCGCAAATAAATTATTTGCGACTTCAACAGGCAAAGAATCTTTGATATCATCAGTTTTTGAAGTTGAATCCATATTTAGTGTTTATTTTTAATTTTGAATACTTCCCGGGAATCCAACTTACATTATATTCATAAACTACTAAACAATAATCTCAATTTAATATAATTAAATTCTGAATTAATTACTCAAGGACGATAAGTAATAAGATTGTGGCAAGTTCACATACTTTTCAAATGAAAACTGATTCAAGTAATTCCCATATTTTGAGTTTCATATTTATTTCAATTAAAAATGTAATGACTATACATCGCACTCTCAAAACTTTTAACTTATAAGAATTTAGATTGAAGAGGTGTTTTGATAATGTTGTAAACAAAATACAATCATAATAGCAGAAACGCTTACGGTGTTGCCAACGAAACGATTAATGATTTTGTATTGCGCTTATAGCTGATAACGACTACATATACCATTTATTGTAAAAGTTGGCGCCACTGAGAGGCGGTTTTTTGTCGGGCGGAGATTTGTCAGGCGAAATTTTGTCCGGCGGAGTCAATAGTCAATGAGAATTGAGACACAGATTGAGATTGAGATCTGTGATTGAGATCTACCACGGAATAGACCAAGGTTATAAAGAAGTAAGAAGTAAGAACTCTATTTCTTTATAATCGTGCTGTCTACATAGTTATCAATCTGTATATTGGTTTTCGGGGGTTGCTACCACTTATTCCATAGTGTATAAATTACCAAAGTCTAGTTTTTATCAGTAGGTGGAATTTGTATTGATACGGATTACGGACAGCAAGTCACTGGTTGTTGGACGCTCGCTTGGCACCGTCGCTTCGTTCCGCTAAACCAAAAATATACTTAGGTTTGCAGACTACAGTCTAGGAGGAGGTTGCAGGTTTAAATTTAAATTTAAGTTAAAAAACTGTTAAGAAACTGGTCACTGGGAAAAAATTGTCCATGGTAACGTATGCAATTTGGGATAAGTGGTGTTGGCCCGTTAGCAGCACGAATTGAAATGAATTATTTTAACTCATGGTTTTCAGTAAACACTGTTCCTAAATAGGAGAATGGTGTGGTGGTTTTTTTTGGCCAAGGGTCCGGATAAAGTTCCAGAAATTGTTAATCATTTGTTTCGGAGTAAAAAAATGTTTCTATTTTATTTGTTCCGGAACAAATCAAAATATTTGTTTCTATCCGATATTTGTTATGAAACAAATGAACCTATTCGTTCCTATCCGATATTTGTTCCGGAACAAATCGTTCGTTTGTCCCAGAAAAAAAGTTTATTTGCTTCGGAACAAATAACTATTTTTTTCGGAGCCAATAAACTTATTTGTTCCGAAACAGATGTCGGATCGAAACAAATAAGTTGATTTGTTCCAGAACAAAATAATATCGGATAGGAACGTTCCGTCGTCTATTATCCATTGTCTCGTGTCCAGTCCTATAATCACCAACTCAGACACGACTATTTTTTAAAAAACTTATAGAGTAATTTGAAGTTAAAAAATGTGTACGTTTTTAACAAATTATTATGAATATTAGGTATACCTATGTATATTGTATAATATTGGAATATTAGACACTTATAGGGTTTTTACTTGGTATTATATATTTTTGTAATTCTAAGTGTTAATTCTAGTGTAATTCTAAGTGTTATTATATAAACTATTTAGTTTTAGAAATAAACTTATACTAATTATATGGACTATAGGTATATTCAGTAGCGTATCTAGGATTTTTCCACGGGAGAGGGGGGGATATACAGATTTTAACAGCCATACCTATTCAATATAAACATATATTCATATTATTATATACCTGTTGCATGTAAACAAAAATTTGGATTCTTAACTACAAAACAAAGTCTAATTTTCTTGAGGACAGTGAGAGAATATTGAGTACTTCAGCAGGCATGACCGTTATATTTTAAATTATGTTTCAAATAACCTCCCGGGGGCCCGGGATATAACCCCCCCCGTAAATATGTCACTGGGTTTAATGATATAATATATGACTATTATTGTTTTCATTAATTGCCACAAATTCCAACAGAAAAAGTATATAAAACCAAGCATACGAAATACAATATAATATTATGAAGCTATCTAATAATTTAATTATACATTAAAATAAAACAATAAATGCATATACAAATGCATAATTCCAGTTCATTGGCTATCCTGCATACAGCCCGTTTTTTCTGAAATCCCCCATTTTTAATTATTAATTTAAGACGACAATTCATATTCATACCTATGAATAGGTAAATTATTTATTAAAAATAAATAGTAGGTAGTTCGTAAAATGATAATCACGATTTCGTACTACTAATTAACTTGGTATTTACAGTTTAGTACATTAATTGTTACTTGTTAAATATTTATTTTATAATCTCCATATTTTCATTATACATTATAATTATTATAGTAGGTACTTCTAGAAATATGTATTTAATGCAAGTACAATGACAAATGTTAAGTTGGCTACACCACAACTCGCAAGATACATCTCTTATTAGTTCAGTGGCCGCTACGACGGCAAGAATGGTAGAAAGTGTAGTCTGCATTACCTGAGAATTGGACAGTAATCAGTATTCATTGGTACCTGCTACGTTAGCGTAGCTGTTGCTGGACAAAAATTCAAACGTAATTCAAACTATACTTAGTTTTAATGGAAAAATTCTGTACCAATTTCTCTTCCAGTAAAAGTAAGATTTTTTGTATTATTATATGTTTTTTGATAATAGTATTTACAATAAATTATATTAAATATTAAAAATGTATACTTTACTACAATAATATAATACATATATTTGTATTAAAATATTATATGTATTATATACACCAGTCCATTTTTTTCACAAAGATTTAAAAAGCATTTAACAAATTACTATTGTGTTAAATTGGGTATATTATGTACATAATTGGTTTTCATTGAATTGGTACCACAACACTTACCTATTCAATTTTATTAAAATAGTACAGAAAAAAAGAATGTACGCACAATATTCATTTTTTTATAGTTTTTTATTTTTCCAAAAAATCTACAATTAAATTATTATTTTAAGTGTATCTGCTACGCTTTAAAATAATTTTAAAAAAGATATACCGTAAGGAAAAAATGAATTTAAACAATATTGTTTTGAATCTATTTTATTTTTAAATAAGTAGTTGTCCTTGACACTTTCTTCTATGAGTCTTAAAAATAATGAACGGTATTTCATTTATATATATTGTTTCTTTTTTAAATATGTGGTTTAGTCAACAGTAATTTATTTTCTTGTATAATTAATGATATTAATTGTTTATTTACGTGTGTATTTGATGTAGTGGTATGGACGTTATGGACAGGACTTTTAAAATCTCGAAACTTTTCTTAACAAAGTTATAACTTCAACAAACAAATCTTTACAATAGTTATTCAGGAGAATTATACTTAGGTATCTATGCCCCTTCTTTCTATCATGTGAAAGCAAAACGAATTCTTAAACCATCTCCTAAAATAATAATTAACTTTCTCGGTCAGTGGCGTAATAAATATTTAAATAATTAAGACATTTTACTTGCAAAAACCTGAAGAAAAAAAAATACATACATACATAGGGTCATGATCTTTATCACAATCCTAAAATGCCATATGTTTTCTACTAAAAATGTATTTTTTAATTAATAAAGTATGGTAGCAGAGCAGATTTTCAAATTTGATTGAAACTTATTATATTTTACTCTGATGTATGACTAAATAAACAAACAACTTTAATCATCCTTATGTCAATATTAAATAACAATAATTTCTTTGCAGTCCCCCATTTTGGTCCTACAGTTACTCTACTACTTAAATATTATTAAATATTTTATATTATGTACTCGTTTCGATACTTGGATCTCAGAAAAATAATTTTAAATCATCGCGGTACGTTGCCTAGACCGATCTTCACTCCCTCAGTGTGTTCTCTACCACAGTTTGCTCTTATCATTAAGCAACTTAACGCCTACCTATATTTTTATTCATCCAGCTCTGATTTCTTCACCCATACTAAATATTTTTTCTTATTTTCTTAGTCACTTCCCCAAGAATCTTTCTTTTTTCCATTTTACAATATCTTTCTTTAATCTAATTATCCACTAATTTTCCAAAATTTGTATGGCTTCATTGACGTTTCCATATTGGCCTCGTCGGTAAATTGTGCATTTTTTATTCCTAGCCTTAGAATTTCTTTCTTCTCCAGCCTCCATCTGTACTTTTCTTCTTTTAATACATAATACACTGCCAAAAATTATGTTTGGTCCTATATAGCTAGTAGTTTTTTCCCATTATTACTATTCCGATTCCCGAAAAGGGCATGCCTTTTCGCTCTCTCTACCAATCCTTTCAATTTTAATATTTCTTTCTTTATTCAAACCATAAAAACTCTTGTACAACTGTCTCTGATACGGAAGTCTAGATCCATTGAATTCCGAAATCCACAGTAATAAAAATGTTAATTCTCTTGTTGAATCGTCCTCATTTTTCTTACAAATTCCTTACACAGATATTCTGCAGCTGTATAGTGTTCATCTCTCGAGCGTGACAAGCCAAATGATCTTTCTTCTTCCCATAATTTGCTAACTGGCGTCATCAGATCTATCGGACCATCTTAAATTCTCTTGATTTCATCTACCTTAACTCTCTATTATAAATTTTCCTCCTTTTCCAGCTTTAGAACTTAGTCTGTCTCATAAATAAGGAAGTCACAATCGGCGACTTTTCTCATTTAATCGTATTCCTACTCTTCTCTAGCCAACAATAGTTGGCTAAAGAAGGCTATTAACCCCACTATACGGAGTTAATGTAACGCACCTATAATATAGGAGTCCATCTTATATAGACTTATACTTTTGGTGAACGATTATAAAAATTATTTATAGTAAGAAATCAGTGTAGTGATTTAAAGTTTGTCATGGGTCCAGACGCAAATAAAATGAAAATTATAAAATGTAAGAAATTCTCAGGTCCATATTAAAGCTATAATATTTGATCATACATAGGTATTATACAGTTAAATTGAATGAACTTAAAACTAAGAAAGCCATAATGAAAAAATTGCGTTTATCCCATATTTCGACGAGATGGCGGTCAACTGCTGCTGCACCAGCTGTGTCTTCAGGAACTATCGACTCATTTGATGAAGCTGAAAACTTAGCTAAAGCCAAACCCTACTGTGATGTTCCGGGACCAACTCCATGGCCAATTATCGGAAATACTTGGAGAATGTTACCGATCATTGGTAATGACATATAACTATTGACTTTGATAAGTAAACACAATTGAATTATATTTGGTTAAGTCTTTCTTGGTTCCAATAGGTCCTTACCAGATATCGGATTTGGCTAATGTATCGTACGTACTTTACAAGCAATACGGAAAAATGGCAAAACTCGGTAATCTTGTTGGACGTCCGGATTTATTGTTCGTTTACGATGCCGACGAAATAGAAAAAGTTTACAGACAAGAAGGAGATACGCCATTTAGACCCTCTATGCCTTGCTTAGTTAAGTACAAGAGTCAAGTTCGAAAACAGTTTTTCGGTAGACTTCCCGGAGTAGTCGGCGTGTAAGTGTAGGAAAAAAGAAAATAATATAACTATTTAATACTTAATTAAATGTCACATTGTATATTATAGGCATGGAGAACCATGGAGAGAATTTAGAACTAAAGTTCAAAAGCCAGTACTACAGCCTCAAACCGTAAAAAAATATATACAGCCCATCGAAGAAGTCTCCGACTACTTTATCCAAAGGTATAAAATAATATTACGTAGTTGTACGACTATAGAATATAGTAAAACGATCCCGGATTTTACAAATAAATATAAATGTATTAATTATGTTTAGAATGCAAGAAATGAAAAACGAAAATTCTGAAATGCCTGCTGATTTCGACAATGAAATTCACAAGTGGGCATTGGAGTGCATAGGTCGAGTGGCTTTAGATGCTAGACTGGGTTGTTTGAGACCCGATTTACCTCATAATTCAGAGCCGCAAAAGATTATAGATGCAGCGAAATACGCTCTTCGTAATGTAGCTCTGCTAGAACTAAAATATCCATTTTGGCGTTATTTGCCGTCAACGCTTTGGAAGAAATACGTGTCTAACATGGACTATTTTATCGAGTAAGTTGGTACCTAAATCGTTGTTTGTTTAAATTCAACCATTGGTTAGTAACTTAATAGGTTAGGTTAATAGATAAATTAGTTTTATTAAAGAATGATTTTATAAACAAGTAATTTTACCTACATTAAAATAAACTATGATGTTTTAGAATATGTATGAAGTATATAGATGACGCCATGCTGAGATTAAAAACCAAACCAGCGATAGTCAATGAAAGCGAATTGTCTTTGGTGGAAAGAATATTAGCTAACGAACCCGATCCCAAAACTGCCTACGTATTAGCGTTGGATCTTATTCTTGTCGGAATAGACACGGTATTTTAATTAGTAAATAAATTACAATGTACAAAGTGCTAATTCAGATTATTATAATATTTTATTTATGGCGGATTTTCTAGATATCGATGGCTGTATGTTCAATGCTTTATCAAATAGCGACGAGGCCTGAAGAACAAGAAAAAATATATCAAGAAATGTTAAAAGTGCTTCCCAACAAAGACGACAAATTAGATGCGAGTAAATTGGAAAAAATGATTTATTTGAAAGCATTTATCAAAGAAGTATTACGGTAAGTTTGATCGTGTGATTTAAAGTTATGCAAATAATATTTAATGACATTTTTAGGATGTATTCAACTGTGATAGGAAACGGTAGAACATTACAGAAAGATATGGTCATTTGTGGTTACAGGATACCAAAAGGCGTAAGTAGAGACTAGAGTACCTTTTATTTCATATGTTTATATTAAAATAAAGCCTCAGATATGACATAAATGGCAATGTCAGTCATTGCTAACAAATATAATATCCTGAAATGCCTTGAACAATGTTTTCCCACACTGAGACGAAACATATAAAAACATTATTTATATCGTAAAACACGAATGAAGCTGTTGGGCGATTACTTTTATCGAAGTACTCTACGTAGCAGCCAAGATCACTTACAGTTTTTAACATTTCGCTCGACCTTTCTGTGGCCTGACAAACTTTAGTGCGATCCGAGAATTTCCACTTTGTATTTAAAGGATATATTTTATCTGTCTCCAAATTTAAACCGTATGATGAAAAATCGTGATCACATGACATTCTTAAGCCCTGGAAACTCAAATATTATGATCTTCAAAATATTTACAGCTTATCAATTATCATTATATATTACTTATGATGCACAGTGGTTTATAATCTAAACATACAGGTAGCAAAAGATAAAATTAGTATAAAAAAAAATGTCGTAATATATAATATGTCATTGTATAAATAAACTAATATGTAAATTATCACCCACTTATTGTCCGTAGTAATAATATTTCAATAATAAATGTAATCAATTTATTACAGATTCAGCTAGTATTTCCAACTATTGTTACGGGGAACATGGAAGAGTATGTGACGGACTGTACACAGTTCAAACCCGAAAGATGGATGAAACAGTCGACCGGATATATTCATCCATTCGCATCGCTACCATATGGTCATGGACCTAGAATGTGCTTGGGAAGAAGATTTGCTGATTTGGAAATGCAAGTATTCATCGCCAAGGTAAATAATTGATGCTCACTAAATCGTTTAATGTACAATATATAGTTCTAAATCAGAACTATATATTAGTTAGAACGTCTAAATTTCATACTATGTATAATTATTTTTTATAGTTGATCAGATCGTACAAGCTGGAATATCAATACGAACCGTTGAAATACAAAGTGACATTCATGTACGCCCCGGACGGCGAATTGAAATTTAAAATGACTGAAAGGTCTTAAATGATAGCTGATAATTTATAAGATATGCTATTTTTGTATAATCATAATGATTAATAAATAAATGTATTTTTTAATTTTTTTTTACCTGTGTTGTATAGGTTTGCTCGCCATTCTTAGCTTTTGGCATAAAACGAAATTTCATGTCAGTATCTTGAAAGTTCAGGTCTTTATGATTCCAAATGCGATAATCATAGCAACTCGTGTTTACATCACCCGATTCCAAAATTATATCTGTAGAATAATTCAATTAATTTTGTTCCTCTCTTTTTTTTAAACTACAGTTACTTCGGTATTTAATCGAGCGGAAGTTTTAACCCGTTGAACCACATAAATGTATTGTATGTTTCCCTTTCTTCTGGGAAGATATTTGAGTTCAAACTGTACTCCTGGCCAGTGCCGTTACGTGATAGTTCTTGTACTTGGTTATTAAACGATTACAACGTGAAATATCATAATCATATCGACATTGTTGTTTAATATTTTCTTTTGGATGTACACTGACCGTTTTGTTTTCTAAAAAATATGCATTTGACGTTTGTAATTCGTTGTTCAGTTTATGAGGTCTGTTGTAGCAATATGCAAACACATGGTCCCATTGTTTTCCGATTTCGGCTGTGTTTAAGGGTTGGACAATGTTGAATTGTTGTTCTTGGTTATTAAAAGTGTTTTTAAAATGATCATCAATTTCTGTTTGTTTTGTTAAAGTTTTACAGTTTGTTGAATCCTTGTGGCTTTCAGAGAGTTTTAGATACTTTGATAACCTATTATTTACATATTGCTTTGTTTTATCTAAATCGGATAGATTTTTAAACTCGTGTTCATTTGATAACTCTATTTCTGACAAACGGTATTTATTTTTCCAATATTTGACTGTTTTTTTGTTTTTATTGTAAAACGTTCCTTCATGATTAATCATAACATCATCATCGCTTTTGTCATAAGATTTTTTAGACATGCTAGAAAACTTCGGAAATAATATTGCTCAAATCTGTATCTTATATTAAGTAACTGAAAAGGATAAATGATACAATTATTATTATAATCGTGGGTATACCAAAAAAACTAATATGAAATAGCATTATATGGTATTAATCTAGATTATTTCGATCTGTATTGTTCATAATATAATTAAACTAAAAGGTTACATGTTTTATACCATATAATGCTTTATACCATGTATAAAGCGATACATATAGGCAATTTTTCACAAAAATGTAATTTTACCTAACTTTATTTTGTGAGTATTAGCGTCATAATGATTAAATAAATAACAGAATTTTGTTTTTAATAAGTACATTGTACAATTTTACTGAAAATGAAAATAGAATATAATGTCTTAGCTCTTTAGCCTTCTCAAAGAACTCAAAAATTCCCCCTCCAAGAGATCTTTTAATTTACTTCAAAATCTATGTTTAAAATCGTTTTTTTTTTTAATCAAATCAATGTAAACCAAACAAAATATTACGAAATTAGAAAAAAAGCTCAACCTCAAGCACTTTTAAATTGGCTGTAAATATTATTCAGACTTGAACGTACAAATTACAAAGTACAAATTTACGAATCTTAGCCTATAATCTATAGAAGAAGAAAGTCCTAGCTGAAATTAACAGGTTTCTCGTGCATTTCTATGCACTGACAGTGTCCATCTAAAATAGCTAGATAGGTCATGAGTATGTAAATCAAAGAATGTAGCGTAGTTTTCCGTCCTTTCACTATTTTTGCAAAACTCCATTACTTTTTCTCTCAAACCGGTTAGACAGGTTTTAAATCTAATATTGGCTGTACACAAATGTAAACAAGAGGAGGAACGTAAACGCTGGCTATGCGCACACCAAGCTGGCTAAAACTGTGGTCAATTTATGAAAGCGAAAAACCCTACCCATCCGCAATAATAATGTTATGTTTTGGTGTCCTGTCCGGCGTGTCCTAGAGTAGTATGTATTAAGTCTCGGCGATATGATCATGGAATGGTGAAAATACTTGATTAACATAGTGAAGGCGTGCACCGTAAAATCATTTTTGTTCTTATTCTTCGTTGTTCTTCGTTACTAGCAACATTAAATGTTAGAAAATCATGATATTATATCGTGTTGTGTGTGATTGCAATGTCAATAGTGTAAATTTCAAATCAAAATTTTCTGTTATTTCTTTGAACAAGTAATATATTTTCATAGCTGCAAAATTCGTACATAAGGTAAACAGTATATTATTAAAAACTAGTAAATCGATAAGTCGAATTAGAAATTCATTATGAAATTAGGATTTTCATTTTCATTACAAACTCTAAATCATGGGTCTTAACTCTTAGTATTTTCTTTGGACAGTCAGGAATTCTTTATCTTATAATCTAGATTATAAGCTAGATTAATAGCTTTATTTCAAAGAACATAAGACCTTTACAGTTTATTAAAACAATAAGATAAAGTTTTTAATACGAAACAAGAGCACACATGTTATAGACAAAAGTTAAGTAGCTAAAATATATAATAGAAAGCTAAAATCAAAATGGTATCACATAGTTAAAATAATACGTAGTTATGGTAGTGAATGGTGACTATGACTCAAATTAATTATTTAATTTAAACAAGTAACTAAATATTTTTTCCTAGAGAATTTATAAACATATTATATTTTAATGGTTTGATTAATATTGAATATTTTTTTAATAAATTTGATTAAAATAAATCTGAAGCTTGGTATGGCCACATAATTTTATTTTACGTTTATGCTATTTTTATTTTATTTTATTAGCACGAATTTAAATTTCTTACTACAAAGAAAATTATTAAAAGAGCGAGGAAAAAACAAAATGTATGTGTATTTAATTTAAAAAATGTAATTCTATAACTTAATTATAAATTATGTGAATCGCTAAATTTAGAAAAAAAAAACAAAAGAGAAAGGGTCAGCTTCAAAAATGTTCCTATTATCATCATTATGTTCTAAGCACACATAGCATACATCATTTACTGCAAAAATGTTACCGAATTCGATAGTCCAAACATCAAAAACTAGTACACAGCAATTATTCTTTTGTATTAATGTCTATGCCAATATTATTTTTAGTTTAAGAGACTCAGAATGATTATATATGCTAAAAACTATTGAATGTAAACAACATCAGTCACTAAAAACTGCCCGTCAATTTGATCAATATTTATAAACGCTCTTATTACTTTTTGACTTTCTCTTTTCTTCACGGCTGAACTATTTGACTTTATTACTGAGTATACAAAGACATATTTTTAGGTGTTCGTAATTATATATGATTTACTATTTATCTAAATACCCACTCGTTGACACAATTTACACAAAATACGTGATTTGAAAATCAATAACATTCCTTCCATACCCTAATTTTTAATTATATTACCTGCCACACATGGTATCGGTCACTTTGTCCGAATTTCAAAGAAAATATTTGGTTAGTAAACAGTACTTACACCGGTCAAATGACCGTCGAATACCATCATATTTATTTTTCGCAATCTTACTGGACATTAATAATTGTAATTTCAAGAAGCAAGAACACAGTCACTATAGCGAGAAAATAATAATAACCTACCATTAAAGATTTTCTTGTATGCTCTATAAGTATATACATATACACCAGAGCTTGAATTTAACAGTTTATTTTTATTAAAAAAACAAATAAAGTTATAATTTTATGTGTTTTTACTTTAATTTTTAAATAGTTTTATTTAACTTTTAAAATAAAAATGTTTAATACTTAAGTGATTAAAAACTTTTTTGTACAAAACTAGTATGCAAGTTTTCTACAAAGCAACTTTTTTACAAAAAAAATGTTTTTAAACATTTATTTCAAAAACTTTTATTTTAGATAACTTTTATAATAAAATTATTAAATAACTATTTTATTGAAAAAAATCTATAACTGTTTCAAGCCCTAATATGAATAGTAGGTATTCATATTAGGGATTTTCTTCAGTAGTAATTTACTAGAAAGATACATTAAATGATTCATCAATCATTAAAGTTTACTCTCAGTTGAATGTCCGAAGCTAAATAAACTTAAAACTAAGTATAGACTTTGTATTTATTTTGTTAGGACTTAAACATGTGCTACGCATGACTTAATAGTCAACTCATGTTATTATAAGCGGAATTTCTAATTACCATAACTTGACCGAAATCATATATCTATTTTTTCGATTCAACGTCCTCAAAAAAAGAAAGTAATATCTTCTTATAAGCCGATTGTCTTCGTAATCATAATAAATACTTAATGACACCCATTAAATTAACAACAGATCCGTGATAGTTTGACAACCATGAACTGCGCGCGTACAATACAATAGGTGCTCTCTCTACTAATACATTATATATATAATCATACTATCATGCATTTTTGTCAACATATTGACAGCGATAAATAACCTATAGCATTAAAAAAAGAGTTCCACGGACGATGCTAATTCAGTCTGTTCGCAGGGCTTACCGACGCGATAATGTCGTTACTAAGTAAGCGGCTCCGAGGATTGAGCTCTGTAGCTGGTCATCGGCTTAAATCGAGTTTAGTAAGTGCTAGCATACAGAACGATGCGGACTACGCCAAAGACTATGAGGACATGCCTGGTCCGAGCCCGTTGCCTTTGCTAGGCAACAATTGGAGATTTTTGCCATACATCGGTACGTAACCGTTTATTAAAAGGAATTTCGCCCAACTTTTTAGCATAAAAACTGAACTACGCAGAATGCATTTTTCTCGGTTCATGATAGTATTAAAAAACAAAATAAAAATAATTTTTTTGAAAAAACAACATGTCTGTTTTTTTAGTTAGTTTTTCTAGAGTATTATTCACTGATATTTCTCGCTTGGACCATGTAAAACGCATACTACGTTGCTATATTTAGGTTAAAAAGAAGTTTAAAATGTTGTCACTTGTCAATGAACACTGTGGTGGTGTGGTGAAAAAAATAAACTGCCAATAAAAAATCTCCATAACTATATTGTTTAACTTTAAATACTAAGCGGAACTTTTTATTCAGAACCCCTTAAATAATGGATAATAATGTCTTCTGAAAAGTATACATGTTTGCTTATTTTACAGGTGATTATAATATTACCGAAATAGACAAGTTATCGCTGAGACTATGGAAAGAATACGGAGACGTGGTGAAAATTGGAAAACTTCTCGGCAGACCAGACATGGTGTTCTTGTACGATGCGGACGAAATCGAAAAGGTTTTCAGAAACGAAGAGCTCATGCCACACCGACCATCGATGCCTTCCTTAAACTATTACAAACATGTACTGAGAAAAGATTTTTTCGGTGAACTAGCGGGTGTCATAGCCGTGTAAGTATAGTTAGGTATACTATGGTAGTAGAATACAGATATATGAACATAATACACCATGGAATTCGAAAGGTAGTAGCTCATTTCATGTACAGAGAAAACAACGTGGTAAAAGCGACGAGTGCGGCCAAAATTAGTCACCACGCTGTGCACCTAGAGTTATTTCATTGACGGTTTAATTGTTTTACCATAGGCATGGCGAGAAATGGTATCAGTTCCGCAGCAAAGTGCAACAACCTATGTTGCAACCGAGGACGGCTAAACATTACATTGGGACCATTGAAGAAACGGCCATATCGTTTGTGAATAGGTAAACACTTAGCAGGTGGACTCGCTCTTTGTAGATATTGAAAGCTTACAAACATTTAATGTATCATTATGTTTTATGATTATTATTAAAAGGATTAAAAAAATTAAAAATCACAATCAAGAGGTTCCACATGACTTTTTAAACGAGATACATAAATGGTCTCTTGAATGTAAGTTTCCATATTTAACATACATAGTTTACAAAAATTACACAGCATAGTATTTGATTGAAATTTAATCATAACTTATTATAATTTGGACAGCTATAGCGAGAGTGGCATTGGACCAAAAACTCGGGTGTCTCGACGATGACTACGCGATGAACTCAGATACTCAAAACTTGATAAATGCCATAAACACATTTTTTGAAAACGTACCAGTCCTTGAACTAAAAATACCTTTCTGGAAACTTTTTAGTACTCCGACTTGGAAAAAGTACATCAAAGCGTTAGACACCATTACGAAGTGAGTAATCAATGTTAATATTTGTTCTACGAAATTTGTAATTAAATACCTACCTATATTTTCGCTGTTGTCTAGGATTACTTCAAAACATATTGATAAGTCTTTAAATAAACTTTTATCAGAAAAATCATTTTGCACGGACCATCAATCTTCGCTTTTAAAACGAGTGCTTAGTTTAGATCCATCTAATCCGAAATTGGCACAGATACTATCGTTGGACATGTTTATAGTTGGGATCGATACTGTAATGGTTGATTAGTTTTATTCATATAGTATAATAGAATACAATTCTATCAATATTTGTTTAGACATCTGCGGCTCTTGCGTCAGTTCTTTATCAGCTAACTCAACATCCAGACAAACAAAAGAAAGTTAGAGAAGAAATCAAAAAAGTATTGCCCTACGCAGACACCAAGTTGACATCCGCTAAATTAGAACAACTACAATATTTAAAAGCTTGCATTAAAGAAACGTTAAGGTTAGATATAAACTGTATTGGATTTTTACTTTAATAAATTAATTATTACATAATATCTTGGCACCAGTCTTAACTTTTAACGTTAACGCTTAATTGTTTTATGATTACAGAATGTACCCGGTTGTACTTGGAAATGGCCGTTGTATGACCAAAGATACTGTTGTAGGTGGATACAAAATACCAAAAGGCGTTCAAATTGTATTCCAACATTATGCTATTAGTAATAGTAGTAAATATTTTTCTCAACCAGACCAATTTTTACCGGAAAGGTGGTTGAAAGGAACTCATCATCGTCATCATTCCTTTGCCAGTTTACCATTTGGCTACGGTAAAAGGATGTGTTTAGGCCGTAGATTCGCTGATTTAGAACTTCAAACAGTTTTAGCTAAAGTAAGATTGTATGACAAATAGTTTATATTGGCTGCAGTACTGTTACAGTTACTGGTTACATATATTTATATAATCCTTATAACCAAAATTATGTTTTAAATGTTATGAACGATTAAATAATTTAAATGTGTTATTGCTATAGATTTTACAGAATTTCCAAGTTCAATACGAATATGGTAGTCTTGATTACACTGTTCATCCGATGTACATGCCACATGGACCATTAAAGTTTAAAATGATTGAAGACTAGTGCAAATTATGATAGTTAAAACTATTAAACATCAATAAAAATCTAAATTTATTAAATTATTTGTACATACTATTGTAGTACATTTTTGTAAAATATTAAATGAATACATATATTTTAGTATTTAACCAGTTCGAATTGACTAATGACATTTTTTTCTATCTAATGTGTATTTTAGCTAATAAGTAAGATTTATAACTATCAACAAATTTATCCAAGAAGATTACAAAAAAAGCTTAACTTTGAAGAAGAACCATTTCAATTCTCATAAATCATAACTAAAATAGGTATAACCAGTAAACTGTAGAGTATTGATAGATTAGGGACATATAATTATTTCGTTTTTTAACTAGGATATATATTTTAACCTAAAACTCAAATGGTACATGGGGGGCAGAAGTAAACTTCTCTTCATTTAAAAACCTTAACCCCTACCCTTAACTATCCTAAAACAACTCAGATAACATATAACATATTATACAATTTTGTGTTATACACTTGTAAATTTTGGTCACGTGGTCATTTTGTAGGTTGCTATGTGTGAGTGAATCAATTACCAACAGATATTTGAAAATGTTTTCATTAACTGATAATAACGAAAAATGGATTATGGCTAACTTAAGCAATGAATATTATTATAGACGGACGATCAACCTTTATCGTATCCATCCTAACACAAAAAACTCATATATAAATACATTACTGTCATTACGTACAATGCTTTTATCGATATTCATATTTGTATTTTTCCAATGTGCTCCGACCCTATTGTAAGGTCTTTTTTTAATTTTTAATAAAGTATCGATGAAAAGCATCTCAAAATTCAAACGGCCACACTGTAAGAATCGATATAATAACATTGATTGTTTCTTGTTATCAAGAAAAAATGTTATCACTTAACATTGACATCAACAAGGTATTATCATTTAAAAATTATTATTTAAATGTACTTGGGTCTTCAATTGTTTTTCTTGTTTATGAGCTATTTTTCTTAATAGCTATTAGCTTATATTAAAATTTCAGAATATTAGATACTTATTTTTATTACTTTGAAAGTCTTGGTAAAGAATTCATAATGTCGTATATGTTAGCGCATTTATTTAATGGCTGGCAAGTCGACCAGGCTATTCTTTCTGAAGAAGACAGAGTTGTGGTAAGATTATTGTTTTTTAAAGAAAACGTTGTTAAAAATATGTATGTATGTACAATTATTTTTAAACAGGTTATTCGTTTTGGCCACGATTGGGATCCGACTTGTATGAAAATGGATGAAGTTTTGTACAATATTGCAGAAAAAGTAAAGAACTTTGCAGTAGTTTATTTGGTGGACATAACTAAAGTACCAGATTTTAATAAAATGTAAATCAATAATTTTATATTTTATATTGTTTTAAAACAGAACCAAGATACTTAATACATGTTTTTATGTTTATATTAGGTACGAGTTGTACGATCCATGTACAGTTATGTTCTTCTTTCGTAACAAGCATATAATGATTGATTTGGGCACAGGAAATAACAACAAAATTAACTGGGCACTTGAAGATAAACAAGAAATGATTGATATTCTTGAAACGGTTTATAGAGGTGCAAGAAAAGGCCGAGGTTTAGTTGTATCACCCAAGGATTATTCAACAAAATACAGATACTAAGAATTTATATAATTAACTTACGATATAAATTTTAAATTTTTAACCTAAAATAAATAATTTCGAGGAATGTAAATATTATAATTTTTAAGAAATGTAAACTAATAAATTTAAACGTAATACAGATTAAAAAATAATAAGAATTGGATAGTCTAAATATTGATAAATGATTAAGAGGACGTTATTCCCCCTATATATTAAGGAGTTTGGTATAGGCAATTTTTTGAAAAATCTTAATTTAAAGGTTAAACTGCGATGTATAATTATTAGTTCTGTAATTGGGACTCTTTTTCGGCGGTTAATTAATTTTCCTTAACAGCGATTTCAAAAAAATACAGAACAAAATAACATAGCTACGTCGAATGCGTTTTACTTGTTCCATATTGGTTTTAAAGCAAAAACTTCTATTATAAAATCGATAGATATCAACATGTCATAGGCAATCGACTATGACATATCTGATTTTTTAAATAATATCGTAAAAAAAAGTTGTGATTTTAAATGTTTAATATTAAGTTTTTTAAAAAAATGATATGATCTTGTCTCCAAAATCTTGTAATCTTTTGTTCTGTTTAGAATTATAAATAATAAATAAATAATTGTGACGCGCTTGAGTCATGAGTTAAGGAACTAAAATATTGGTTTTATTTTTAAACTGCCACCACGAGGGTTTGTCAAACCCGAATCATTACGACCATAATATGTAAAATTACTCAGGGTAGGTATAAAAACAAATGCAGTAATAGGTATCCGGAAATTAAATACATCTGTATTTCAACATCAACTTAAACAACACTTATAAACTATTGTAATTGTCAAGCTACAATATTGTTCAATAAATGCTTATAAGGTTTTTTTTTTTAAATGTATGATATGTAAGATTTATAGTTATTTATTGACAATATAAATTTAATTGGATATAAACTAAGATTTGAATTTAGGTATGTGATAATAGATTAAGAATAAAACTATTAAAATTAAAAAAACAATTAAGTAGTTTTAAACTTACGTTAACACTGGTTGTCTCTAATATATGTCATAAACAGGTTTTGAATATCGGCCCACCGACACTTTTCACACTTACTCCCGTCATTTAGCGTGATGGTCGTAAGTTTTTCATTGAAATAAAAAGCTATGTAATATTCATCACTATTGCTTTTGAAAAGTACAGCCATGAAGTTTGCAATCCATGGAACCATTTTGGAAGTTCTCCAATAACGGTCCTCCATGTTATTGTAGTTAGTTGACTTTAACGGAGCACTGTCTTTGGCTAGACCCAGTATCACATATAAATGAAGTATGTTATGAGCGTTTCCAAAATGAAAAGGACCATTTGAGCTGCGTCCTTCAGTTTTTGTTCTAAAAATAAAAAGTAAGTTATTAGTTAAACAGTATAAATAATTACTTATCAAATAACATTTCATTTTAGGATTGTATAGTATGTAGTTCTGACAAAAATTGTGAATTATTGATCGACATAAATTCACACAAATATTAATTACTAAATTCCAGAGATAACGTCTAGATTATATTGTAAAATTTACACGAACCAGACTGTTTATATTGTCACAATATACACTAACGTCGTATAAACTAAGCACTATACAATAAGAACTTGGAGCAAATAGAGGTTAAATATCTATAAACTTGCAGAGGAAGGTTTAAATTAAATTTTAAAAGTATTATTAGATAACTAATATTAAATGACTTAATAACTAACTATTGATTTTTGTCATACTGCGGCAGATTGAGTGAGCTGATTAACTTTAAATTTCTGATAGTACCTTCTGGATTCAACTTCCGAACCATCAATAATCCAAAAAGTCTACGATATGATTATATATTAAATTTTAAATAACTTGTCAAAAAAGTCAATCACCATATCTAAGTCAATACGAGAATCAAAAAATAAGAAAAATTAAACGTGAGTTATTTTAAAATATACCTATTTACAAAACTATAATACACAATCTGAATACTTAAGTTAATTAGTTTTCCTAAAAAAAGTTATCAAAGTACAATTCAAACATATTTATAATGGTCATAATCGATAAACAGTAACCTAGTTGACGAATAATCATTATACCTGAACATTTCAAAAAGACTTGTGGCCATAGGACAAGCTTGTTTTAAGTTCGAAGGGTTTCCATAACCAGCAGTATAGTACCATTTAAGTTCTTCGATGTATTTCAAAGCCTGAACAAATGTTGTTACATATCAATATTTATTAATTTGCAGCCGTTAATATAATAATAATTATCATAATAAAACACTTACTTTGAGATCTTCTCGGCAGAATATCCTGCACGACGTGGGAAATGATCGGTTGTTATAAGACCTTTCTAAGAGACACGCCTCATATGCATAGTTAATGAAACCAAAATCTAACCATCAGAGGTTGTTGTGCAAATTACGTCTTTCGAGTTTACCAAGTTCTCCAGGCTCAACCCCCATTTTGATTGCAACCCTTTCTAAAACATTTTTTATAACGTCACTTTTTTTTAATTTTTCAGATTCAGCAATATTTTTCGAATAGTTTTCATTGAGTTCATCCACCTAATGAAATTATCATTTAATTTAACTAAATCCACCTCATCATAATTTAAACAAGGGAAAACTCAAGTGCAATTCACCGTTACCATTAGTAACTGGTTACTATTCTCCCATTCGGTACGCTGGTAATGCTTTTGATTTGAAAAAACGTTGCAAAAACATTTCTCCAGTATCCTTACATATTTGCTCTGGCCTTGGCAATGCCTGCAGTTTAAAAATGAGGTATACCTTTTAAAATATTATGTTAATAGGGCACATTGTCATGGTAATGTCATGGCATGCCGCATGTCCGCATGTCCGCAAAAATCTTAACTGGTGTATCACCTATTTTACAAAACAAATTGCATGAACATTAATGTCCAATTTGGTTTATAGATTGTTCGCACCATTTGAAACTGAGAAATACAAGTAGATGTACTTACTCGGTTCTTTTTTAATTTCATCAGAGGAAACCAAACTGTATGCTTCGTGGAAAAATGCCAATATGGATCGGAATGTTTGTAGTCCGGGTAATTTGTATCGATACTTGACCTACAACTATAGTCTTGGATATATTTTTCTATCTTCTCTTTAATCTTTGGCCACGGACATTTTTCACATTTACACCCGTCATTTAACGTTATGGACGTAAGTTTTTCGTTAAAATAAAACTGCACGTAATATGTTTGTTTTAAGAGTTTGCCGGTTTTGAAGAGTACAGCCATACAGTTTGCTGCCAATGGAGCTATCTTAGAACTTCTCCACATTCGGTCCTTCACACTTTCATAGTTGGATGACATTAATGGAACTTTATCTTTGGCTAGACCTAACATGACATACAAATTCAATATGTTTATTGAATTTCCAAAATAAAATACACCTTTTAGACCTTTTCCTTGTATTTTATTTCTGAAATTAAAATTAATTATCGTGGTTGCAATAAATAATGTTATGTATACTTTACATATAGTGTATGGATAAAATGATTTGTATAAATTTACTTTACCGGACACCATTTTTTTTGCCGTACCAAGTGCCGTGCCACTAGAGGGCTGAGTAACATACCACGGTACCGTGACACTAGTGTCATATATTTAACATTTTTATTATGTGACCCGCGTGTTATTCAAAATTCAAAGCACTTAGTATCATGCTGCAGTTTCATCGTGTGAACGAGTTTTTAGTGTGACAGTGCTTAACCCACTCGGTCACGTCACTCGCTCTCGACACATTAGGTATGTTCGTTTAAGAAATAAACGGTCGACACGAATCATCTTTTCGATCAACCTATGATGCAATCCCCCGGATTTGATCTCCCCGGTCCCCAGGAGACAATGGATAGTGCTTAACAGACTCAAACCCGGATATGGACGCACAGGAAACATGTTACAATCGTTTTTGATGTTTTGGTTTTGCGCCGAAAATCCGTTACGACACCTCCATTTTCACTTTTTATTTGTCTAGCTTATAGAAGTAATATTATAACTTAAATAATTTGAATTACTGATGTAGAGTGGTTTTTAATTAAACTATTAGTATTATGCGAAACCCCTATCAAGTAAGATTGTGTTTCTTCCGATGCGTGTTGTAGCACAAAAAAGTTTAGTTTAACAAAATAGTTTTATAAAACCATTTTATTTCGCAGTTTATAAAATTCCATGATTTCAATGTAATTTTATTTGACTGCCATCTTGTAAAATTTGATTATAAATTCTCTATTTGCGTCAAGTATAATCATATAGGACTAGATCTATTCTATATAAAAACTGATTATATAAATATATATATATACAACACGGGATAACCTAATTGCACGCCAACTCTCGTACAAAGCGTACCCCTCCAATGCTAAACGGTTAGTTTATCTACCTTTGTGCTAATCATAAGATCATATTATTATTGTTGAACACGTAACACAGTATGCACTATGGAGTATTCGGTACCGCTCAGTCGTTGTTAGTGTTGCGCGTTGTGCTGAAAAGTGGTCAACGTCCGAACACGGGTGCTGTAACGTCGCGATACTCGCTATGCGTAACTTAATCATTTTCGTAACGGTGGCCGCCGTCGTTGCGGGACAAGTGGCATCGTACAACGTGCTGGACGCCAATGATGGAGCGTTGTACTTGACGCCAATGATTCGCCAGGGGGAAATCGAAATGGCCAGGGACGCGTGCAAAGTTAAACCCGTAAAAGGCAACGTAGAAAGCTATTCCGGCTACTTGACCGTCAACGACACGTACAATTCTAACATGTTCTTTTGGTTCTTCCCCGCGGCTAACTCGCCGGCCAACGCGTCCGTATTGCTATGGCTGCAAGGCGGACCGGGCGCGTCCAGCCTGTTCGGTTTGTTCAACGAACACGGCCCGTTCTCGGTGGCCAAGAGCCACGGCCTCAAGTTGCGCACTCACGCCTGGACGTCCACACACTCGGTACTCTACATAGACAACCCCGTGGGCACCGGCTATAGCTTTACCGACAACGACGCCGGTTACAGTACTGACGAGTCGCAGGTCGGGCTGAACTTATATGAGGCGCTTACGCAGTTTTTCACATTGTTCTACGAATACAAGAACAACGACTTCTACGTTACCGGCGAGTCTTATGCCGGAAAGTACGTACCAGCCGTTTCCTACGCTATTCATTTGAACAACCCGAACGCGCCCGTCAAGATCAACTTAAAGGGATTAGCGATCGGTAACGGACTTATTGATCCTATTAACCAATTTAACTACAGCGAATACCTGTATCAACACGGTTTCCTCGACGGTACGATTTCATGTTTTAGTAATAAATAATATTATCGAATCTTTTAATTCTTAACCTAAAGCATGTCAAATATAACTGCATATTATGCCAATGTTTGAATTTATTTAAAATGTAACTGCTCATTATACCAGTTATGAATACTTTGTTTTTGCGGTGTACCTACGCATCTAAGACTGTAAAGACTAAAGAAAAAAGCGCTGCAACGTAACTATAAAAAAATAATAAATATATGTCATTATAGGTATATATTATAGGTAATAATATACCTATTATTTTTTTTAATGTATTGGTTTTTGGGTTTTGCAATGAGTTAAAAGCTTTAAAGTTTAAATTATTATTGTAAAATAAAAATCAATGAGTCATACTATAAATTAAAAATAATATATTATATTATAAATAAATAATAATAATATGAGCTACATTATAATAAAGTCATAATTTTAGTCTATCATAAAAAAATTGGTGGTTCATAAAATTCTGAAGACCCTGTATGCTGTATAATACACATTCGACCAACTATATACAGTGTACTGTGTATATACAACACATTTTTAAGAGCCTTTTTTTTATTGAAAACGAGTTTACTCTTGACCCCTAATGGCTTATGTATTTTCTGGCTACGACTTTTGATCGATTGAGTAATGTGTTGCTCGAGTAAGTCCGTCCAACTGTTCCAAAGATACAAAAAGCATGTTGTAAAAATCAATATTTGCATTGCTTCGCATTGATACTAAAATATTTTTGAATTTTATTCTAATAAATTGTTTAAAAATTTGTCCTCAACGTAAATACATAGTAAACTTCGCATAGAAATATAATGATAAAATATAAATAGATGTACTTTGTAGTTAGAACATATTTGTAATGAATTATGTATTTAGTAGATTCTAGTTATCTAATATATTTATGATTTATATAATACGTTCTCGACGTTGTGGATGTTGCATTATTTTCATTACGTTTTAATAATTATAATTATTCGAATACAATTTCGATAACGATATAATTAACGACAGGTCTTCGTCTTACCTGCCTTATAACAACCAACGCTTTGGTTATTTACACAGCTTAAGTACAATTATAATTGAATAGAAAACGGAAAATATAATATATAAGAAATTAAAACTAATTACTCGACTAGTTTTGCTGTATTGGTATGACCGCATCAACTTGAAACACTATTAGTTACGCCTAAAATAATATTGTATTTTTTTATCTAACTCATAAAACTTAATATATTTGTGCAGAAAACGAGAAATCGAAGTTCCAGGAACAAGAAAATATCGGCTTACAACAGATTTTGGCGGAAAATTACACGGATGCTTTTCTAACGTTTGACCGTTTGATGGATGGCGACATATATCGGTACCCTACACTGTTCCGGAACTATACCGGCATGACGTACTACTTCAACATGCTTTGGGCCAAGGAACCAACACCGTACGGTGACTGGGAATCTTACGTTCAACAGGAGATCATGCGACAAGTGTTGCACGTCGGCAACCGGCCGTTCAACAACGGTTCAATGGTCGAGAAACACCTTACGGACGACGTGATGCGTTCGATAAGCTCGTGGCTGGCCGAGTTGCTCAACTCCGGGGAGTATCGCGTGCTCCTCTATTCCGGTCAGCTGGACATTATCGTCCCGTACAGGGGCACGATGCGTTTGGCTAAAGCGTTAAACTGGAAAGGCGCCAAAGACTTCAACCAGGCATCGCGCACTATTTGGAGAGTCAAAGGAGACAACGACAATCAAACCGACGTAGCTGGATACGTCACTACATCAGGCCCCCTGACCGTCCTGTTGGTGCGAAACGCCGGTCACATGGTGCCGGCCGATCAACCGGTGTGGGGTCTAGATCTCATTAACAGATTTACCGCAGGCAAACCATTTTAAAAGACGGTTTATATTATTAATACATTTTGTTTAAGATGTTAACTCAAAACGAGTTGGACTACAATCTGCGAGTCTATGATTTTGTGTTAGTTTTTAAAAAAAATATTTTATGTTTTAACACGTCATATTTAGTTTTAAGTGTCTTATAAATAAAAAGTAAATCAAATATTATACCTACAGACACCACATTCTTACTTATAATTGTTTATTTTTCTTTTGCATTCATAATTATATTAAAAGAATAAATATTTTGGTAGATTTAAAACTAAGAATAGTATAAAGTTTAAGTTTAAAAAAATCAAGAGTCTGAAAACATGAAGTACTAAGGAATATTATCACGATCAATAGAGTAGTCTAATAGATAAAAACCTCTATTATCCACCAAGTTTCGGTAATGAAACACAAATTATTAGGTATTTGTAAAAAACATGATATTACTTAAACGTCACAGTGTTTTTTTAACTAATAAGGATAAAACCAAATTAATAATAAGGACTTTAGACTATCCACCTCTGAAATGATTTAATTTAAAAACTTAAATTGTTAGATCTACTCTTTTGAGCACCAAACCACAGAATTGATTAAATCAAATTTAATCTATCCCAATATGTGTACAAAGTGTATGCAATATAATCATTGACGTTACTTAAATAACATTATTTTGCTATTAAATACTTTTATTTTGTTTCATACTTACAAAAAAAAAATTATGTTCATAGTCCAAACGAATAATATTAAAAAAATATTAATGGTTTTACAAAATATAACAGTACTACTTAATACCTATTTAATAAGTTATCATTCCACTTAGGTACAGCGTACACATTTAATACATATATATTGTAAATTGTTTTATTATTATGTTTTTATTAAACGTTGATGTACTTTGTTCGTAAATGATAGAATGTAATTATATGATAATTCGCAACATGATAATTACTGAGTGAAGTTCTATTTTTATTCTATTTAAAACCGTCGTTCTTATTTTCATAGGATTGTTGGAAATAGGCAACAGCCAACTCATTTTATTTTACTTTGGTTTTTGGTATTTGATTGGGGAAAAACATTTATATAAAGTAGTTTTCTAATATTAAGAGTAAATCGAATGTAATCTGTTCAGTTATTTAAAAAAAATAATTTTTAATATTTTTAGAATATTCTATGTATAGATATTAAAATTATACTTGACATTCAAATAGTTATCAACTAGAAATATTGTTTTAAGAGCATTTAACTTTCATAAAATATTTAACATTATGACCCAATCCACAAATACATTTATAATTTATTAAATTTTATTTAAACTATCAACTTTATTAAGGTTTTGGACTATTAAGATTAACTAATACATTTTTTTATTTATTAAAGAATATTTACAATCTATGCTGCAAGGCATAATAAGCAAATAGTTACATTGTTATAATATATACAGAGAGAGAAAAAAAATGAACAAATAAAAACGGTGATTTGGTATGAGGAGGGAGGCTATCCAGTGAAAGACCCAACGTGATTTTTGTTCTAATTATTTTTAATTAGATTAATTTGAATTATTGTACTAACAGATCTCGACACCAATGTCTTCGGAGTCGGTGAGGTGGATTTCCGGGGAGTGAATTTGACTTCCGAGGATATTGGGATAAGTACTCCTTGGAATTGCGGAGGGGTGGAACAGATTTTTTTAGTGTGAAGGGAACAACTAATAAATTAAAAGCCAATAAACCTTTTTTTTAATGGCGAGTAAAGTATTTCTTTTTCGTTATTTTTATTTTTTTTTAGTTTTATAGGCATTACATTTTTTATATTTATAGTCTCTTACATAATCGTGTAAGGACTAATAATGTTGTTTAATTTTGCGTTTCCAACATTACTTGGTGTTTTCATTTACGCTATACAGGGTGTCTTGCTGGGTTTTTACTATAAAGAAACGAGTTCTTTATAAAATAATAATTTAATTGAGATGGATAAAATTATAAAAATGAATATTTTCATTTCCTTTTTTCGGTTTTATAATTTTTTTAAATAACTGTTATTATTTACACACATACAAAAATAATCTTTTTAGGATCTACATAGTAATCGTCATCAGAAAACCATTGTCCATGTCTAGTGTCATGCAAAATTCAGATTTTAATTGTTTTCTAGATGAAAGCAAAACAAATTCGAAGAGGTAATGCTCTTGATATGTAAGACTTAAGAGTAGGTACAAGTGTAGTGACCATTTTTTAAAAATCGAGTTTTTGAGTTTTGACAATTTTTACCATTTTTTAATAATACAATTTTCCACTAGTACAGGGACATTGACAACATTAAGAAACAAATGAGACTTAATAACAACATAATTCTTATAAGATAACACTTGCAAAAAAATATATAATAGATATTGTAAATAAATTGCATGTTTTAAAAGCAGTCATATCATGTCTAAATTAATACTCTATTAAATGAAAACATATATTACTATAGGTTATCCTTGTTATTAGAAACGATAATGTAACCTATAACCAGTGAAGTATTAATTAATAATTAATGAGGTAAAATGTAAAGTTTGGATAAAAATAAAATATTTAAAGGTCGAATATAATATAAATAGCAACTTATAATTAGTAGTTTATTAGTTTTTACTTCCAAATCAAAATATTATTCTGGAATTCCTATACATGATATAACATTTTTCTTCCTCACTCCTCAGGATTTTCTGCTTTATTTTACTCAACAGCAAGTACCATATAGTGTTACCACAAAGACTTCCTACATAACCAAAGGTATTATCATATATTATTAGGTATTAAATTCAATATCTAATAATAAATTATTTCTAAATAAAAATATGAAAATGAAAAAGAAAAAGTAAATTATTTACTAAGTTATTTTTAAAATATTATTTTTGCGATGTACAGAGACAGAGAACAAAAGAACTCCGTTCACTTATGGCCGTAAATTTTCAATTAGTAAAAAATTAATTGCATACATCTTAGGTGCAATATAAATGACCAAAGTCGAACGATTCACAAAAAAAAATTGCTACATAAAATCTGAATTCGGAGACTGTATGCAGTACAGCGTTATTGTAAAATAATTTTTTTTTTTTTTAATAATTGAATTGAAATATTTTTTTTTAGAGTTGGCCATTCCGCCTATTTGACCACCCCAATGAAATTCCTTTCGGTAACGGTCGTCGTGCGACCTGGCCTTGGTATTTCGGCTATACTAATATAGTAATATATAGTTTTGGGTTATGTTCGCGGATTAAACTTATGTTATCAAAAAGCTAAAATTTCCTATAAGATATAACTATACTGCCCTACTGAGCAAAAATCGAAAAAAACACTAGCTACAAAAAATAAGTTCCTACAGTTGCTTTTTTACTTGGTTTAATCGGTTTTTTACAATGTTTCTTTTTTGAGTTACGGCACTTTGGCTTAGCAGGCCAGTATAGTTTCAGAGTGTAAGTACTCGGCAAAAAATATATCTTAAATATTTTTTTGAACGCGACTCGCGACATAAGTAGGTATGCGGAACGTCAGTTCCATCGTCCATCTATGTCCGGCCTGTCGCACATAATATTTATATGGGACGGCCTCTAGCGGTAAAAGCAGGAAATTCGTTATCATAAATTGATAGAATAATATGGAATTGCTAGCTTCATATTGTTGTCAGTTGAAAATATTTAATTTAAATTTAAAATTATAAATGTAAAATTAAAAAAAAAATGTTTTACTTCTTAATAATGTATACTTAAAAAAATGTATTGTTTTAAAACGATTTTATTTAATTAACGATTTATGGAAATTTGTTTAATTCCAAGATATGGTAAGAATTTATTATAAATTAAATAAACCACCGTTTTCAGTTTTAGATATATTATTTGAGAATGGCCGCTAACTTGGAATGTCTAAAATGGAACAAGTCTGTTTATAAACTATCAGCAGGTATTTTTTTTGTCTATAAAGCCTTTGGATAGAATAATAATTTTGTTGTGTAACCTAAGCTGATTTATTTTGAATAGAAATATGTAGAACGAAATACTCTCTTGCTCTGAAACCATCATGTTTAATGAATCTAGAAACAAAAAGTGTACCAATAATAAAATTAAGATTTTTAGCAGAATCAAATAAGTTAGCTTCACTGGAAAGTTTGAATATTATTAAGATATATGACTGGTCCAAACCTGATATTAAAATCTCAAGGTATGGTCTTGTTGTATTATAAAATAATATCAATAATATAATATGATTGACCTATAAAAATTATTTTTAGTGCAAAGTATATGGGAAAAGGTAAAGTTTTAAATTTAACTAGTAATTCTACCGGACATCAAATAGCTACTTGTACGGATGATGGAAAAATTCAATTATGGAAATTCAAAGTAATTAATCACAAAATTTATAACATTTGTTTAACTTATTTTCATGAAATACTATTTTTACTGTGAAATTCGTCTTTATAGTTGTCAAATTGTGTAATATCAAAAGAGTTGAAAGGGCATTTTCAACAAATACGTGGTATTGAATTTTCTTTAGACAATAGTAAATTAGTGTCATGTTCAAATGATAAAACATTTAAAATTTGGGATTGTCAAACTATGAAGTTCTTAGCCAGCAACATGTTTCATCGTAACTGGGTTAATATGGCTAAGTTTTTTAATCAAGATAAACTTGTAGCATCTTGTTCCAGAGATTCTCTTATCCAAATATTTGATTGTTGTTCTGGAAAATGTGTTATGAAGTTTAGTCTCAATCCAGGTTGAGTATTAATACATTAACTGTCCAATACACATTTAATTGATTGAAAGGTATTTTGTTACTATACATATAGATTATGCCGAGTCGCTTGCACTTAAAGATGAGTACAATGTCGCTGTGGGTACTGAACAAGGATCGGTGCGTGTGTACGATTTAAGAGTACCAAAAATTGTGCAAGTATATAACGAGCACAAATGTAAAATAAACTGTATTCAGTACCAAAATAAAACACCTTGTTTAATTTCTGGATCCCAAGACCAGACACTTAATGTAAATATTTTTATTTAACAGTAATTGTCTATTGAATAATATTTGTTATGTGTGGTGCTGTTGCTTATTATAGGTTTACGACACTCATGAAGGTAGGTTTTTGTACTCCATCAACCATGTTGATAGTATAAAAACTATGGATATCTCTTTAGATGATCAACTATTATCAACAGCATCTTTTGTTGCTAAAAACCAAGTATTAAAAGAAATGGTTCCTTATTAAAACTATATTTATATAATTCAAACTGTTTTCTCATTACAGATTACCATATGGAAGTCGGACTCTGTAAATGTTTTATGATATAGTGTAATTAAGACGTTATTTAAACTCGTATAACTGATATTTTCTTTTTAAGAGTAATTCATTCCAATGATTATAAATGTAAAGGCGGAATATTTAATTTTAAATTAAGTGTGTAGGTATTTAAAGTATTTTTTGTTTTTAAATAATTATCGAGTTTTAACAAATTGTTGTCGTTAGTAAATATTTTTTATGCTTACTGTACATTTTTTTAACTGACTGATTGTAATTCATAAAATAAGTATTTAAAGTGTATAAAACATTACTATTTGAAATTAAAAGTTTTATAGAAACACGGGTAAGATTACAATTTTTTAATTATAATATAATTATTATTATCATAGAAATATTTCGCATAAATTCATCACTCTCTGTATATATATATATATTTAAACATATTGTACTAATGTCATAATTTAATGGTGAATGAAACTGTATCTATATTTATAGTAATACATTTATTATATTATCAATAATAAAAAATTATTAATGTCATAATTAAGTTTAATTTTAAACGGTTGATAAAAAATATTTGTATTACCTAATTTTTATTAAAATAGTACAGTAAATATGATGCTGGGTGAAATATTATTTCAAATTGAATAAAAAAAAATTAATGATTCATTTTTTAACGCATGATGTAACGATAATTTTCTTATTTGTAAAAAAAAAAAACATCTTAAATTGTGTGTACTTAACAATTATTTCATAAAAAAAAAAAATGACGTTAATGGTATGTATATAAATCATTCGCCCCCCCAAAAAAATGTAGTAATTTAACAATAAACTTATTATTTTATCCATATTTTAAACTATAATTTACATTCATACAAAAATAATCCCAAAATTCAATGTGATTCAAAATTATTAGTGACATTAGATAAAATAGTATTTCACAAAGAATAATTGGTGATGAGAACAAATGTTTAGTTTAACAATAATTAACGAATTAATATCAATTGAGATAGCAGAGTTTTTGTTTGAACACTCACCATATTGTTAAGTAAAAATAAAACTTTAAATCAGCTGTGTTTATTAGGGTGAAAATAGGTACAGTTTAAATTCCCAGCTAATTGCTCAAAACTGTGTAAGAATACACATAAATGATTAAGTTGTTGCCATCGTTATCGTAATGTATAATACATTTGGTGTAAACCATTGATTAAACGACACGACAGTTAATATTATTTATAGTGTGTATTATATTTAATCGGCAGGTCTCTTTTCGCCAAATTTCTTGGCATATTCCTCGGCATTCTTGAAAAATTTCTTACGGTCTTTTAAATACTCTTCAGCCAACTCTGCACGTAGAGGATGCTCAGGTTCAGGATCATTGACTAGTGCTATAAGAGCTTGAATTACTGTAATAAAACAACAAATTATTATCCAAGTAAATACTGCAGTAAATAATGTAGCACATTGCAATATACCTTGGTCAGCTTTAGTAGCAGGTTTCCAATTTTCAGCACTGATAATTGGCAAACATACTTGACCCTTCTCATCTATGTTGGGATGGTATATTTTTGTTTTAAAGTTAATTTTAGGTGGTTTAAACGGATACTCTGCTGGAAAATTAATTTCTATTCTAAATGCTCCTTTATTGTAAGGTGGATTTTCCTAAAATTACAAAAAATATTTTTTTGTATTACTAACTATTTATAATCTTGACAATCTTAAATCGAAGTTCATACAAATAATTTATTCCTCAAATTACACGCCAATGAACTACTTAATTTTTCACATATATACTTAATGTTTTTATTAAACATGTCTTTATACCTATAATAGTGTCTGTAATCAACTTTTAAATGTTATCACTTTGTTTTTTTTTAAGTAGTTTGTGTTTGATAAAGCGGACAAATCGCATTCTATTAATGGCGATTAGCGGAAATTGAACATGTTAAAATTACAAACTAATAAATAACACCAAAGAGGTACCCAAATTAAATCATTTTTACTGTCAAGTTAAATTTATAGTTGTTTTATATTACCTATTTAATTGGGGTACCAAAATTTATATTAAGTAGAACTTTTCTGTGACTAAGCATATTGACACAGTTCATGCAAAATACATTAAATCTTGTTTTTTGCCAGATTATTATAAAACATCCTTAAACAGCAATTAATTTTTTAATCCTAAATTTTAGTTGAAAATATACATCTACAACTTACTGGTAAAATCAAACCTTGCCAAGCTAATATATTTGATTCATCAACTTGAATATCACGAAATGATTTAAGTCCAGAGTCACGAATATCTGCAAGTTCCTAAAATATAAAAATAATATGTAAAATAGGTAACAAGAATACTTGAATTTATAACTACAAATATATCCGGTAAAAATGCCTAGGCAAAAAAATGGCCATAATTACTTTATTTATGCAAAATTATACATGTTAACAAAATACCTACACTTGTTGGCAAATATAGTATTTATAACATTATACTACAATAAAATTACCATTTAATTTAAAAGCCAAACTTGGGTAGGTAACATAATATGCTTATTTATAAAACATGAGTCTTCTATAAATGAGTGCAAAACAATATTTCTTAAAAATGTAAGTTTCTTTAGCATACCGACTTTCTTTATTTCGTATTGTGATAACGTACTACACAGTACATATAAGAAACTTTGGTACATGAACTAACATTTTATAATATATATCAATAACAAATAAAAATCTTTGAAAATTGTATTATACACTTTATTGTAAGTAAAAAATGTATAATGTTAAGCGCGTAAGGATATATTTCCAACCTACCATTTTAAAAGAACATACAAATTTAAGATTTAACAAAGCGCTTTCAACAATTTACATAAACTACTTGTAGGTCATAGCATTATATACATTATTATAAATACTGATAATATATATTATATTGATAATCGTGATTTCACTAAATTAGATTATAAATGTGTTTTAGTATTATTAAATAGAAATGAGTTGAAAACTAAAAATTAATGAAACCTCTATAAAATGTTGAGAAAAAAATGAATTATTAAGTTAATAAAAGTGAAAGTTTATACATTTTTAAAATGGAAAGGCTAAATAAATCAATAAGACACATTTGTTTAAATTGTCAAAAGTTTTACGAATTATCATGGTCCTAACTTAGTTAGTACAATTGAAGTTTCCACACTCATTACCTAGTGAACACATCACACATTTACAAGCAGATGATAAAAATGCATGTCATGGTAAAATATTGATGATTTTTAGAACAAATTTTGTGATTTAATGAATAAAATTATGTAATTTGTACATCAGTGCAACGAAACGCAAGTAAACATATCTCTATACTCACTTTTTGAAGTCTTCTAGTAGCAGCCATGATCTATATAATGAAAGTGCTCACCAAAGAATATTTGACAAGACTAAAATGAATCACTATACAGGAACGATGGCCGTCGAAGTATGTAATAATTGTATGTAAATGCAACAGTATCAGTAATGAGTATTACTACTGGTAAACACGAGTGTATAATTCAATAAATAAGTCTCAATATACTTAAGTAAACATTGAAATTAATAAATTAACAAAATTACACCTAAAAAATAAATCTGTTTTCGAGTCTCGTCTCGCTCGATGCTCTTGATTTCCAGTTTTTTTTTTTGTGTAATCAAAAAAATACCTACTGATCGACAGTGTGGCCACGCCTGGTAATTATTATTACCGCACAGCATGGAGTAATGACTTATCGTAGTGACAAATTATGCTGATTAACAAATTCATATTAATATGAGACATAGTAATTAAACGTATTAAAAAGATATAGGTACTATTGACTAGCATCAAACCATTTTCAAAGCACAGTCGAAAATGTAATATTTAATGATTTTAATAACTCCACAGGGCAAAGATACAGAAACCATGATAATATTGTAAATTTACTTAAAAAACGAAGGATCCGTTTTACGCGTATTAAATTGTTATAAGCAACAAACATGTTTTGTCAAGCCTCTACATAAATATTATTTAAAATTGGCTGTAGTCAATGTTTGGCCTTGATAATGCGACCTGGAAAGCTAAGAAGGGACTTTACATTTAGAGGTACCTACCCCGCAATAAGAGTTTTCCCAACAGGTCGATGTGCCATCAGTTGTACATTAATACAACGAAATCTAAAAAGAAAGCTATTTAGGCATCGCCAATCAAATGCTCAAAAACACTTGTTAACTACTCGAACAAACATAGTTTGTACCACTTTAATTATTACCAAATACTTCCAACTTGATATCACTTGAATTATTTATTTATTAATAGATTATACGGTCTGGGCCCTTTTGGATATAACAATTAAGATAACACATAATACAATACAAATTGAAATATAGATACAATACAATACAATATAGAAATTATAGTTTATACAAAATTAAATTAATAATAAATCATTAAATTGGCAATAATTTTAAAATTTGTTAATTACGTCTAGTTACATTGACAGTTTTAAAAAATTAAAATAACCTAAAGCAGTCTGCGATATTTAAGCTACAAATTGTAAAAAAACTATGTGTGTGTAAATACTTTTGTGATACCAAATTAATTGTATGATTAATTAAAGAGTAAAAAAGAAGAACATTGTTTTTATAGAGATGAGAGGGAAGGGAAGGGAATTGTCTATAATTTAGACAATTGAAACACAGTGTTCTGTTTTTGTAGTATTTGTGTTAAATGATGGATGATGGATTTTATTTATCATTTGATAAACTGCCACCCACGATGAATATCAAAAATAATAGCTAACCATGTGTGTACCTAGATCTTGATACGGTACGGTATGGACTTGATTCGAGTTTTATATATTCCCGTTAACAGTCACTGTTCAGCCAATGGTAGATTGGCTTACAGGGCTTAAAGTGGGAAAAAATTCCAGGGGGGACTAATGTCTCCATATAGTTTTAAGCGTTCCATATTATATAATTTTATGTATAATGTCTAATGCATATAGTATATGTAATATATAAACAGTGATTGTGTTATATACTCATCTCACTTTTAACCCTGAATAATGTTCAAATTTGTAATTTATTTCATAAAAAATTTAAATCACAAAAAATACTACATTTTTATGACAAGATATCAATGAAGAAACTAATGAGTGCTCTTATGGTGCGCCGATACTAAGAAGTGAATTTAATGCCAGTCTTAGAGAATTGAAAAATAAAAAAGCCCCGCGAGGTTAGGTTGGGTCGTGAAAAATGGAGAGAAAAGTTAAAAACGTTGTAAACCAACCTAATACAAGTTGAAAAAAAAACTACATTTTTAAGAATAACTAATGTTTTATACAAATTTAATATTTTGAAAGAGAATATTTTTTCTCATAATATTAAGTTGTAAGTAGTGGTTGTCTTTTAAGAAAAATAAAAAAATCATCCAGACAAAAAATATTTATATCATAAAAATGTAGTGTTTTTAGTGCTTTAAATTGTACAAGATAAAATTCAAATTCTACGCTTGGTGGGGTGAGCATGCTTAAAAAGATATGTGATAACAATTTCTTAATAATCAATGTGCATAAAACCATGGTATTAATACCATAAAGAAACCACAGAACCATATAACATAATATTATATTTTGTTATCACTAATCGAATACCTATTATAGCCGTTTACAATAACTAATAAAAGCAATTATTTTTACACTTATATTAGATAGTCCATAATTTTTATTAAATACATTAATTGATAAAATTAAAGTAACAGTCGATTTAAATAAAAACCGATTTAATTTCAACGGAATTCTGAATTATATTGACTAATGTTTGGTTATAATTGGAGCGTTCCGGCGTACCTTACTAATAATTTGTTAAAGGGGACGCTTTTTAACCACCATTAGAGGTAGAGGGACTGAGTCCCCTTGCGCCCCCCCCCCCCACTTTAACCCCTGGATTTAAAGCAGAAAGAGCGATTATTGTAATTACTGATCTCGTGTGAAATGTTGTATAGAGCGTGTAGAGCGATGTACATTAGTAGTGTATGATGAGAATATCTGCTTTACAAATTTACAAATCTAGATTACCTATTAAACTCTGAATTTTGTCGGATTATCCAGAATATCCGAAAAGGATTATTTTATTTTTTAATCTAGATTTTAGATTATTATTTTAAATAAATGTAATAACACATTATGCAAAAGAAGTTTTATTATTTAATCTGAATTCAAACAAAATGAATAATAGTAACAAATCCATTAAATATCCGGTTATCCGAAATTTCAGTCTTATCCTTAGAATACCCAATATGCTAATATGCTAAAATATGCTAAATTACTAAAACTACACAGTGGATCTGCACGTGTGATATTATGTGGTGGACCGAGTGACAATTACCATAATATCTTCTTAAGAGGACGTTATTCCTTTAAAAATAATCGTAAAAAACGTGTTTATGCCAAAGCGTGTTGATCAAAGTGAAATAGTCATAGAAAAAACACGTTGATACCTTTAAAAGGAGGAAAACTTTTAACTAGGTTCTCTCGACGGTATTTTTAGAAAACCTAATTTTTAACTTAAATACAAGTATTTAAAAAAGTTTAAACAATTTTAGAATTAAAATATAATTTGTGAATGTTGGGTTAATAATATACAAAAAAGTCGACGAGAGAACCTAAATGAAGTTCTCATTATTTTAATTATATAATAAAAAAAATGTTTACATTTATTATTCAGCCAATAGGCATTAGAGAATATTATGGTGAATTACTATTAATACCGAGCGCTTTACATAGCACTTCACCTCTCGTTCTAAACTTAAAACTTAAATAACTTTAAAAATAACAACCTAAAACTGATTATCGACCAGTCAACATTTTATACCAGTATTATATACCAGTCACAAATTATATAAAATTGCAATTAATTTAGAAGATATTGATTGTCTTATTTAAATAGAACACTCAGTATTTAGCTTGTTTACGTATCAATTGAAATTAGTCATCACGGGCTTACATACTTACACGTCATTTGTGTTTCTTCAAAATGTACAAGAATATTGTTTATTAGTTATTATTATTTATATTTTTCATCTCCGGTCAGTGAGTCATACATACAGTAATGAATACTAGTATTCAAGCATCATTTGATTATAATATCCGTTCTATTCTTCAGAGTCGATATACAGTTGAATCAGTTTCCCGTTTACTCGTTGCATGTTTTAGGAGTGGGAGAGAGTTGCAACATAAAGAAGTACAGCAGCTCTACCTGGAACCACCATATGTCGTATGTATTGAATAAAAACCGATTGTTAGACTCATCGCAGTCATCAGCGAGCCTTGTGGTCACGCTAGATAACTTGAATTAAACAAGACGTAAGCGGTCAACAAGCAGTTGCCTGTTGCGATTTAAAAAACAGTAAGTACTAAAAACCCGTAATTGAAATTATAAAATGCTTAACATATTTACAGTACTTTTTGATTTTGTTAGTAAATTTATAAGTAAGACTACCTTGAATATGATAATGATTTAGCCATTCAATTGATAAAACTTGTAATTAAAAACGGTTCAATAACATATGGTAACATAGAAAAAATTTGTTTTTGTGTAGACAACAATTGATATTACTCTATGAATACATTTTTCATTGTGTTTTGTACTTAAATCCTAAAATAAAATAAAAATTCAATGATAAACTGATCTTTTTGTTAAATAGACTTCGAAAAACATTAGGTTTCAATTAATTCGTAAGCGATTGCTTGCTAAATACTCACTAACGACAAACTTTTACTAGTAATTACATCTGTGAAGTTTGCAGTCCTAAGATTACGCGTTAACTAATTTTAGCAATAATTTTTAAAAATAATATTATACTAATACCTTTTTTTTGTTTTTATTGTAAAAGCATTTTTTTTTTTTTTATTAAGAAATATATTTTATTTATTTATAATCTATACAATATGTATAATCAGTAAGTCTGATGACAAAGATACAGTGACAATATTCAATAATGTAGGAATAGGAAGGCTCTCAGCAGTGCCACCTGACCAGAAAAATACTAATACCTAAAAATAATATTTATACAATATGTAAATGCCAACTTTAGTATTAAAGCTATCGAGACTTTCAAATTTGTAAACAATTTGTTTTATAGGTACAATTAAATGTTATTTAACAACTCAAATAATAATAATATAAAAAAATAATATATATTTATTCAACATATTATTATAAGTGTGAAAGACTAATGAATGGTGAAAAAGTATTTGACCGTGTATAAAATATCTTACTTCCTCTTTCCCATCTGTTACTATTGTACTGTTAACTATTTTTCACTACATAAATGTATTTTTGTAGAATACTGCTACTTCAATCTGCTTCAGTTACTAAAAATTATAACTTTATAATCTAATATAATGCATATTTGTTATTGTTAATATGTTCACTATTTTCAAGTTTTTCTCAATTTAATGTTTCACTACAAATGATTGTAATTTGTATTTTGTGTAGTGATTTTTAGTAAAGAATATTTCATTTTTTACCAATAAAAACGATTTTTATTTAAAATTATTTTTAAGTTCCTATTCTATACAAAATAATAATAAACTACAATATAGTTTGATGTTTATTGTTTACACTTACACACCATCAATCAGTAATTGTACAATGTTGAGGGCCGATAATAATCATCAGTCACAATGTACTAACTACTATTCCATATTTACATTCGAATTATTTAGAGATATTAAAAATAAAATTCGTTTTTCGAGTAACATTTAATTTATATCATAAAATTGCAAGAAATTATGAATTTTTGTTTTGTTTTTTAAATTCATATTTGATAAGTAAAAATGTAAAAAACCAAATTTTGAAACTATTTTAAATTTACAAATAATTTTTTTTTTTAAGTAGCCATCAAATCAAATTCATATAAATATTATACACTAAAATTGGTACATCTGAATGTTTGCTAATTATTTTTACATATTCAGATAAGCGATGCTATACACAAAAACGGCCACCGATTTTATGCGTGATTCCCGCCGTCAACAAAGGTACCATCGTCATTGTTTATGGATGGGCGGATGGTATACTATGGTGAGGGTACCTCTGTTGACGTCGGTAATCACGCATAAAATCGGTGGCCGTTCTTGCGTATAGCATCGCTTATCTGAATATTTAAAAATAATTAGCAAACATTCAGATGTACCAATTATTAATTAATATATAATATTTATATGAATTTGATTTGGTGGCTACTTCTTAAAATAAAAATATTGTAAATTATTGTGGTACAATAATCTCTAATTAGTTAAAATACTTTATATTTCAATATTAAGGATATTTTTAAAAGTTAATTATGTAACTATAAAATAAAATACAATTGACTACACTATTTTTTTAATACAACCAAATATTATAAATTTAAGTAAATATTGTACCATAGGTTTTTACAAAAACAAAAATATGTATTGTAAAATATACTAAGGCCGAATTTTGGGGGGTTGGAAAGTCAACCTCTTTCATCAACTCCATTTACCACTTTTATAATAATGAGTAATGACTAATGACTATACAAGTATTTTATGTTTTCTCGCATGATAAAAATTTAAAAAATCGAAAACCCTATCGACTTTCTTTTATACTACTTACTTTATATTGTCCTCTTGAGTAATTTAATTTTTTATGTTTTTAATAGATTTTAATCGTATTCAATTTACACCGTCATACAATGGAGTTCAATAGATTATGTCTATTATCTGTGTTGCTAGCTTGTTCTTTGAATCGCATTTCGGGACATTCTTATCATTTAGGACAATGTCCAACCATGGAACCAATGCCTGATTTTGTAATGGAAAAAGTAAGTCTAAGGAATGAGTTTGATACTTGGTATAGGTTATATTATTATTTTTATAACATAATAAAACAATTAAGTATCAATTTTGATTTTTGTAAACCACAACTGAGATGGTTATCGGTTGAGCTTAAGTAAGATGCCGCAACAGAAATGGATTTGGGATTTTAGAATATATTACTTTTATAGTGAAAATTCGTGTAATTTATTTTCACGAATCGATTAATAGTTTATTGTCATTAAGACAAGTTAAAACATAAATATATATTTATTATTTTATAAAAATATTAAGCATTTTTGAGAATACGGGCTTGTCATTTTGTGTTAGTTCACAAAATAGTCGTAATACAAATTATACAAATATTAGTTAACTGATTTTTTCATACAAACCTTACCTTACCTCACATTTGACTCGGCCAATGCAAATAATTTAAATCGATATCAAAAATGCAGGGTTTCACAAATATTGATACATTTAATGGACTATATCGCGGACCACATAATTAAGGGACCCATAAATGTCTAGAAAAAATGTCTATTGAATCAATAAATCTTCAATTAAATGTAGTTTAATTACAAAAACTCTTTTATTTCAACAACTGTTATGTACGGGAATTATCTTGTAGTTCAAGCCTTATTTAATTGTAAATGTATTAGTTATATTGATTAATTATTAATTCATCAATCACTATTTATATTTCATAAAAAAAATTCAAATTATTGTCTTAAACAGACGTCATCGATTAAAGCGTTGATCATTTTACTAAAATCTAAATTAAAAATGCGATATCAACTATCAACTGCAGTAAACAATGAGTAATTAAAATATAGTTTTTATCGCGTGTTTGTACGATATTTATATTTAAAATTAGTTAGTTATTATTATTAGTATTGCCCAATGTCTTATGTCCATAATGTAGTTAAATAATAATAATAATAATACAAATAAGTTTGTATGTTAAAGAAATAATAAAGTTATTATTATATAAAATATAATAATAATTAGCAATAACTAATAAGTAATAACTACCTACATGACATAATTATGAAATTAATAATAATATTATAATAAGACGTAATAATATCGAATGATATACAATCGCTTTATATAATTATACAAGTGAAACAAACATTCTTTGTGTTTTGTTAATTGTATGACTTATCATTGTGTGTATTTTGCATGGGTTTTTTCCGTATATTATAGCTATATTATTTTTTTAAAGTATTATTATTGCAGCATTATCATATTCAACTGCGCAAAATTACCCAGTAGGCTCTCCACTATATCTATGTAAAAAATGAAATAATGACGTTTATCAATAATAGGCATTCCATTATGCCTTGTAGCCAGGATAGGATAACCTATAATATAGGATAACAATAATATTATATTAAAACATTGCATACATATTTTAAACGTTAAGTGATGATTAATACAAGGTATTTCACAAGATAACATTATGACAAATTAAACAATTTTTTTTCTAGGGAATATTTTTAAGATTTTTTTTAAAATTAATTTATAATTATTTGCGCTATAAACACCACTTCATTTAACTGTTTTACTTTTTTTTTTAAATTCAAGATAGCCATTTTATTAAGAATAATTTGCTGAACACTGACTGGTCGACAACCAGTTTTAGATAATTACTTTTAAACTTAAATAACTGTAAAAGTAACTATTAAAACTGGTTACCGACCAGTCAAAATTCTCAAATTCTTGAATTAAAAAAAAAATGTAACAAAAAAAAATTAAACCACACAAAAATTTCACACCCAGGTACTTAAAATACCTGGGTGTGAATATAAACGCTAATAATAATATGCACAATGAAATAAATCTGAGAATAGCGGCAGCAAATCGAGGTTATTTTGCCACGAATAAGATGTTCAAATCAAGATTAATGTCAAAAGAATCCAAAAAAAAAACTCTACACTACTTATCTTCGACCTATCACCATGTATGGTTGTGAAACATGGTCAACAACAAAGGGTGACGAAGGAAAGCTGTTGAGGTTCGAGAGAAAGATTCTAAGAAAAATCTATGGACCTATAAGAAACCCAGATAATGGGGAATATGAGCGGAGAAAAAACGCGGACATTGGAAGCCTATTCAACAGACCAAGCATTAAATTTTTCCTACTAGTCAAAAGAATAGAATGGGCTGGATATGTCTGGAGGGCCAAACACGATCTGATCAATAACATTTTAATCAATAACCCATCTGGAAAGAGACCACGACGAAAACCGCGACAGCGCTGGATGGACCGTGTAAAGAATGATCTAAAAAGAGTTGATGAAACAGCAGAAGTAGAGGACGCGGGTGACAGAGATCGTTGGAGAGACTAGTGGAAGCCTTCAAGGCGTGTAAAGCAAAAAAAAAAATATATTCACTAGAACAAAAATTATTTAATTTTTCATATATTTTTGAAACACCCTGTATATATATTCATTATACAGTTTCTATATGGTTTGATATTGTAAATAAAGCGATAATATATTACATAGCTTCCGGTTAAAATAAATATATTTTATGTTTTCCTTGTCTCTTTGTCATTTTAGATGTACTTCGTAATTTTATTATATTATAGACCGATCACGAGTCTATATAGTACAAACTTATTATAATTTAACGTGTTGCCATTCATAATTTCGATATCTGACAAAATATGATTACATTTCAGTCAACTAATTTGGAGCGTTTTATAAAAAACACGTAGGCCTATATAATTCAACGTTAATATAAGCAATAAAAATATCTATTTTTTTTATTCTCTGCAGTGGGTATAACCATAATGAATTAACTGTGCATGTTAATAAAACAAAGCTATACCGAGGTGTCATAATAAATAATTATAATTAACACTGCCTTCATTACTTTACCATTTCTATTAAAAAGAAGCCAAGTTAAAAAAAAAATATTGTATTTTCTATATAATAATTTATAAGTAAATAATAAATAATAATACAAGTTGAATGTTGTTTATTCTTATTTATTTAGACATTAATTTATATTTATTTAAAAAAATATTTATAATAATAGTATGATAAAGAGTAGGTTTAATTGAACCCAATGTACTAATCTATCAATGTTTTTAAAGTTTTTAGGACCATGGTACGCCGTACAAAAGACGTCGACGTCAAGTCGGTGTATGGTGTATAATTTTACAAACACACAGGAACCCAATACATACAAATTGGAACAAATTAGCGAAAACTCTATCATCAATGTAGCTAAATCCAATAATTACCATTATATTGGAAACTTAAAGGCCGATTCGAGTTTACCATCTAGAATGTCTGTTTCTTTTCCTCTGAGTAAGTTCTTGAATTTTGAAAAATTAATTATTAAATTCGCTTACTCTCGAGCTTTTTGATACGTTATGATCTACACATATGTATAAAATCCGATCTATTAAACTTATCACCACTAAATTTTTGCCACTCGATTATCCTAATCGTACAATTTATTTATACAATACCGTTTTTATATTATGTTTGTTATATAAGTATATTAAACAGGGTGTTAACTACGACTTGGCAGAATTATACAAATCTTTAAGTAAATTTGTACAATATATAAATTTGTAAAATAAATCCAATATACCAAATATTTATTTTTTATTTTATAAACCTTGATTTAAAATTAAATTAAATTTACTTAACTACCTAACTAGTAATTTCTATAATTTACATTACAGATGTTGCGGGAAAATCGTCTTTTGTTGTGTTCGCGACTGATTATATAACCTATGCAGGTGTATACTCATGCCAAAAAATACCGTTTGGCCATAGACATTCTGTAACCATTTTATCAAGAACAAAGGTCCTAGACAAAATGTACCTGGATAAGGTAAATCCAAAACAACAATTGCTTCTGTATTATTAAAATACCAGGTGATTCTTTTAACGCCCTATACTAGTTTTTCTTTTAAAATAATTGCAATTTTGTAGTGTTTCTTTTTTAGAACATTATATAAATACAATATTTTTCAGACTATCACAGCATCCTTGATAGCAATTTAAAAAAAATTATCTAAAAATAGCTGTGGAGAATGCATTTTACTCGGCCCATTGTGATTTTAGAGCAAAAACACCTATTAAAATCAAAAAATACAAATATTTCGGAGACATCATATTCGATTTTAAAAAAATTAACGTAAATAAAGATGTAGTTATGTGAAATAAGTAAAAAAATTTTTTTTAAATATTAAGTTAACCGAAAAAATGATTTGCCATTGTCTCTAAAATGTTGTAATCTTTTTTCTTGCTCTAAAATCACCACATAGCGAGTAAAACGCATTCTTGGTAGATATGTTTTAATGCTAGAAAATTGGGTGTGTATAGTCGTCTTAAGAATAATATGCTGAACATTTTGACTGGTCACCAGTTTTCAATAATAAGTTTAAAAGTTGTTAAAGTTTTAAATTTAGGACGGGAAATGTTTTGCGTTTGAGTAACGTGTGCACAATGCAGATAAAAATAACTCTATCTCCCGTCCTAAATTTTAAACTTTAATAACTTTAGAACTATTTATTCAAGACTGGTTATCGACCAGTCAAAATTGTTGACAAATTATTCTTAATTTAAAAAAATATATACGCCACCATATAAGTTTTAAAAGTTAATAAAGCTCTAGAAAAAACTAAAAAAGATAAAAACTTGAATGTTGTCTAATATTGCAATGTAGCATAAACAAAAATGTTTTCAAAAATAAAATCTACAAAATATAAAATATTTTAAGAGAAAACTATTCTAGGGCTTCAAAAGAATTACCGGGTATATATTATATTGAAATACCGAGAGAGATAAATTAATCGAAGTTGAATCATCGCAATTTAACATTGTTTTTAAATTTATAGATGCGCAGCCGAATAGCTTCGGCTAACGTGAGTCCATTTGATCTGTCGATCATTGACCAATCAAAGTGTAACCATCTTAATACATCTATGCGTGTGGAAATAAACGATGAGACGTTCAGTGCTAAAAATATCGGACACGCGGTTTCTAAGGTGGGTGAAAAAATTGGACAAGGCGTTGAGTATGTTATTGACGGCGGCAAGAAAGTCTACAGTTCTATCAAATCGAAGCCCGCCGAAGAACCTGACGCCGAATGGATACCTTAAGACTGGCTAAATGCGAATAAATCTTATATTTTTATAATATGACAAAGTTCAGCTAACTTATCAGTATAAGCCGAGATGCAGCTATATGAACAACATTACTTTTATACATATATATTTTGTTTACATAATTAATTATCTATTTTTTGTTACTATTGTATTGTAGTATACCTTTGACTGTACGTTCTCCTAAGAACAGAGACAATATATACCCATAGACTTATATACCCAATAAATACTTGTAAACTATTTAAGTCTAATATACTTAGACAATATTCTAATAATAAACTATAATAACTTAACAAACTATTTTTATTCGAAGAGAAAAAAAAGAGTGCCAATTTTTTAAAAAAATAATATTTTGTTACAATTCATGTTTTAGTATTTTACAAGACTTGTAGTCTTGTAGTTATGTGTAACGATGTGCTTTTTAGCTTGCCTAGTGTATAATAAAATATATTTTTTTATTAATAGATCCCTCAGAGCAGCACTAAACGGGGCCCCAAGCTCTGAACCGAACTGATTATAATTAGTTGGTTCAATTATCTTTATTACGAGGTCTAACCTTAATTGGTTGGAGTAGTCTGGTTCTCCAGGTTGGGGGTTAAGCGTTGGAAGGGCTAACCACTCAGTGGTCCAAAAAGAAAAAAGGTGGCCAAAAATAAATGAATTAAACGTTGGAAAATATATTTTTTGTTTAGGTTGTTACAATACCAGTCAAACAATCGAAATAAGATATCAAAATATTGATTTGAGAACTTACTTACGACTTGTTGAAGTTAACAGAATCGAACATAATTTGGTTGCTAAGTTACGATTTTAACTTCCATGCATGATCGAGTGGAAATTTAAACAGCATGAAAGAGGAGGGGAGTTTTTTTTGGTTTTTGTGTGTTTTAGCCGTAATTTTAGGACTTTTTAGTTTAAAATCTGTCAGGAGGTAAGACTCATATGTAACCATAACTTAGTGAACAGTGAACAAATCGGAAATACAATTTTATTTCTTTGTATTGGCTAAAAATAATTATAATGTACGAATGGTTATAATAAAAATATTTAGTCGTATATTTTGTTAAGGGGGCCGCAGCATGGTTTTTACAAACAAATATTAAGTAGAGGTATCAAAAAAATAAAACCGCCACCTCATAGGTAACGTTTTTCTCTATACATTGTGAGAATTTTGTAAATTTACCCCTTAAGGAGGTCGGAGCACAACTAGTTTTCATGCGTTTTAAATAGAAACATTTAAAAACTAAAGGGACTCTTTTCGGACGTTTCAGACGTAAAACCCTGACAAAATTAGTCCTACCTAGGTTGGATCGATTTCAATTCTGTAAAACTTTTTGAGTTTATCGGCCTCTTATTTAGGTTATTGTTGGAATAGATATTCGATAATTTAATTAACATATTAATTTCTATTGATAATTTTAATTTCTCAAATTCAGTTTTAAGTAAATAAAACAGTTATTCAAAAATCAACTTCCACAATAACCTAGAAAGAAGGCCAATGAGATCTAACAAGTTTACAAAATTAAAATCCAATCATTCTATGTAGGCGTACGTAATTTTATCAGGCTTTTAGGTCTAAAGTGGGTTCTCGCACCACCGAAATAGCTTTAACTATGTTTAAATAAATGATAAACGTTAAAAAATATAATACCCTAAAGCTTATACAAATTAAACTGGAAATAATTGATATGGTCGAAATTTATTGAAACTACTTTTTTCTTAAATATTGCCTATATAGAACTCCTTAAAAACCATCCACTTTCAATTCCCTTAACACCCATTTTTTGACAATTTGAAATTTAATATTGAATCTTATAATATCCGATGTTATAATTAAATTGAAAAAAACTGTTTTATTTGTATTAAATTTCATAATTGATTTATGTACTGGATAAATAAATAAATAATATATACGACTAGTTTATTTATGTAATAATATTTAATATATTTCCATCTAAAGTAACATAATATGATACCTACCAATTCGTTTGATTTTTAATTTAAAATAACGATATACTTTATTTTATTTGAATTATTATGTATTTTTTCGATTAATAATATATTGTATTTTTGTTAGGCTAGATATTGCGTATACGAACGTTTAATTAAATTACAGATGTCGGACCAGACCGATGAACTATACCCAGTGTTTTACAATTCGCCCACGAAGACATCGGTCGTTATGAAGTCGGAATAAACGAGCCGTGGGCCGTAGGCCAGACAACATTAGTCGAAGATATTGTTGTTTTGTCGCAGGATTCTTATAAAAGGTAAGTATTGTCTATAATATTATGAATTTGGTGTTAAATGAGTGTCTTGTTCCAAACGCTATTTTTCGTGTCTCGTGTAATTAGTATTGTATATATGTATGCCTAAGTATATGGTTATTTCCAGATCCGAGCTAACCCGAAGATCGATTTCAACGTGACAGAGAAGTAAGAAAGACGGTGACGCAGTGGCATCGTGTCTCGTGACTCCAGCTGTTGGTCCATCGCTGGATGGCTACTACGTTCACCGGTCTGCTTTAGTCAATCCGTCCGGTCCGTAAAAACGAATACGAAAACATTCAGGAATGTGACGATTTGGTGCAAAGTTTATGTCTTTGAATTATTGGAGCCCAGCAAGTTTGAGAGGCCATCACTTTATTTTAAGACTGTTAAGTACACAATATTTTTGTCGGCCAATATTGATTATTTTTACATTAGAAATAACAAATATATTATTTATAATTCAGTTCGTTCATACATTTATTGTTTTGTTTTTTTTTGTTTCGTTTACTTTTATTTTATGTTTATACATTTTTAGTAATTAATTCCCGAAACGTATTATTTATCCGTTTTTAATATATCAAATTAACTGTTGTATAGTGAGCTTTAAAAAATAAAATTACAATCAATTTATAATTTTGAATAATTTTTTTATTAATTTCTTTCATCACCTTATTGATACATATTCTATGTCGCTAAACACACTGCATTCGTTAGTAGACATCCGTTTTGGTTAAAAAACTAGCTACGATATCTATTAGGTTAAAAAATAATTTGCAAAAAAAGAGAATAAACATTAAAAATTATCCAGATATTGCAGAACAACTTTTAGTTACGTGTGTAAATGAGTTTGCTTTAATAAACGGTAAGCAACAAATAAAAACATATTATTTTGTAAAATACATGGTCAGTCAGTCAATGAGTGTCACATGTTTGGTGTCCTGGATGATATTAACGCTATTACAGTGTGCGTCCAGCCTAAGATTGCGGCGTCTCATCGTTGGCGACCCGTCCGCGAGAGCCGGCGGCTTCTGTTGTTCATCTCTGCGGCGGCAGCGCCTGCGGCATTTGCGGCCAAACTGTCGGTGGCATGGTAACGTCCGGTGCAATGCGTCAGAAGGATTAGGATCTGTAATATTTAAAATAAAATAAATTAAATGATTTTTGATCTGTATAAGTTTGTGTAGACGGCCGTATGAAGATGAATATACGTAATACGAATGTAATATTATGGTGCTTAGTATTATTATCATGAAGAAATAGGCAGTTAAAAAGTCGTCGAGGGTCAAAGTTAACATTTTCTCCTATTTGTAGACCTGCCAGCTATGCAAGTATTAGTAGTTATTGCTAGGGAAAAGTTTCAAAATAAAAAAAAATTAATTTTTATAATTTCTTAATTAGTTACTGCCAACTTTGATAATATATATTATATTATATCAAATACTATGCATAATATATGTGGACAGTTGTGGCTCCCTAAGTACATTTATGTGTGCATTAAATTTGTTTATTGTTGTTTTCCGGTTTAAAACCTATAACGTACATTACAGATTATAGGAAATCCAGGACAGTAAGATCAATGGAGACGGGTCATAGTGATGTTGGCAAGGTCTTCAGGAATTATTATAACAGAAATTATAAAAAGTAATTAATATAATTAAATGTGTTTAGACACAAAACACATCTAAATACAAAAAATCGTGATTACAGAATTAGTAACGGTACATAATTTAAAAACTTTTTGAGTTGAGAATAATCTATTAAAAATTCAGACTGGTCGAATAGAAAAAAGTATTTAAAAAATAATAATATATAAAATCTACAAATTTACTTATCATTAAAAAAAATGTATCTTATTTTAAACTGATTACTACTGAATAATACATTAGAAAATATTAAATATCAACAAAAATTATGCATTACACGATATAATGTATGCTTATAAATATTATATAAATAAAAAAGTATTCCGTTTAAATGCGTTGCAGAAACTGATTTTAAAAGATCTGAAAATATGATGGTCAAAGGGATTTATACAATAAGAAAACTGAAATATGAGTGAAAATTGTGTGCTCAGTGTTAACTTAACATACAATGACGGATGACCCTGTATCAAAAACTTATTCTGTTGAAAGTAAAAAACCATTTTTAGAATTAGTGATAAATAGCTTTTGGTAGTAAAAAAAAAGAATCATTACCATTAATATTTATGTTTTAGCGAGGAAGTAAGTTATCCATCCGACAGAGATTCACTACCGTCTACCAATATAATAAAGTAATGACCCACCAAACTCCAAAGGACACAGTTCAAGTTCATAAACCTGTTTCTTGCGTGTAGTAGCAAAACGGTCCTGATATTCCGTGATAACAATATTAACTCAAATATAGGATTATGCAATTGTACTTATAAAGTTCATTAGTTCAATGACTTTGTCGGCACAACACAAACGTGGTAGGCAATATCCTTACACATATAACAGGTTTCTAGGTATTATAATCATGCCGCAACATAAATTCAGTTTGGGATAAATGGAAGTCGAAGCATATACTTAAAGACATAGCGGATTTCATAGGAAAAAATACTTCATTAATACGAGACTGATAAGGTCAACGAACTATTATATTGCTAATAAAGGACATCTAAAATCCAAAACGGTTCTTTTGTAAAAAAAAAAAAAAAACAACTTGAAAACCCTGTGAGTTGTGGGTACGATATTTTGTCGGTTAACACATTAAAAATGTGTATAAATGAATAGAGGAATAGTATACACGATGGGTAATTTGACAAATGCCACAAGCCGGTTCCGATACTTAAAGTTAAAAAAAACATTTAATTTTTTTTTTAATGTATCATTTAGTGGATTCTGTTACATGCGAGCTTATCTTCTCGACTCAAAGCATACACGGAAACCGCAGGATATGATGCTAAATGCGTCGGAGGGAGACGTTACCTGTATATATCCTTGAATTATTAAACACAACACACTACAAAAACACCAAGAGGTCAAACACTGCCGAGTACCGATCGGCGGTCGTCGCGGTTAGTTGGTTTTGGTGGTTGTGCGAAGATTATCGCGTGTTTATAGCTTAAGTGTTAGAATACAAATAGGAAGTTAAAAAATTTCCTTTGGTATCCTAATAGCTGTAACACAGGATATAACCTTATTGAAACTTGTGTTTTTCGCTACGATAAAGGCACACAGTTTTTAATAGAAAATTGAAATCCACCGGATAAATTCATCGCAAACGCCACAAAGCATCTAACAAATGGACCTTTTAGAGTAATGAAGGTAATATAACAGAAGTATATACAAATAAGTAGGCCTTTTTCTTTTTATGACTAAACCCCCTAATACTCAAGTACAAACATTTCGCGGGAAAATAATTATATAGAGATATTTATACTAATATTTTGTTGTGTTTTATTTAAAAACTATAAATAAGCAATAAAAAAGAATATATGTATGCTAATAATGTAAATTTTTAGACTTAATAACTAGTAACTAAAAATATTTTTTATTAATAAAGGCTATTAAAAAAAAAAAAAAAAAACTAGTTATAAAAATAAGATATAAGTTATAAAATGGAAATAATATTTCTTTGAATAACTTTTAACTTAATTAAGTGCTAATTTTTCATTATTTATAAGGCAAACTCGAAATCAATAGATGCAAAAGTCAGCCCCGACAAAAGTATAAAATTTAATATTTCCAAATTATTGTTAATATTAAAATAAATATGTTTGGTCTTAAACAGTTCAAAACATATTAATACCATTTTTACTATATTTTAAAATGATAAAAAACAAGTGTTGTGCTGTATGGAAGTTTTAGTTTAAATTCCAGTTATAAACAGTTATTTTTCAACAAATTTCAGTTAAAATTTAAATTTAACTAATTTAAACTGTTTTCAATTATATAATTACTGTATTTTAAAGTAATATTGATAAAAACTAAAATCGTTAACAATACGAATACATAACAACGTACTATAAAATTAACTAAATAATTAGAATTCTTATTTTTATAATTCAGCTTATCAATGGAGATTATATTTTACTTGTTTGAAATATTTTATTGAATAAGTAGGTACTAATTTATGGTAAACAAAATGGTTGTTAAAGTGGTACGTCGTATTATTTATTTAAACAGTTCGTGTAGAAATCACCTCCGGGTAATAATTCTGTTGGATGTTTCCTAGTTTCGTCCCTGAGTTCATCTCCGGAAGTACAATAATTCAAATAAATAATACCAGTCAATATATTATAAAAATACAATTCTCTTGAAAATACTTAATACTTTATGGAAATAAATTAATGATTTATATTTCAGATTACGTTTGTTGTATTTTTGTTTTTCATTGCGTCGCCTGTATTGGGCACGTTGATCATAGTAGAGAAGACCAAGGAAAAAGCCCTGGAAATAACACACAAGTACCCAAATTGTCGTGTTCATTATGGCAGGTAAACTATTAAATGCTAGGTCTAGTAGACAATAATTATTTTATGGGGTATGGAGGTACGTAAAATGTCAAGTATACTAGGCGCATGTGTTTTGTTTTTATTTTTGTCGTTAAGAATTATTTTTATTTAATAAAATAATAATAATGCACAAAAGTGGTTTAAAGCTACTGAGTAAAAATTCAAATTCAATTAAAAGGTTCTTCCAATAAGGTTTATTATATTTGTGTAAAATCTACCGCATTTTACGTAAATTGAAAACAAAAGTGCTACCTAAAATAGAAATACTTCTTTTTTGTGTAGTTGTTTGTCTGGTTATTCAAATTAATGATAGGTTTTACATTTTTTTTTCTAGTTCTTTGTTGATCCTGATATACTTGTTGTGTTATTGCTTATTACAAACGTCACAATAATAATCATCGTTTACGTAAAACCCCTTGTTTTAATTGATTCGTAAAATATAACATACTCGCTCCAATGCGTAACAAGTATCCGGTCATCGATGAGTTGGCAATTAAACTTATAAATATTAATTAATATTAACCAAGACGTCATAAAAAAGAAAAATACATCATCAGATTTATGATAAAACGATTTACGAGGACAAAACCTTATTATAATTTTGTTTTGTTAAGATTTCAGCATTTACATTTTTATAGCTTGAAAGCTATGTATGAAGGTTATTGTTATAACTATTTTATATTTTTTGTTAAATTAAATTGTGTAACTAAAACAAACCTACATACTCGCTCAATAAGAACGTCACAGTTCAATATTTTTTCTTTTTTCTTTCTACCATACACTTAAAATTGTAATATTAAAGTGAATGTCCAGTAACATACACTGTACAACACAAGTGGTCTTCATTAAGTTATCAGAAAATAGCGTTTTATAAAATCATTTTATTAAAACCTAATAGTGTTCATAGATGGGAAAAATTATTATTTGTATTCATTTTTCATATGAATATCTTATAACTACTTAAAGATCCGTAATAAAGAGAGAGAGCTTCGTAATAAAAATAAAATCAAAGAATCAAATATTACATTAAGTAAAACATAAATTTCAATTACATTGATTTTATAAAATATAAAAAAATGATCGAATACTTATTGCCATTGAATAAGTGTGGTGTTGTAGATCGACTCTTCGAAAATAGACAAAAAATAAAAATGTATCTGGTTTTGAATTAATTATAGAAAATAGGGATGGGCTGTACCACTTTTTACCGATACCTGATATTCCGATATAAAATTATTGGAATATACGAGCAGTTTGAGGAGACACCTAATTATATTTAAAATAAGAAGAAGTACACCGTTTTCCTTTGCCTCAACCCCCCCCCCCTCCCCTTACACCCTGGATTTATATTTATAGATATATTTTAATTTTATCCAAGATGTAATTATTTTTTAGATTTCGATCATTGTCTGTTGAAAACCTAACAAAATATTATTTTAAGCACATAATAATAATAACAATTGTATACTTTTAAATGAATACAAAATGTATAAAACGAATCAAATACCAAGTAAATATGATGGCGAAATATACTACAAAATATTTTTTTTAATAAGTAATTTTATAAAATTTCGTTTCATAAATTAGCAGATATTTGAAATTACTATGTTCTATATATTTATGAATAAATGTTTTAAGTCTATAAAAATAAGAACAAATAAAAAAATCGCAAATTGGATAATTATTGTTTATGCACCCGGGATGATCATTAAGACCAGTTTTTCTTAACAATAACAATTCGAGGCGTCATTAAGAATATGCAGATAATTGTTACATTACAGTCACAAAACCCGTTTTTAAGTATTGGACACGTTTAAATAATCGCTGATCAAATGAGGTGCGTAGTTACAAAACCAGTCGAACGATTTTTTTCCTTTTAAGATAACAGACGAAAATTAAATTGGTTTGACATTTTAAATTTAAATTCTACAATATCAATGTACTCATAATTTATTTGTTTTTTTTTAAATAAACTGGCGTATTATTAGTGTATTGTAGTATTATAAACTCAATTAAATAAAATTAATATAAACTTAGTATATGGAATTTACAAATTCCATAGGAATTATAGACCGGGGTTGGTTAAAGAACGGGAATTGAAAGCAGGCGGGATTAAGGAGTTTTATATAGGCATTATTTAAGCTTTAATGCTTATTCAGTTATGTTGGAAAACTACTTTCATTTTAAAAATTCAGTTTATTCTAATTAAATAAAATGAATTTACTCGAAACGTTTTTTATTTCGTTTTTGTTCTCACACCTACTGCATACTATAAATATAAATATAAAAAAGACTCACATAGTAAAACATTAACAAAGTTATTAACGAAGTTACAAACAAATTTTTAAAAATAAATTATAGTTTATTTTTAGCGATATTTTACTTATAGGTACTTACCTAATTTAAGCTACGTTACGGGAAGTAAGCCATACACAAAATAATCAATAAACCGAAGACTGGGTGAATACCTATTAGTTAGCATTCCAAAAGTGAGGTCAGTGACTAACCTTAACGGAGATGTATCTGTCATCAATATAACAGCCGTGTGTATAAATTATTAGGTTTACTACAATGTTTCAATTTCAGGCATGACACAGCTACCGCATTTAACGAAATTCATTACCCAAAACCTTGGGTTTTTAGCATTTTCGACCAAGTTTACTTCCTATTATCTTTATAGAATATTAATTTTTATTTTTGAACGAAATGCGCATGAAAAATAAAAACAATTACACGTGATCTAGGTGTTTCAACCGTTTAAAAGATACAATAGGCAATAATATTAACAGAATATAACCAAGGCCAAACGTTGTTGTTATTTAGGGACAAAGTGCAGCGGGTAATGTCAATAACAAAACCGTTGTTGATATACGAACCCCAAAGCGATCAGTCGATAGATTTACTTTCAAAAGTCTGCGAAACGGCATTTAAAGGACCAAGTAAAAATACTGGATTCATTTATCCAGGTGACAAAAATATCTAAAGGCTATAAATAAAATAAACTGAAAACTAAAGCAGGTTTACTTGAATTGCAGGAACAAAATGGTGTGGACCAGGTAATATAGCTAAGAACTATACCGATTTGGGAGTTTATAAAGAGGAAGACATGTGCTGCCGTGATCATGATCATTGCACAAGGATTTTGGAAACAGGCCAGTGTTATTTTAATCTTTGCAATACTTCTCCTTATACGAGGTATATATTATTGAGTAAACAAATTAAAATTAACAAAAACTTACCTAAAAGTATAATAAATACTAATTCCTCATTACATTATATATATATATATATATTTTTTTTTTTAAATGCGAGAAAAGTGAAAATTACTTTAATTTTAAATACTACACAAGGTAAGATTCGACCACTGTGTTTCTGTGCTACAATACAACAGGTGGCCAATAAATAGACTACCTCTATGGAATTCATCATAGCCAGGACAAAAGAAGGATTTTCAAAAGTTTAAACATCTTAAACCCAAACTGTATTTAAGGTACAATTGTACTAATAATAAGTTTAGATTTTTATTATCCTATTAAAAAGAATTTAGATGGTGAGACTATTTATGTCTTAATTTCAGTACAGGTCTGACTATACTATTGAATAAAATATTTTCTAGAATAATTAAAATATATATTTCCTTTTAACTGCTATTATACATGTTTTTGCTATTTACAAATATGAGAAGAGGTTGTGAGAAGAAAAAAATATCTAAGAGAACAATTTAGCTAAACCAAACTATCTATTAAAAAAACAAATGTTGATCAGATATTATGACTGTATAAGATTGAATAATATGGAAATCGTATAAATCTTCATCAATTAAAAAAATGATAGACAAAAAAATAAGATATATACTTAAGGTTTTAATTGACTAAATAGTACATATGTTAGACAGGCTTAATATTATACATTTTTTAATCTAGTATAAAATAAAAATTACCAAAAAAGTATTTTTTTTTTATATGTATTCCCAAATATAACCCTATAAAATAAACTCTTTAAAACAACATTTTCTATTATTCAGGAGAAAAAAAGGGGGTTTCTGATTTATTTGTGCTAAATGAATGAAGCACATATTTAAGAAGTTAAAAAGAAATAAAGTAGGCAAGTATGTATAAAAAAGCTATTATAAACTATTACTATGTACTAATTAAAATTTCTAGCGTGTAAAACGGTACTGTCGATTTTGTTATCAACGAAAGATTAAGTTACCCAAATACTAAGGAGTATCGACAGAGACGGATTTATAGTTTTAGCACCTCTAGGCTATCAACAATTGCAGCCCCTAAATAAGTTCATAATATTATTTTATAATTATATGAGGGAAAAAATCACCATAAGTTTTTTTTAAACATTTTTTTTCTTCAAATTTATATTTTTTGGTTTGCCACAAAAATTTGCTGTCCTTCTAAAAATGCCGTCCTAGCCTACACCTAAAATCTTTCTTGTGTATTAGTGCATCTGTGATTTATCCTATCAGATACTGCAAGTGTCAATCAACCATTGAAGAAGAAATGATCAAATATTTTTATACACTGTTCAAATTAAAATTTTAGGTCGCACTGTGAATGTGATAGAAAGTTTCAACATTGTTTGAACAAAATCAATTCACCAACGGCCCATACACTTGGTGTCATATTTTTTAACATTGTCAAAGTAATGTGTTTCAAAGAAAACTGTTTATTTGGGTATTATAATAACTTAAATAATAATACAGTATTATCATTTTTGATATATTGCCCTTACAATTTGTTTACTCAGGGAATGTATTCAAAGATTTGAAATCATACCAAATTACCATCAACAAGGACGAAGAAGCCAGCGTATGACAACAGACAGACTGTTTAACGTTTTTGTAAACGTCGCATCAGATTTTTTGCGTTTTGCATTGTAAAAATATTAATAATAATAACAAAATTTAGTGTTGAAAATTAATTTTTTTAACTCTATATTAAACAGTGAAAACTGTAAATATTGAAACTGATGCTTTCATATATTGTTAAATATTTATCGCTATTATTATTACCTAAATGTGAAATGTATTATTCAAGAGTATTGTGTCTCAACTATTTCTTGAAAATCTCAGAATAATTTATATGATTGTACTTGCCAAATGTAAATTAATTATATTATTTATTTATGTTATATATTTATTAATTAATGCATACCTTAACACAGTGATTTTTGCTGCTTTCCAAACACAATAACTAATGGTTTCCCTTCTATCACAACACCATTGTTTTCATGTAGTGCTTGGCTTGAAATTTCAGCATCTAAAAAAATTATACTTTAGCTAAATATGTAGTTAAAAATTAAAAGAACACTTTTTTTAAAGAAAATTCCTTTATTATTATAATTTTTTACACAGAAGTATAGTTATGAACAAATTCTATATACTCACTTTCGAACTCTATAAATGCTTGGCCTTTCATTCTTCCTTGTTTCATAAATCTATAAACTATATCTTTATTCTGCAATTTCTTATATTTGTCAAATACTGATATTAAATGGTTTTCGTTAACATTTTTTGCAATATTTTTTAAATAAAGTGTCTAAAAAGTATACAACATTTGATTAGTTCTCAAGAAAAAACATTAAGAGGATGCCATATCTCCCCTCCCCTTTAATTAAAGGGTTAGGCATAGATAATTTTTACAAAATCTTAATTAGAGGTTAAAATGTGATGTGCAATTATTTGTTGAGTAATTAGGACACTTTTTTCTAGTTGATTTATTTTTTGGACTATCACTACATCCTTGTTAGCGATTTAAAAAAAAATGTCATCTTAACATATCTACGCATACTCACTAATATTAAACGATGGCCTATATGCTTTTCCATAAACACGTTTTTACGGTTGAAACTCAAAGGTTATTTGATGAAAAAAATATTTTTAACTTAATCGAATAAATTTGATGAGAAAAAAAATAGTTTTTTTCTTTGTAAAAACCAAAAACAAAACGCATTGAAGCTAATCCTAATTATTGACTTCTATCAATTACAAGTGTGGTAGCATAAAATATTATACATAGCATATTGACATAATTTTAATAATAGTATTTACTTTTGATGGAACTCCTTTTTGATAATTTTTAAAAGGAGGTAAATTTTTAATCTCATCTTCAGTAATTTTTGTAAAGTTATGAAGCAGTATAGAACATGTACTGCTAGACACAAAACGTTGACCATTTACTGAATTCATTTTTGGAGGGTTGGAAGTTTCGTTTTTTACATTTAATACACCAATACACTCATTAATTTGCTTAGTGTCACAAGTGTAAAATTTAAGATTTTGTGTTTTTGTGCAATCTGTTTGATCCCACAATGTATTTGGCTTATTATAATGTCTAATTGGCTTGTGTGATATCTATAAAAAAATCAAGTGTTATTATAAAATAAAAACATATGGGTTTCTAACCATAACATGTTACCTCAATAGGTTTAGATATGGATTGCAGTAATTGTCTTCGTTTTCGTAATATCATTTTTGATGTTTTTATTGGACATACATCAAGGTGACTAAATTTTTCATCAACGATAGAAGGTAAATTGTTAATAGGATGATCTGATGGACGTAAATCATGTTTTTGTTTTTTATCAGCTTTACATGATAAGGCAAACTGTAATAATTTAGTTTCAGTACTATTCGGCTTTACACATAGTGCTAATTCACGTTCATGACGACTTAAACAACTAAAAGCCAAAAATGTACATGAATTACAATACATATGAATATTTTGCCATGTATAATAGCAAAAAACATAAATATAAAAACTCACTCCTCTATTTTCAATTCAGGATCATAGCTATTATTATAATTTCTTTGATCAAAAGCTACCTCTTCAGCTTTAGAGCAGAATTCTGGTAATGTAACAGCTCCTTTCGTGTACTCCGTAACTGACACATACTCATGACTAGTAACAAAATCTCGTTCTTGGCTCAAATGCCTGAAAAATAAAATCATATCATAAAAAAAATTTAGACACGAGCAACCAAATGTTAACCTTTTTATGGAGGTAAAATATAGTTATCTTAAAAAAATTATTAAGTGTATAAAATTCATTCGGATGATATCCAGCATTGTTTAATATATATTATTAACACACACTCTCTCTTACGTTTAACGTTCGTTATTCCACTGATCAGGGCTTAGACGGTTTAGATTTGGCATTTTTGGGCTTATAGCTGGCTGCCGACCTAACGCTTCCAAACAAGTTGGCCCGAGACAGGGGTGCAGGTGGCCATTTCTTCCCCCAGACAGTTACCTGCCCGGATGAACAAACCGCCAGTGGCCGAGATTCGAATCGGCGACCGTGCGTTGATACACTGCCGCCTTATCTCACTTCGCCACGCGCCTGCACCATATTATTAACTCACTATGGGTTTATTTTTTAGTATAAAGATACTACAGCATAATTGTTAGCATACCTCTAATTAAGAGAAAAAAATTATTACTTTTCTAATGTTAGACATTTGTCAGCTTGTTTCAATGCTAAATTTTTAATTAGTAAATCTGCATCAGACTCGACATGAGCATCAAGACGTTCAAAGTCATTAAGAATCAAATACTTCGACTGTTTAGAGTTGGTCTTTTGAAAAGCAGCCATATTTATTCAATGTAGGTATATTGTCAGTTCCTAAAATAATTGTATAATTTATTTTAGTATAATAATTAATATAATAAATGTAGTAAAATAATTTTGTCTTCTCTATCTCCGGCTTACACTCCCAACTATATGGGGTCAGCCAAGTATAATAATTCTATAATGTATGTTTTACAATTATACTATAACTTACTTTAAATTGAAGAAATTACTTTAAATATTTAAGAATAATAATTGATTCAATAAATGTTTAAAATATGATACTTTGTTATGTTTTAAGTGTCCTATTCAATATTGTTATATTATATTTTTAAGAAAACAAGCCTCTTTTTGCCTTGGTAGCTAATACTATTTAGTTTTTTTCCAAAATGATATCACAGATTGGATAAAATCTAATATGTGATAATATTATACATACTAGCTTTAATAAGGTTATACACTCATGGCAAAATATATAGGTATTTCAGCAACATGTGTTATCAATTTTAACAACATGGCGACCGGTTTTCTCTCGTTAGAAATACACGGCCACATTTTAAAACCGAAGATTATCAAAAGTTTCTAACATATCTTGTTGCTTTGTCATGCATGCACATGGTCAACTACACATTATCTATCTTTAATCTTTATCATTTATATTTTATAATACAAAAATTGTAAAACGTGATGTTTAAATGTTGTACTAAGTGAAGTTAAAATTATAATTTATACAAAATGTTACAATATTAAAAATATCTATATGTTGTATGTAACTGCTTTATTTTCTTAAACAAATCTTAACAGTTAGATACAGAATAAAAAATGACGTTTTTATTCCGGACATCAAATACAATTTTAAGTGTACTAAAAACTAATCAAAGTAAGCATAATATGTTAACATTAGTCTTTTTTTTAAACAAGAATTTAACTTAAACCAATACATGTAATTAGTTAAAAATCGACTGTATTTCTTTTTTGTTCTTTCAAAGTACAATGTATTATAATTTTTATTTAAAATATATCATTAATTTTATGTACAATAAAATTGCATCAAAATTAAAAAATACTTAAAAGACAATACTTATAGATTTTTACACTACATACATTTATCATTTTATGATATTATTTAGTAGATGATTAAAATTAACTATTAATTAATTTACAAAGTATAGTAAATATGTTTTTAATCCAAATTAATTTCTTAGGTATTATTTATTAATCATCTTAAAAATAATAGCTTTTCTAAAAAAATTTCATTCATTTTTATAATGTAGTATGTAACTTGCACGTTAATCTATCTATGTTATTTAGGTATTAGACAACCATTTCACAGGTGGGTTGCACCAACACTTAGAGAACTTAAAAAGAGAAAAGATAGATTGGGTCCACAAAAACCAGTGCACCGTAAAACATTTTTAGAATGGTAAGTTATAACTGTTATATGACGTCAAAAAACCCATCTTAAGGAGAAAAAATATATGTTGTAGTAAGCTTAAAAACAGGTAAAATTTATTCTCAAAAAATCATGTTTTAAGAATTCAACGGGAACTTGTTATATATAGCCTAGAGATAATTTTAGCGACCCCCATTAATTTATTCTGCTGTGTTTTTTGTGGGGTAACAAAAATATCTTTAAATTTGTATTTTTTATCTTAAGGTGGAACAAAGTCCTGTGACGCTAAAAATTGTTTAAACCCTTTTTATCAAGGGTTTTTAACTTTAAACAATTTGTTTATTGCTTAGGAATTATGATACAGAACTGTATGCATTCAGCAAACGCATAGGAGAATCATTTGATAATACTTTATTACAAAGAGCTCTGGTTGAACGATCCTACATAATAAATGAAGAAGAAAGACAGAAAGAAGTAGGAATTGAACAACCAACACTAAATTTAACTGATAACAAGGAGTTAGCAGAAAAAGGCTCAGCATTTTTAAATGACATCGTAAAAAGATATTTGCGTACTGTATTTCCTAAATTGCCTGAAGAGGGCATAATGTATGTATGGTAAAGTTATTGACATTTTAAGATTTTATACTAACTTTTGTACAATTTTAGAGGAATTCATGATTTTTTAACTAATGATGATTCACTTTCTCATGTATCATTCCATATTGGTACATCTGAATTGATTCTTTGTGCTGTAAGTATCATATGATATAATGTATAATAACAAAGAATAGTAATAAGCCATGCACTTTTGAAATATTTATAATTTTTTATGTAAAGGAGTGTCTTGGTACTTCTTATTCTCATTTAAACTCTTAATAATATACAACACCTTATTCTTTTTTTGGTAAAAATGTGTGTAAACTTCTGTATCTATAAATGCTAATTAAGGCCAGGGAGGTTTTTGTCACAATCTGTCTTAGAACAAGAGTACTATAGAACACGTTTTGATACTATTAAGTAAAATGTATCATTTATCCTCAATGAAGCTATTAATCCAGCTGAGCATAATAAATAAGATGTTTCAATAAATTACGCCTCGTAATCCCATAGTTATACATTTACCAACCCTTTGCCTGTTCACAGTAATATATTAATTTATAATTAAAAGAGAAAGTATGCTTACAAATGTATAAAAAATGTCAATGTGATAGTTATTCATATGTTTTATTTTAGGATTTTCCTGTTGAAAAATCTACTTTAGCCAACGTCTTGAAAGCATTAGTAGGTGCTTTAGTTGAAAGTTCTGGTGAGGAGCGAGCTACATTATTTGTGAGAGATTTTGTTATGACACAATTAGCTGACAAAGATATACATTCAATTTGGGATCATAATGAGCCTATTCAACTATTAACAGACTTATTAGCAAAGGATGGTATTGGTGCTCCTGAACCTAGAATTGTTGGTGAATCTGGCAAGAACACAATATTAGCTTGCTTTAGAGTAGGCTTATATACACCACATGACAAAAAAATGATTGGTCTAGGTAATTATTTTTATTATTATTTAGTCACTTTCTACTATTAAAAATAATAAATGTTTGTACAATTTGTACTTAAGGTTTTGGAGAAACTGTGGATATTGCTCATGAAATGGCAGCAAGAAATAGTTTACGGCATTTGTTTGGTACCGCTGACACTACTTTGATTCCATTTAACTTAGAATTAAATCAGCTAAGTACGAGAACTGAAAAAAATGCATCCATAAATGAATGGTCACAAAAAAATCTGCCTGTTCGACCAACACATTATAAACTTCGTCAAGCTAAAGCAATAAATACTTAATAAATTTATTTATGTATAGTATATATTATACATTTTTTAAATATTAGTTTTTTTTTATAATGTGTGTGTAAAATCAACAAGAAATAAAATTATCAATATGGTTGTTATTCAACTAAAAATTTGTTTTTCTTTTTTACTTTTAATGTATTATTACTAAGAGGTATTAAATGATTTTAGAATGCACAGAAAGCCAGTAATTAAACAAAATGTTTTTGATTGAATACTTAACTGTATATTAAGACTGTATCTTATGTATATATATTGAGAATGATCAATTTAACATAAAACACTCTCATGATCTATTTTACAATTTTAGATCATTTTAATCTTTTACATTTTTTGATGTTTACAAGAGTTATATTAACTTTTCAAACTTGAATGGTGACATAGAAAGTTTTTTCATCTACACAAATTACTTATTTGGGTTTGTATTATAGTAATAATAATTATTATTTTTAGTACTTACTAGTTTTTTTTGCAAATTGTAATAACATAATATCGCGATTCGCGGGCTTGGAAACTAAAGGTTCTCAATTGTTTGTTAGGGAATAATGTACAATTTTTATTAGGATTATTTGAATATTTTAAATTTTCAGGGGCTTCAGATCCAAACAAATAATTATATTGTCCAATTCTCCCTCCAAAAATATTAATGTGAGTTTTAAATAACAAAACAGTTATGAATTGTCCTAGATTATTTCTACTAAATTCGTCTGTATCTCATAGCGTATAAGTTTTGTATTGTACACAAATATTTTGGTGTGGTATGTTGGCTACCATGTCAAAAGTATATTTCTTAAGTTTGTAGTCTAATTTCAAAAGGTTCTCTCTATTGTTATATGGTTCTATCTATTCGGTTTACATTAAAAGGTTCTAAACTCCGTTTATTTTTAAATGTCGCTACTCGCTAACAAAAAGTTCCATCTCAAGACCCTTCTTGTTTCTCAACAGGAATTTTTTGGTTTCTTATTTTTCATAATTTGAATTCAAGTTTTATTGACAAAAAATGAATAGCTCATTATACTTTATGATTTAATGATATACAAATTAGAAAAATCGATAAGATGAAAGTATGAAATAAATGTAATCAAACCTTAAAAATCGGTTAAAAATGCTCTTCTGATCATTTAGGTAATAACGATATACAATCTATAGTTATTAGTTTCCAAGTCTGTGATATATTGAAATGTTTTATCTATTGAGATTGAGAAGCAAACATAACTGATTTTTTATTTTTATTATTATATTTCAAGTATTTTACAGAGGAAATTTTTGTTCGGTGACATTTTGTCGTACATAATATTTAATTTCTAACACAGTCAATTGAAACAAAATAGTAAAATGAAACTAGCTAACTCACTTTATGTTGATATTGGTACCTATATTACATTAATGTTATTAGAATGTAAATCCACGTGAGTTTCGATCACCGTTACCAAACGATTTAATTATAAGGATAAATCGTCTGTTTTTGTCTTCATGCATTTTTAAAACATAATATTTTTAATATTTCTACCTTTTACCAAACAAGTCACTGCCGGAAATAAGTTAGGGGGCTTATCCCAAATATTTCTCCATTTGTTTCTGTGTTGTAAATAGTATTATACTTAATTTATGCACCATTAAAAATATTTCATAATACAATCATTTCTTATGGTGAAAACGATAACACCAAGTAGAATGATGAAAAAGCCAAATTCATTTATATAAGATTTTAATCCTAATGACTTCGTCAAGTTCTTCTCGAGAATTTAAAACTGAAAAAACTTTTAATATATCATGACTTAAAAGAATAAACGTTGTCCAAGGAATATAATTCCAAGGACTTTGGGAACATTTGAAGATTTTATAAATTTGTTTTTTACATTAAGATTGTTTTATATATATATATATATATATATATATATATATAAATTGTATTTTTTTTTCATGTATAATTAATATCAGTAATAACAGATTACTGGGCTTCACTGAGAGAACTCGTGTGTAGGATAAGATATGTTTAATGTTATATTACCTAGTCCTATTTATAAGCGCTATGTTGTACATTAAAAAAAACACATATGAATGTTTATGTATATACACAAGTTGTACGTATATAGTTAAATGTCGATTCAATATGCCAAAAGTATGTGTCGGACGCTCGTGAGATATTTCAAAATCTGTCAGCATCCAGCAATAATATCAGTTCACACAGGATAATATTGTTCGACGTAGTTTTTAACATTATTGTTATTATTACTATATTATGTGCACTGTTTAATATAACCTGTGTCAACAAATCTAGCTAACCCTATTTTTATTTTCAACGTTTGTCGTCGACGATATTTGTCGGTGTAAAATGTTTATAATAAATTTGTTTGTTTACATAGATGTTTCGATGGTATTTTTTTATGTGGCTTTTACATTTTTTATAGTATCTACTGTATATTATTATATCCCTATAGCCTACCCGATAAAGAACCTTTATTTAAATCCAATAATAGTAGTTTCGTTACAAACCACTACCTTTAACGATAAAATAATTCCATCACCTATATATAAATGCCTAAGTTAGATGTCTTTTTAGGTAGTAGGTACATGGAAAAAAAGATATGCGATTTGAATTATTTATAATTATGATTTTGAATTATTAAAAGGGCACATTACATATAATAGTTAGGTAAACTAAATATTTAGTTAGAGCAACTAAACATTTAGGTAGCCTAACAATTTATTTAGTTATTCCGACTATACATTTTATCGTGCCATTATTTTACCTATATTATTTGTATGTTTAGTTATCTACCTATATTTCCTCTATGTATCTGATTTCTTAATTCTTCCTAAATTCGATAGTTTTTTAAAGTTATTATTATAATTTATAAAATAATCACAATATGCTCTGCATGCCGCATGTACCTATAATAATATATTATATTATATTTTCATACATTGTTTATGCGATAAGAGGAAACGCTAACTAGAAGTGTGGTAGAATACGAGTTTTATATGTATAACAAATTTTATAGTCCAATGAAATGAAAGCTGTTAGGCCATATGGGTTTGTCTCTTAACTCTAAACTATCCAGAAACACATTACATCAACAGTTTGAAATCGTATGTTAATTCTGTGGTCGTTTTATATTAATTTATACCTACCTATATAGTAGTGTATTATTTAAATTATTTACAAAATTAAAATAAAATATAATTTTTATAAAACTATAATATATTTATATATTTTATAGTTTACTAGTAATAACTAAATATAAATAAGTATTATATGTTTGCCTGTAGATAATATACTGCCGTTTGCTAATATATAGCGAAGCCTCACATTATTCGGTCTCGTAGGTATACCTAGCTACTTTTAAGTAGCTTTGCTCCTTTTTATATATTTCCCTGGTAACAAAAATTTTGCCTATCCACCTCTAAGCTAAATTTAATAATCTTGAAAACGAACGTATTTTGTTTTGCTATTACACCACAGAAATACAATACCTAAACGTAAACGTTACTGCGCTATAAACTAATAATAATTACATTAATTAAATATTATAGATTTCATAATATTCCGGTCCATCGGTTTACTTTGTATTTTGATATTGCTCTTGTAGAAAACCATCAAGAAACAATTCCTAATAAGTAATAACAAATAGCCATTATCACATAAAGCTATACGCAACGTGTTAGTTAACAAACGACCGGACGAAGAACTAGCTGACGTTGAATTCATCCAGCGGGTTATTAATTTTTGTATGTGTATGTGTTTGTGTGTGCACGAGAGCTAGGCGATGACAACTCGTATTGGCCTTATTTCCTGTGTGAGTTGTGCGTAGAAAATAAAACGAGAGAACACGAGGGAAATATGTGAAGTTTATAAAAATGAATATGCGCTTGCAGCTCGATGCGTGGAAGTCGTCGTAGACATTTCAACAGTATAATAAAAATTAGGTGCGCGCGTAAAATGAGTATAAAAAACACCGCGGTCGTGTATACAACCACTATACCACCGCATAATAACACACCAGCAGCAGACACCGTAGTCAGATTGTTCTTGGGCGATTTGGATATTTTAAAATAGAATCACTTAAACTGTTAAACAAAATATTTCGGTGTGCGTGAAGAACATAACGAGACGTACTTGTATAATATTATAATATTTTTACACAGTACGTAATAGCAATAGTATTCAAAAACTTACCTATGTCTTCAAATTGAATACGCTAATAAATTATTATAAAACAAAGCAACAAGGATTATTGTTATTTGATATTTAAAATATTAAAATTCAAACAAATTAAGACAAGGGCGTGCTGGTAAATACAAACGTTTTACACAGTTGGGCAAAAACTACGAGTAATTATTGATAATTTAAAAATAATTCCTAAAAGTTAAATTAAAAGAGACAACACAGTGCGGTCATAAGGCATATCCATTCCGGCCTCCTCCTATCCATCGTGGGGGGTGGAGCATAGTAAGGTAGGGTCAAACGTCTGTATAAATTATTATAACAGAGTGATTTTATTAAACTTCCAAAAGCTTCGATGCAAAAATTTTAAAATGTGTTAGGAGAATTCTAGTGGAAAGGGTTAATGATATTTTCTTAGGTTTGAACTATAATATAGTCTAATATATATATAATAATATATAATAGAGGCATTATTTTACAGTAGTATTATATATCAGTATTATATAAAAATACCAATACTCCATTTAATTTTGATTATTTTCGGAAGTTTATAGCGTACCGTAGGTATTTGATAAATAACGATTTTTAGTTTTTATGCAGAGATTAGGTAAATATTTAGATATATTAGATTTTTATGAAAATATGTGATTTTTTTTTTAACTTTTAGTCTTCTACGGAAATCGGAGTAGGTACCTTTCAAATAGATACCATTCATGATCTGAAAAATTAGCATATTATAACTCTTGTACAAACTCCGAAAGATATCAATTAGATTTTTCGTTTTAATTAACCAACAGTTCACCTACTTGTATTTTAAATTAAGAAAGTCAAAAAAAGATTAAGCATTTAAATAAGTTTTCTTTTTATTCATTTTTTTTTTTACTCAATATTAAGACAATATTACATTAATCATACATTCATATCAATAAAATAATCAATTATCAATATAATATAATATGATCATTATGTAAAAATTATTACAAGACTTTAAAGTAACAAAATAAAACCATCAATTATACGGAAGAATCGCACCATAAATGATAAATGTCGAAAGAAGGTCAGTGGATTTGGATTAGATTTTTTTATAGTATTAAAAACGGATATGAGTTACCTACTATATAGATACTAAAATTTGTCATGCCTTTATACTAAATGTTAAAAAAAATACTATACAGCTTTCTCAAAAAAAAGTATCCCGTTTAATAAAACTTAGGAGAGATCTAATGACTAATTTAATGTCCCGACTATATTTACACAGTATTGTTTTTATAATATCGTAGCTTTTGAAGAACAACGACCTAAGTGCCAAGACCCACTTTTTTTGAAAATGGGTTATTTACGGTTTTGGAATCAGAAACGATGAATTTATAAAGTCGATAAAGAATGTTGCGCTATTATTCACTGATAATTTGTCAGAATTACCGGGGTTTTTTTTGTACATATTACACAATAGTTAAGAAAATATATTTTTTTAATTGAAAAAGTAGAATTTAAAAGGTAAGTAAATTCACTTTCCTGTAAACAATTTAGTTTGGCCAACTGTTTATTTAGTTATTCCAACTAGAAATGTATTGTGTCCCTATATTAACCATAATTTTAGTTAGACCAACTAGGTATGTATTTTTTCCGTGTAGGTCGTTCTTGAAAAGCTGTACCGCATAATCGGTTTTAAATTCCACATACTTAGGAGTTAGGACCGACGGTCAGGTGTCGATTAGCAAGTATGAAACTAAAAAACTACAGGAAGAGCATCAAGGAGTCATGTGTGGCCGAAATATCCCTCTGTTAGCATATGCAAACGACGTCGTGATACTAGATGAAAGTGAGCAAAACATACATACGAAAAGCAACGGAGTCCTTGACTAGAAGTGCAAAAAAACTTGGACTAACGGTTAATGAGATCAAAACAAAATATATGCATGTCTCCAGGAATAGACGTCAATTGAATCAAACAACTGGGTTACTGGTCGGAGAATATGTTTTTGAATTAAGTATCTAGGTGCCAACATAAGTAACATAAATGATAACCACGAAGACATTTTTAAGCGCATTACAGCTGGAAACAAATATTTCTACGCACTATAGAGATTAATTCATTAATTGTTATCGAAAAAACCGAAAGAACGGTTAGGCAGAGTTTTAGAAATACCAGTGATAATGTACGTATGTAAAACGTGGCCTAAAACTCGATGTGAATATGTGAAAAAGCTAGCTGTCACGGAGAGAAAATTCCTCAGGAATGTATGAAATTAAGTCAAATATAGAAGTACATAAAATAATCGGAAAACCAAATATAATAGCTGAAATTCGATCAAGAGACTGAGCTGACTTGGTCACATAATAAGGGCCAAATCAATAACAAACTATGTTCAAAACTGAACTCCACGGGAAAGATACCGATAGGAAGGCCAAAGCAAAGACGGATCGATAAAAGCAAGAATGAATTAAGACTGTTAGGGATAGACCATTTTAGCGAAGTAGCACAGGACAGAGAGAAATGGAGGAAAGTTTTTTTGGCAGCGATGGACCTCAATGGCCTCTAAAGCTGTATGAAGAAGAACAAGATATGTACAATGTAACTATTAACTACCTATAGTGACTGTTTAATCGAATTTTTTGGAACGGATATTTCATAAAACCGTGGAGCTATATTGGAAACAATAAACATAAATATATATTTTACAGTTTTATGATGTCGAGAGCTATGAACCGGGAAAAAAAGGTGCGGAAAACCATCAGGGGCCGGCCCACGTACCGTACGGGGATGGGTGTGTACGCCCAGCGGGATCGGCCAATACTTGGTCCGGGCCAATCCCTTGACGGTGCGCGCGGCGATGTGTACAGCAACCAAGGCGAGAGGGGTGGAAGTGTGCGGGTGACGATAAAAATAAAATGCTTTTTTGACGGCAGCAAAACGGGATGACAGAGAAATGGACCAGTGTTGGTGAAAGGTTCGCCAGAGTTTCGGTGTTGTTGTTGTTGTTGCGCCACACCGTTCGCCAAACAACCCCGTCGATTTACATACGGCCACCGAACGTGTTGACAGGCCGATTTACTTGCGAGAAATATCTATTTTTTTTTTTTGGGGCAATAAAAAAATCATCGTCCATCGGTTGAAAGCGCTTTTTGACGTCTAGACATCGACCTTCAGGTCATTAATGTTTTCGCCGTAACGATTCCGCAATGCGATGAAACCCTTTTGTTTTTTTTAAATCATAAACATATTGCCATTGTAAAAAAACAAAACGGAAAACAGTATTGTGTTGACGTAATAAGTACCTATATTTTTTTCGAGAGCGGCAATGCACCCGTTTTACAACACCTACGGTTCCGGTGGTGACGCGGGGTCCGTGGAACAAAACCTGTACGCTGCCGATCATAATTGGACAGTGCCATCACAGTCTGTATCCAATAATACGCCCATGAAAGATATAGAAGGTAAGCAGTCGGCAGCGCTATAGCAATCATATAATAAACATATTTTGCTAGTAAACAGAAAAAAAGAGGACTTTTTTTTCATTTTATATAAAAATTAAAATATATTATGCCTGTTACCTATAATTAAAACTTGACATCTTAAAATGTTAGTTTGTCATCCTATCAATATTTTTTTGTCTATTAAATAAATCTTAAACTACAGTTAAACAATTTTTTAATCATACTTTCCAATTCATTTTTCTTAGTTAAAAAACCTAGGAATGTGAAACAGTCAACAAATCAACGATTAGTCATTGCAAATCTTAGATATTTTGTATAATAAACTGGGTTCTAAATATATTAATTATTATATACATTATGTACGTATGTAATTTTAGTCTAAAATATCTTATTTTAATTTCAATTCAATATATGAAATATTTCAATATAGAACATAAAGCTATAGACGTTTTAGTGAATTTAAAAAAAAGGTACTCGTCAAATGTTTATACTTTTACCTAATATAAAATTAAAACATTTTTCCATAATAACAGTAATTAACTTAACTTACTGTCTGAATTTCTTTCTTTAATTCTTACTGGAAAGCCACTTTATAACAGTCAAATAGATATGTATTATATATTTTATAAAATACATATATTAAAATATATGTAAAATATATTTTAATAAAGGCTTATCAAAAAAATTACAATTTATTCTAACTAGACAATTACAAGCTAGTCTAGTGTTAACTTTCACCAAAAAACCTAATGGTAAATTTTTTTGTACTAATTACAACACACATAGATTACATACATACGTGTGCCAATTTATCATCACATCATCGAATAAGACTAATTGTTATTATGCCAAGTAGGAGATTCATGATTAAAAATCAAGTTCAATTCTAAATTCAGTCTAACTTTTATACCAAATTCAAGTACAAAAACTACACTAAAAAATGTCATACAAAGAAAAGTTTCAACGCTATCTTAGTAGAATGGTTCATGATTTTTTTTTTAGTTTCGTCTGCAGATTTACAGATTACCTCACACAAATTAGTAACTATAGGTAATTTTATTATTTTTCAGAAATTTATAACTTAAAAACTTTAAGTTGCAAAATATATTAATTTTTAGTGTGTTTTTCTTTAAAAAGGGATTGATGAATTTTTTTAACAATTGGCCATTTAAAAAAATACCGTCGGGGACAATTTCTGAACTATAGCCTGGCGTTTTAAAGAAATTTGGCCAGTAGTTATTAAATTATTGTAGGCCTAAACACAAGAAAACATAACATGCACAATTTTCTCCTTTCCGCACTAAACTTAAAAATAATTACAGTTTTTTTTTCTTTAATCTCTTGAAATTGTAACTATAAAAATAAAATAAAAACCTTAGTTTAAATTAATTTTAAAATATTTGTTGATTCAAAACATTACCACTTTTAAAAATACAAACCTTCTCACATTTGTATCAAAGTTGAAAAGCAAAATGTGAGGCGAAAAGGAGACCTCTTGTGGCAAAAATCAAATTGAGTTACTGGTTATTCCAAATTCTGCAAATGTTGAGACCAGAATGGTTCTTCTATCTTGATAATTGACAGAGTTATATTTGTTTGAATTTATTTTCGGAAAAAGGGTTTTTTAAGAAAAAACGCTAAAGTTTTGAAATGCTGCCAACTTTTTATTTTACATGCATAAGGAATGAAACTTCACTAAAAATTCAAATAAAGTTCCCTTAAACACAATACATAATTTTTTTTTTTTACATTTGGTTCCAACCCTGATCGATGTTTTGGACTTTCCTGCAATTTGGATTCTCGCGACAGAGGTCCCTTTTCCCTTTCCGCCCCACGAATGATTGTTTTTTTTAATGAAATTAAAACTTAAGAAAATATAAATTGCTTTTAATACCTGAACACCGAAACGTTTGCTCTACCGTTTACAAAACAAAGTGATTTATTATTAAGTCCGTTCTCTAGAGTGCCGCATTCTATGTCAGATAATTTATATAAGTTTAATTTTTGTTGTAATTAGCGTGTTAATTATAATCTTAATCTTGGGTGTTCACTGTTCAATAAAATAAAATATAGTATAGATTTTATTTTATTATAACACCTTATATCCACAACAAAGATACGATAATATCAAGTTTAGTAAAATAGAATTTAAGATATCTCAAATACAAAATATAAATAAATTTTTATAACATATAATAAAATAATATAGATATATAGAGAAATGCAAATCGAAATATTATGTATGTGTATGCTAATATATTATACTGTTAAATATTATTTATTTTATGTAAATATAATACATAATTCGTAAACTAATGTTTTGTTGTAGCATGCTTGGAGACTGTATCTAATGCCAATATTCATGTCATTAAACCTGGATCCCATCATTCGTACTCAACAACTCTGCAGGACAATAAAAATCCGTCAGATCCAGTACCAAATAATCAAGAACATCCTAAATTGTCCGGAGTCGGTGCTGCGTTGGAAATGAAGCACTTGTGGGAGGAATTTAACGAACTGGGCACGGAAATGATAGTTACTAAAGCAGGCCGGTACGAAACCTTAATTATATGTACATAGGAGTTAGTATATAGCTATGTAAGTAACAGCCTAGGTTTTACCGAAATCCTATAATTCATTAAAACACCAGCACTATATGCTTTAATTACAACTATAATGATCAACTGCAGAAGAGGACATGTCGACCAGTTCAAAATGACTGCCAATGACACGCTTATATTAGTTTTTCGAAAATAAGTTGAAATTATCGTTTCATACGTATTATACTCTGTAGTATTATATAACGTGCTGCACTATAGCATAATTATATTAAAAATCGAATTTTTTTTTTTCATAAGCTACTTTGATTTGTAGGAGAATGTTCCCTACATTCCAAGTTCGACTGTTCGGTCTAGACCCAGTAGCAGAGTATATGCTTATGATGGATTTTGTACCAGTTGACGATAAACGATACAGATACGCATTTCACAGGTTCAAAAAGCATATTTGTAAAAAAATGTTTAAAAACATGTATTCCTGTTTATTAATATCCATCATAAACATTAACAGTTCAAGTTGGGTAGTAGCTGGTAAATCAGATCCTATATCGCCTCCGAGGGTGCACATACATCCAGACTCGCCGGCGTCCGGGAGTCAGTGGCTGAAACAAGTCGTGTCATTTGACAAACTCAAGTTGACCAATAACCAAATGGATGACAACGGCCATGTAAGTCAAGTGTTTTCTGTATTATATTATGTTATTCGGCAGTTGTGATGTGAAAATAGTCGTGAGAAAATTGCGGCAGTGGACCTAATACAATTATCGTCTATATCACACGCTGTTTAAAAATTAAGGTTAACGTTTTATCGGGGGTTGAGAAAGTACTTGATTTTTTTTTTAGATAATTCTCAACTCGATGCATCGGTATCAGCCCAGATTTCACGTGCTATACATTCCCGGACGGGACGAAGGTCCTTCACATTCCTCAAACAACTTTAAAACATTTATGTTCCCAGAAACCAAATTCACAGCAGTTACAGCTTATCAAAATCACAGAGTAAGTTACATGATTTACATGACGTGTGTGGTGTGATCTTTTTCAATAAAATATTTCCCAATTGTCATAAATTTATTAACATCAATCAAGATTCAAATTATGTGATACGATTCATTATTAAAATAAATAAAATAACTATAAAAAAATAATTTCTTAAAACCATATTTGGCATTTAAATATGTTGCATAAGCCTGGTATATAAATATAATATATAATAGCTAATTTATTTGTTCATTGTATCGGTGACACTGACATTATAATATATGTAACATAGTAGGACAAATATATAAGAAATAAAATCTACATATTTATTTACCACTAGGTATAGATATTGTTGCAATATCATAAAGCCATAAAATAAACTATACCTAAATTCACTGAACATAATTAACAACTATGTTATGTAATTGTTTGGAAAACACTTTGGCGTTAGTTTTAATTTATATTTTTAATTTTCAAAAAATTACTTTAACTTGTATACACGATATTCATTTTCTTTTCTATTTTCCTTTTGTTTAGATTACTCAGCTAAAAATAGCAAGCAACCCATTTGCCAAGGGATTCAGAGACTGCGAAACCGAAGAGTGGTAAGATCAATAGCGTACATAGTGAACATAATAAAAAAAAATCAATATTTCGCTTGAAATAGAGACATTGATTATGATCATGAATATGTCTTATTATCAGTTAATTCTCTATTATTAGTTATCCAAGAACTATCAATTTCCCTTATTGTCATCCCCAAAACTCCCACACTTCTCACTGTCCCAGCTCCTCCTCCCCCCCCCATCTCCAATTGTGTCACAAAAACGTCTCGCAAATTTTTGACAGACACAGTCATAACTCATAATTCATAAGACATATTTATGTCAAAAAAACACTTTCAACCTATAGTCTTTTGTTAGTTGTTTCGGTTAAAATATTTGACCATTATATGACGTCAATCTTAGTTATTATTATGCATAAACGACTTCCTTTTAAAAATATTGCGAAATGATTTTCTATACATTTTTTTTTATTTTACTCTTCTCTAAAATAATTGAACTGAATTCGCAAGTATTACACTGTTCACGATACCTACACACCATCCTAACAATTCGATTCTTACATTTTAATTATACATTCAAGAATAATATATTCATTCTGGAAGTAAACTGTTCTAGGTAAATTAGGTACACATTACACACAAACCAATTATAAAAAAAAAATCCCTGTTTTTTGGCAGACAGTAGTGGTAAGTGTTCGACGACCACGTGAGTTGACACATAAATCGCAATAAACGTCCAGTTACCGAAGAGTTTCGAAATGACAGTTCTTCCTTTTTTAGACACATTGCTTTTATATGAGAAACACATGTGTGATATTATTTTAATAAATTATTTTTTTAAGGAAGTCGTTATAATCGTTATTATTATTTTAATAGTTCGTTTTTTCCTTACGCAGCGGCTCAATGGCTATTGACGGCGAAACACAAGCCTCTAATAATAACAAACCGCAATGCAAAAAAAATGTTTCTGGAATACATAACAACAATAATTGCAGTCAGTTCCCAAATAAAGAGTCGGCCGGAAGTTTGGGTACGTTATTTATTCGTTTTTATACATAACAAAATTAGTACATAGTCAATTTACCGAAAAAATCTGGTCGGCTTGTAAATACATGTATTTATATGCAACAGCGTGTGTGTAAAACTAAAACAGTCGAAATTATATCCAAGTTTAGATTTTTTGATATTGTAACACAATTTAATCAAATGTTAATAGTATTATTACAAAAAACAAAAATATAGCAGTATAATTTTCTAAAGATTGTCATCTGTGACCAGTTAAACAATGAAATCTTAATTATCATCCTTAATCATCCTCAATAGTCACTATTAATATTCTTAAAGAGTAAACATTTTTTGTAAAAATTATAATTATCCACTATAAAAAATGCCCCCTCTCATCTTATGATGGTGTTAAGCTACGTGATGATGACTATGTAAAAGGCAATTTTCGTTTTTACTTGTAAGTTGGCCCCGGTCGATACATGGCTAATATATGGGTTGATCACTCTCTACCTAAAGGGATTGCTTCACAATCTTGGACCTTTGCTTCCAAATTATAACTTGACCTGCCCAGACGTCTCCCGACTGACCTAATCCGTCGGCTAATAGCTTTCCTGGTTCGGTTCCAGAACATATGCCATTATAGGAACGAAACAAAGAAAACAAATTCGTTTACTTATTGATTTCTGCTTTGTCTTGTGTCTCACGGGTCGTTTATAATAATATTATAGGAGTCTTTCTTTTAAAAACTCCACCAGCGTGTATATTTGAGTTTGTTTTAACGATAACCAAAATGAACATGGTGTTTTTGCTACGGAGCGCGTGCTTGAAGGTTTTTAAGTTACTATTTAAATCTTGTCAAACGTTTTAAAAAACATTAAAAATACAAGTGACAAAAAACCATTCTTACATACATTGTGCAGAGGAGACTTGAGCATAACGTTGATTACAAATACGGCGTACCAGCACCCGAGGACTACCGTCATTAATTACCCACGTTGTCCATTGCAGTCATTTATCATAATATTTTCGGGAAACGCTAAATAGGCAAGCCGCGTCGCGTTCCGTCACATTAGCAGCCTCTCGTCCGTATCTCTCTAAACGAGACAATTAAGAACTCGGGTGGTATCGAAAATAGACGCAGGGGTCTTATGTTTGGGCAATGGGCATAACGCGCAGTACTTTGCGAAAACTATTCTACCAAAGAAGAATTAATATCATACAATAATCGTGTGCTTCCAACTTGACGTGGAATTAAATCGAATATTATATTCATTTAGATTTAGTCGGATACCCCAATCGTTAGTTGCCGTTAGTTTCAACCCTGAACAGAAAAGCATCACTGTTAGGATCTGAAATTCATTTATTAATATACGAATTGCCTTCACTTTAAATACTATTATTGGTTAATGGGACTAATATTACACAGTACACATGATGTTAATGAGATTACCGCTAACAAAACATTTTATAAATTTTCTTTACTAAGAAAATATATAATTTGAAATGAAAATCTGAGTTATAATAAATAACAAATAATTAACTTCAGGCGGAAACAAAATTGAAATTATGTTATTGATATTATAGCACACAGACAACGGTTCAACGCATAGTTGTACCAAATAAATAAATTATGATTAATATACCATACAATGGTATATGTCCCTATATTAATCATAATTTTTATTGGTCCGACTACGTATTTTGTCAATGTAATTACATTTTTTTTATATTCTGATATTTTCTATTATTCTGTCTGAACACAAATTTGACCAATTTTATAATACTGAAAACGAAATATATAGTTTTCTATATCTTGATTTAAAAAATATCCCAAATTTTAAAAAAGATATTGTAAAATTTGAATATACTGTGTTTTACCACTACTGGGCATGTACACGTAATAAAATTAATAAGTCAAATGAATTTGTCTCGTTTAAACTGTCACGGGTGTGGGTTCGTTGGTTAATTTATTGCAGCACAACACAAACGTTTAAAGGAACACTGAACACAAGATGTATAAACGAAACAAATATCATAACTTATAAATAAAAATATCTTTGTAAACCGAGTATCCGACCGACAGTTATGTCAAACTATGTGACGTCTTGTGTGCCTTTGGCGTTTCCGACATGAGATTCTTGTGCAGTAGTACGCATATCTCTATTGCTCATAATACATGTATCACCGATCTTAATTTGTAAAACAATAAAAAAAAACAAAATTCGTAAAAAATATTTATATTAATAGTATCATATCAGATAAAAATAACTTTTTTTCTTGATTTCAATTAAACGTATATATACAAAGTTGAGAGAGTGTATTATTTCATGGTTAAAGGGTTACAAAATGTGAACAATTTTTTGAAGTTCATTAGGTCTCGCCAAATTATCAATGTTCGTCTAAACAAATGCGTTAATAATGTATATAATTCATACACAGTGTGAATGTATGTGCAGCTTCTTGCGTTATGCTTTTTCAAACGGCCGGCGAATCCCATTAGAATGATGGATGAGTACCATACCGCGTCACAAATATTCGTGGTCACACGTAGACAAAAATTATTCGGCATCAACTAACGTTTAGGGAGAAAAAAAATCCCATAAAACATCCAGACATCTTAATTACTAGTCGTTAACCTAAAAATAAACACAAATATTTCTAATACAAAGTATGTTTTAGCGTTTATAAAAGCCGAAATTAGTAATTATTCATTTTTATTATCATTATTCATTCGTATTATTGTTAGGTATATTATTATTTATGAATTAATAAGCATATAAAATAAAATAATATTAATTAATAATGCGTGAATATTAAACATAAAATATAATTAAATTTAAAGCTGTAGTAAAATATGAGATCATAACCCGCAAATCGCAATCAAATTGCTAAAAATAACAAACACTTTAATTGCAATTATTGTTATAATTGAATATTATATTAATTTCGCTTTCGTGGGTACCTATTTATGAAGAAGTTCTCTGATGCTTAAATACGTTACACCAGCTTTAACAACAGACGATATAATGTATTCAGTATTATGTAATATTTTAATACGAAAATTAAAACGTTAAATATACTTTATAGATGTTTTCCCATACAGCTAGAATACAGCGTAGTTTGTATATTGTTATATTTTCAAGTGGATTTAATATTGTGTACTTCCTTACCGTGGGTACCATTATCGTCGATACATAATGAACATCTAAACACGTCAACGGAATACGCTACTTATAGACATTTTTTTTAGTTATAATTTTATGTAATGGGAAATTATTCAAGCATAAGCATTATGTTTCACTGTAAACGTTTTATTTCATCAACACTTAACAAATTAATTGAACTCTAAAGCAATACTATAACTAGGTAATAACTATGCCTTAAAATGATTAGTTTACTATTATAGTCTCATTTCTCCAATATAGAAATAAGTGTTTATTAAAAATTCCCCAGCACAAGCTAAGCTTTTAGGAGTGCTGCAGTATTGTTATAAAATATTATATATTTTGTATTGTTGCAATAAAGATTATTATTATTAAAAAAACACACTTTAACTATGTGAAAATATAGCGAAACACACATTATAGGTATTCTATATTTTTAGTTCAAGAAGGAGACTCTGCGTTTTAACAATTAACTAAATTACAATTAGTTTAAACTCTAGTTTTTGATTATACTATTATTAGAAAGCAAATTCCTAGGTCAGAGTCAGGGTTAGCGGTCTATATTCTATTTCTTAACTTCTTTTATTTTTATTCACGTTATTTTATCAGTCGGAAAGGAATAACAATATAATTAATTTAACTATTAACTATCAACGGGTTTCGATAAAGAGTTTTTTAAATTTCCTCCCATTTTTAGCTTAGATGTGATAGCGAGAAGCTATTGTTTTTTTTTTACTACTTTGTAAATAATAATACCTTAGTGTCGTTAAATCGGCTAATGATGGAGTAATTAATTTTCTCGTTTGTTTTTTCTAGGCGTGGATAACATGTATAACAGTGATAGCTCGTCGTCGTCATCGACATCGTCTCCATCGCCGTCCCACCTGACAGTTACTATGCACGGACAACCTCAAGCGCCGACCGCCACGGCTACCGTTTCAGCAGCCCCTTACCTAGGCCAAGTGTGCAATTACGGACCAATATTCCCATCGCCGGCGTATCCTCACCACGGTTACTCACCGTTTCACGGATACGACAGGTACTTCTTCTCCTCCACGTCTTCTCTTATAGCCACCAAGGTTTAAACTAGCATAAGAGTCGCTGTTTAGACATAAGAGCGTGACTGGTGACAGTAGAAACGACACACCGGAACAAAAAGCCAAAAGCGCAACTGAGCGACTAATCTTACTTTATTAATGTCGTGGCGCCTAGTACGTAGGGTTTGGTTGCCAACTGTAGCCACTGCTCACATATAATATATTATAATTTTGACGCTGAAATGCATTTTAGTATAGACTAATCGACAAATATTTAGAGATTTGAGATTTCCATTATTAAATTAAAATTCACTCTTAAATCACTCCAAACATCGATAAGTACACGTATAATTGTGTGACTAACTATAGTCAGATCAAATATATTGAAGTATTTGTTCTTATGCCTTTTTAAAAATGTCTACTGACTAATTATGACAGATAAGTAAATAGGTATATCTAATGATATCGACTTTTAGATTAGGGTTTGAAAAAAAAACCGGAATACTTTATTATTTTATATTTATATAAATATGTATAATTGTTGTGTAGATTACACCAAAAAAACTCGGCAGCAGACGTAACGACCGGATACCATATGCCTTACCAACATCATTACCACCACAAGCATTCAGCATATCACGGTACCCAAAAAATAGCAAATACATTTGTGCAAAATGATTACTCGCCTAGATAAAAATAATATGTACTAAGTTTTATAAAAATCGATTTAATACTTAATATAGTATACTTTATTTTTATACGCGTAAATATTTTATTTTGTAATAGTTCTTCATTGCATTTTTTTATAAACGTGTACTATAAAAAGTTTTAGGTGTATACCTATGTTTTTTTGTAAATAATTTATACTGCACTTTTCTCTAAAAAATAACTACTTATTTAATACTGTCATATGCCATTGTATAGTTTATAATCTTGCAATATTTATAATGTAATATAATAAAAAATGTATTTAATATTCTAAATATAATTGTGATTATATACTAATTAATTATAGGCAGCAGATATTTTAGTAAATCGTCACAATTAATAGATCTAGTCCAGAATTTGACTTATATTTTTAACTGTTAAGTGTCAACATATAAATTAACAGATATTGTTCACTATATTATACGTACATACATGCTTCATTAGGTGATGTAGATGATATTTCTTGTGTAGTGTTAAAAATCATTTTTTCTGCGAGTTACGTATTTTTTTTTTTCATAAACGACAAAATATTTCCAAAAAACAGTTCTGAGATTAATTAAGAGACGAGTCCTAAAATGCGAAATCACTTAATATGTACACAAACAATCCGAGGCTATCTATTTATACTGGCATCTAGTGTTTATAGTATATAATGTATGTTATATGATAACTTCATCTCGAAACAGTATTACAAAATGTGTACCTACCAAATAACCACCACGCTCTCAAGTATTAAGGTTCTCTCAGCGTATGTGTTCGAATGAATAATTGACGGTGGGTGCAGAGGTCGCGTGTGCCAGTAGTTTCTCGGTACCACCCGGGTGTTTCTCGCTGCCATTAGAGGGGTGAATCCTGTAGCTCACATCCTTAAAAACGATATTTACAAGATGACGGTTAGTGGTGCACCTCACACGTTTTGTATTCATGGCTCAATCATTATCGACGATACGGAACAGTTAAATATGCAGTATTTACGTTTCGGACAAAGACAGATGACAATTTTGTTGTATATATATATATATATATATATATAATTTATACATCTTTCTTCTGTCCGTGTGTAAGTATTCAAACTCCTCCTAAACGGCTACATATTATATATGCTCTATTACAATAGTTTTACAAACCATGATTAAGTGTATACCTACCAACATTAAACAGGCAACCTAATAAATCTATAAAAAATATAACGATTTTACGAATAGCCCTAACCACAGTAATTTATTTTAAAACCACCGCTAAACTATAAAATTGAAATATTGTTGAAATCAGCTAGATTCAGTCTTAAAATAATTATCTGATCTTATAACAGCTATCTACTAAGTTAAATAAGCGAGACAATAAGTTAACAAATAATTTAGAGAAACACACTTCAAAATACAAATTATTCTCATTCTGAAATCGCACTCTCATTATAATTTACGCCTATTCCTTTAAGTATCCGGTGAATTGGTCGTGATGCTAATGAAAATCAAGTATAGGTGCATCGACTAATAAGACTACAACTAAATAATTGAATAACAAGAAAATTTACACTACGACGCAAATAAAAATATTATAGAAAATATATAAATTGTTAATACAAAATATATTACACATCACACATTACGGATTTTCCCGGGGTCGGGAAGCAGTTGATATGAAAACTGAAAAGTATTCACTATTTAACAGTAGTCGTGCAATTAAGGTGCACCGTAAAACGGACACACAAATTAGAATGTAAATTTAATGATACCGTGCACAAACAATTTAAAATACATTATGAACGAATAAAGTATTTAAAAAAAATGATACTTTTTCATAAGAAACGGCCACAATTTTTAGCTTCAGCAATAATTGTATCTTATTGTTTTAACAATTATTTCCGCCGCACTGCAAAACAGACGTTGTCCGTCTCTACCACATAAGGTGGGGAGAGGCGTAAAAAATACATATACGTATGTATCCTAGGTTGAGGACAAGATGTAAACATATATTATAAAAACATCAAGCGTATTTATTTATTCTGATCAATTCGCCACCATCCTAAACCTACATTTATACGGGCATAATATTTGATTAAAAGTTGGTAAGGGAGCCTCAACGAAGGATACTGAAATAAAATATTATTTTGATCAACATTTTTACCGCAATCATAAAAGTAGTTTTTATGACTTCTTAATGGTGCTGAGTTAAATGTTATGGCTTTTTTTCTTATACAGCCATACAGGACCTCCTTGAATGAAAAGTAAGTAGGTGCTAAGATTAGTGTCTGAGAAGCTCTTACAATGACAGTGACCGTTAAATGTTTAACAAGTATACTGCGTTCAAGCATGACGAAACTACATTAAGTTCACATGTCGTAAGAACTGTGGTTGGGTCAACCATGTCTCCATAAAAAAACATCAAAAGAGTCGTTTTATGGGCAGCCGTTTTTCGATATTATTCACAAACTTCAATAGACCGTGTCCTAAAGCAATATGTATAGTAATTAATAATTATACTAAATATAGCGAGTAAGTAATATACAATTAGAGGTACTCGTGCAAATGATTATTCGATTTTACTACTTATAATATTGTTTTGAATTGTTTAGTTAACTTTCTAAACTCTTAGTCCAAATCAAGTATTCTGTAAATAAAATGAATTATTTACTTACAATGATTACATAGAGTAGCTTTGAGACATAGTTCTTACTTTTTTGTATACAAATTAAAATGTTTAAAAGAAATAGTTTGTAAGTAGCGTAAATAACCTAAAAATAAGGTTAACATATCTTATTTTTAAGTAACCAAAATACATGCATTTTTATCATTTTCTTTGTTAACTATATAATATCTCAAATTGTACTCAAAAAATATACATGGTATATACGTCTAATTTTAGCTTTGATACGATGCTGAGAAGGTACTGTTTTTACAAAGAATGTGTTTTTTAATTTAATTTTTGTTTCTGAACACACGATATCTCCTAAACCGCACAAACAATTTTTCACGTTTAAACTATAAATATCAAAAAACTATGAACAAAATTGATGCGCTAAAAGACTATTTTAAGAGCTGAGCTTCCTCTAGTAGTCTACAATAATTTTTGTTAATTGGACACCACACTAAAAGTTATAAGAATTGTACATATTTTGTGTCTTAACATGATGAAAATATATTTTTATTTAAAAAAAAACGGCAAATTTCATAAACTTTTTTTAATTAAGAATAACCTACTACAAATTTTACTGTAAATTTATAATACTGTAAAACAACAAATAAAATTATGTTCAACGAGAAAAATCACAAAATTATTTTTTTCTCGACAAATATTTTGTCTTGTTGACTGTGAAATTTACACGTGTCATTTACATTTACACTATATTTACACGTGGTAAAAATATTGAAAATCACATAAATAATTATCAAAACGTGGCAATATTATGTTAATGATCGAATTAATTATTTTTTTCTCAATAAAATAAACATATTTGAAGGAGAATGGATGAACTTTTATACACCTATTTTGCATACGATGTCTGATCAATATATTACATGAAGAAATTAGTTCATAGGTAAAGAAGTTATCGTGGATTTAGACACAAAAAATAGAGCACATCATCAATGACTTGTAGTCATTAGCGTAACGTGTAAAACGTTTCGGACCGGGGTACTTCGACTTCTAATTCGGTTCTTCAGAAGTCAGAACCCCTCAAATATATTAGTATATTATATAAATAAATATATTAGTTAAGTATCGCGTTATGGATTACAATAAAAATACGTATCACAGAGTTTATTAAAATTTTGTTTTAAACGATTTTAAAAGATTTATACACAGCATTTTGTTGTGCAATAACAAACATGCTTTTAAAAAAGACATATTTTTTTAGGTGTCGTATATTAAAACCATAATATAGGTAACCACCGAAAATATTGGGGTTAATAGCAAACATATGTGTCGCGGCAACGGTAGTTAGCATTATTTAGTGCGACATAAAGCTCGGTTCGTCTCAGTGTCTGATTGTAATTTACAACGATTTGTATCTACAAATAGATGGACGAGAAATGCCGCCTATAGCTATAGCTGCCTGTGTGAGCTACCGTTTGGCGGGTACCGAACGGTACAAAGCAATAGAGCTGATGTGAGTGTGTGCGTGTGCCCGTGTTCATTGTGATTTATGAATAAGGCCACCCCGGATGATGCCGTGTCGTTGCTGAACCCGGCAGCAATAATTATTATACTATTGTACGGACACCACGAGTCAGTTCAAGTACATATTTGATATTATTTAGACAATTAACAACACATTCGGGCCTTGTCGCGTGTAACTGCTCTCCACAAATACCCATCAGGTAGTCGATATACTTAAGTGTACTACATCAATATTGATAATTGGTATTGGGTCGGCTCCTAAAAATGGATTTAAAATATTTCTATACTACATACGAAACAAGCTCATCGATGTTGGTAATTGTTTTGTTTTCAGCTATTTGGTATACGCTTAAAATGTTACCTACTTAAGTAGCATAAATGCAGGGCGGGCGGACTCTATTTGTGCTTATGTAGATGGACAACTATTTACAAAAAATAATTTTCGGCTATATTATTACATTATTTTTGAAAAATGTTTAAGTTTATTTTTTTTTTGGTGGGGCGTAGTGATATATGTTGACCTTATGTTTCTTCTGATTTTATTTAGTTAAATGATTCATATATTAGATTCCATTTTACTAAAACATTATTCTATTTTTAACTTATAGTAGGGATTGTGCATAGTGGAGGTCACAGGTTTTTTGGATTTATAACACGATAAAATCACTTTCAAATAAATGCGTCTATGTAAATTCATATTCCATAGATGATAAAATATACTTAAATAGACAAGGTTTCTTTTTGCAATAAAAATATAACCGCAGACCTAATTATTTTAATCTCAATTAAATTGTATTTTTAGTACTAGGGAAGAATGAAGATACTATTATATGGTTGATCTGTGATTACCTGTCTATTCTAATAATTTGTTGACGTTGTTGCTAATTAAGCAATATCATAGTCAAAACTGCGCTCAAAAATGTAAAATAAAGAAAAAGTTGCCACCCTTCTCAAAGTAAGGTTTATGATATTTGTATGCCTTGACAATGTATATCGTTAGTACAATATCTATATAGTATCCCACACAATTTCGAAACTAATTCGAATATTTTTCAAAAAGTTATAGCGCACCGTAATTTTAATTTGAAAGTATGTACATATTTTTGTTTTTTCCTCAAGTGGTGAATTTTTAATTTTTGACCCAATAAATTACCTTTTAGGTACGATTTCTGATCTATAGACTGCTACGTAAAAACAAATCGGTTCAGCGGGTTAGGCGATATCGTGAGCCCAGACACAAAAAATAAAATAAAAACAATAGAGGTATTCTTAGCTTCTTATCGAAGCAAAACTATAGATACATAAATCTGATCAGTAGACTGTAGAATGTAGATTACTGTTGTTTGTGTTAGAGATAAACCATCAAACTAACAAACCACAAGTATATTATGCTGCCTTGCTATATATATATTGAGAGATTTTAAAGGGTCCTATCCGTTAGGTCACCGCTAAAAGGGATAAAACAAAACCTCGTTGTCGGCAATGGTAAATCATCTGGCCAACTGCAGGTTTGATCCCGTTTTTTTATGACTCTCCAATTCATCACGTGTCTACTATGTATACATTCTGCAGACAGATTGCTTATTTTCGTACCCTATCCTTGTTATTAATCGTAAAAAACCTGACGTCTGGTTCGGGGTATGTTTCTGTTTTGTCCCCATGGATGCTGCATTATATAGTAGTAATACAACACTCTGCACCTTGCGCACGAAGCGTTTTAAAAAGCCACACACAAACAATTATAAACAAATGCGTAAACCCGTGCTCGTTAGGCGACTTCGTGATGCAGGTCCTGTCTTTTCTGTCGTATTTTGCACGGCACTTGAACACGTCAATCCGATATGGATGGCGGTCATGTGTTATACACTTTGACACACAAGATAGAGTAGATGAAAATAATGTAAAACTTTAAAAGAATAATTTGAAACCAATTTGGGATATACCTCGCAGCAACAGCAGGATAAAAAGGGCAAAAATTATTATAAACACGATATGAGACGTGTTGAAAGAAGAAAGGGATTATATATACAATATAATAAGGAAGAATGTTTAAGATAAACAGTAAACTCTACGCAGTATACAATGCATTAATAACCCGCACAAAATTCTTAATCCGCCCTTATTGTTGATAAAAGACAAATTATAATATTGACCCACATTTTACGCGTAAACCTAAGTTGTTACCGTGGGCACCGCAAAGTAACTTTGGAGTTTAGGGTGTACAATATTTTTATGACGTTTCTTAGCGGTATATTTGATTACGATGTACATTGATTTCGAACTTAACTTTCCCATTGTTAAGTACTGAAATATAAAAACGCATCGATACTTTTGGCTATCTTTATCGAAGGAATTGAAATTTCACGTTTATAGACGCGGGTATATATATGTACGTCAGGCAAAATGGAACACCGGCCAAGCCGGAATAGCGCGGATACCACTCAACAGTCAATTCCCATTCCTGAACCTTATATTACAAGCAACAGGAACGTCAAAAATGGTCGCACGTGGCAAACATCCAGATCAAGCCGTTCGTAACGTTTCACATTATGATAGTCTGATAAAACAAATTGAGTACATTCTTCGCCAATGTTTACCTGCTACAAAATTGAAAATGATGTCACACGTCATGCACCACAATCACTAGCCAGAAACAATAATAATTATAATTTTGTAATTTTAAAATATCATCTTTCGTAAAAAGAGCTTTAGTTAGTGTTGAATAGGGGGTTTGTTTCCCCTGCTCTATTAAACATACTGAAAACACATAAACAAAATATGTTCTACTATATTTTTATTAAGTACACACTATAGTGCGCTGTGGGGTGGATTACATAAACAAAAATGAAACTGATAAACATAAGTCGATATCGATTATATTATACGTTTCCCAAAATAATATAATTATAATATATATTGCTCGGTTCCATACAATTTATAACCTAATGTGTTGAACAATATTACCTGTTTACTACAAAAATATTGTAGTAAATGTTATTATGTTTTACCTCAAAGGACAAAGAATAAGTCCGGGAAAGGTGCATACCTCAAAATTAATATACTTAAACAACATTATTACCAAATTACAGTTAAATTAGGAATTTGAAACAAAAGAAGTGAAATGTTGATTTCAGTGTGCAGTTACAGAACTAAGAGCTGAAAATTAAGCAGTAGCATATTTAAATCAAAATATGTATATAACCTAAAAAACAATTGTGGTCAATAATTTTTAGGTATAAATCTTAGTTTTGAAAGCTGAAAATGGGACTGATGAATAAGATTGATGTAGTATTTCTACAATACTTTATACACATATATGTATGATGCGGAAAGCAAAAAGGGTCCTCTTGTCGGAATTTTCCAAAATTAAGTTAGTGATAAATTCTGAATCTTGATTGATTTTTTATCAATAAATTTGAGACCGGATATCTTTGTAGTTAAAAAATAACTAAGTTATTTCACTTTCAAGTTTGCGAATGTTACTCAAAATGAACTTTGCCAATAAAATACCCTTTTTCGCTTTCCATTTAAAATTTATATATATATACATACATTTATAGAGATTTCAGATTATTACGGTCGTTTTTTTAAACCGTAGAAAATGGGTATATTGTAATCATTATGGTAGATAATTCCGGATTTGTCGTCCGGTTTCATTGACTAGCGAAAATAAATCCGTGCAACGAAAATCATATTCTAATGTAGAGCATATAATGAACATGAACTAAACGATCTCTTGGGAAAACGAAAGCGTGCGTAGTCAGGAACAGACTTATCGGGTAGATGCACATATTACATACAGCTGGTACCTAAACGTTGATGGCCGATCAGTACACATTTTTGTCGACAAGGTTTGTTTGTGTGTGTAAATCTAATATTTTAAGCGAAAATAAATAATAATTAATATTATTTCTTCGAACCGTGTCACAGTGTTTACCCAAGTGACACGACGGATACGTATACACACATAATACTTGAATAGTAACCCGGATGGGAAGGGAAAACGACGACGACATTCCCCAACACCTATTCGAAGGGTGAGTTTTATGCTTTTGACAAATTGCTCCGCATCAAGGGTGGTCACGTCCGCGCCACCATCTTGTCCGGTGTACACCTTCCGGACAACTCACCGACCCCCACGGAGTTCTTGATAAAAATAACATAACAGTGTGTAAATTATTATTAGAGGCCACGTGAATATAGTAAATAACAATTAATGTCTGCGTAAAACGTATCCGTTAATAATTTATGCACTACAAACATATCCAAATACTAGTAAATTCAACCGAAGCAGATTAATGGTTTCCTCTAAAACAACAACATTAATTCGAAACACACGATTCACAGACTAGTATATACATAGATACGAATTGATTTGACCTTATTATTTTACCTAATCACGGATTATTCCAATAGCGTACTAAATGGAGAAGACGACGGGGTACCTCTCCTCTTGCTAGATAAATTTTAAATACGTTTTTTAGGAATTTGAAATGCATTTATTTAAATATTATCTTAACATAAAAGTATAATTTTGTTTCAGAAGAATACGTTTAAATAATTTGAAAAAAAATTGAATACAATAGAAAAGTGATTTCACTCTTGATAAGCAAATAATGAACATAATAATTTAGTACGGGACATTTTATGTTCATTATTTACCTTTTCAACTTACACTTAATTAACTATAAATGCATGGTAATGTTATAGTATAACAAAGGTCAACAATGAAAAAAGATTTAACTAAATTATAATTGTATTTATCGCCTGACTATTAAAATTATTTAATAAATAATTCCTAAATGGTTTCTAATTATTATAATAAGCAAAATCACACGTATACTGTAAACAATTTGGTAAAAAGACAAAAACAAAAGTTAATTAGTAGTTTGATAAAACTGACTTATTTCAATCCTAATAAATGGTTAATTATTTGTATAAGACCATTAATTATAGGTCCCCATGCCACAAACCAGCGTAACCAATCCAATAGTTGGCCGTATAAAACATGGGGTTTTTCCCATCTGAATAAAAAAAGAGTCAAGAAAAAGTAAAAGATAGTTGTGAATAAAAACTTTGTACCATACAAATTAAAAATTATATAACTGAATGATCTTTAGTAATATACTTGATAGGACACCATATCACATTTATCAAGAAGTATAGGCATTTTTTGCAAAATCTCAATTTAAAGCTAGAGCTTAAATAAAACAGTAATGAGGATTCTTTATCCTAGGTTATTTTTTTTTATCAGACTCACATTTTGCAAATATTTAAAATAAAATGCCTAACTGAGGGAAAAATGAGCTCGCTTTATACTTAGGCAGCCTTATTTCAAAACTGAAATGATGCCTTTGCATACTGTTGTGCCTGTGCTACTATTACTATGATCATTCAGAGACTACAAAAAGAAGTTACTAATTAGTCTCTATTAAATGACTCTATTAAATTAGTCTCTATTATTATATGATTCACAATAAAGTATAACTATACAAAACCTAACATATATTCAAAAACTAATAAACAAAAAGGATACGGATTACGGAACATGCGTTTGAGATCAACTTTTTCCTTGCAATATGGACAAGTTTGCTTTTTTCCAACAATACACCAACCTCTTATGCAGAACTCGTGAAATCTAAATTATAAATAATAACATATTTTTTAAATGCATAATAATTAAACTAAAAAATAAATCTTACATATGATCACAGGTCAATTGGAAAGTAGACTCAATTATTCCTTCTTCACCTGCGTTCAATAATAGTTTATTACCACAAACAGCACAAATATTTTTTTCCAAACTCCTGGTAGGTATTCCTTGTGGTGTATAATACTGCAAAAAATATACAATTAAAAAACAGCAGCTTTCAAGGTAATTAAAATATTTTACATTTCTATTAAAATGTTCCATTTAATAATAAAACAAAAATTCAAATTTAGAATATTACCATAAAATATATCAAATTTTTATAATATACCAGCACGTGGTTAATAATAACATAAATATAAAATATCGATGGCAGAGTGCACATTTTTGGAAAAATGAGTTATGACTTATGAACATCAAAATATAGTCTCCACACATTGTGTACAAATGTGGCAAGCCAGAGAATCATAGTTTTTATGACTTAAAAGTTTATACACACATGATATGGCATTATTAATTTTCAAAATATGCACTATGCCTTCAAAATGTATAATATGTATATTACAGTAGTTGTTGTTCTTTGAAGGGTCCACAATATTATTTTTTAATACTTTTCAAAATTAAAACCATTTAATTCTAAATACAATAGAAAGAGGCTACTTCTTTTTTGTTGCCATTGGCAAACAAATTGCATATATACGGTGGCCCTTGGTTTCCTCTTTCAGTAATTGTTATAAACTTATTTAAATTAAAAATACTTACTCCTAAATTGGATGCCATAGTAGATGCACAAATTTCAGCGACATCTTGCCCCAAGACACCAAAGTATAATCCATAGTACATGATAAGCAATCCACAATCCACCCAGACAGCTGGATTGACGTTGAAAACAACACTGATCCCAAAAAATGAGAGAATCATAATGGAATAACCAATGATACCCAACACGTATGTAAGTTTGTAGATGAAATAGAACCATTTGTACACCAATCTGGAGAACATTTATGCCATCACACTACACATAACATGGTACAATATTTTACATTAAGTGCGCGCCTCGAAGATGCGCTAGAAAACTATATATGACAGATTGCATTAAATTACCTAGGCGTTGATCCTTGTAAAGGCTTTTGTAGAGCTTTGCGTACAACTATTCCAGTCAACAATGAAAATAAAATCCAAAATATTATAAATCTCCAGAAAGCCATTATGACACACATAACAAACGGTACAGACCACAATGCTAAGGATGTGACAATCTGCAAGATACAAAAAATAAAAATAAAATAAGCCAAGAAAATATTTAGTTTTTTGACAAATATTATATAGTACATTTAAATTAAGAAGAATAATTTGTTTCTTTTGTCAAATGAAAAACAACACTTTTGATTGATAATCCAAGCTGAAGTGTTGCTTTTGGTTGACAACTTGAAACAAGCCATTTTTTTTAATGAAACATTAAATATTTATAAAAATAAAATACTTGGAAAGATTTAAAATGTCTTCTTTTCCATTCAAGTAATGTTATTTGAGCAATAATCATGGTAACCAAAAGAATTAAAAGCATTTCAGCATGCATTGATTCGTGACCTTTGTGTTCTTCATGTAACTTCCTATGATTTTCTCTAAAATATTAAAATAAAATTCAATTAAAAAAAAAAAAAATTGTTGCTCTAAAATTTATACAAGGAAAGAATAAACTAGATAATGAACTCTTTCAAATTTTGATTTACGCAGAACTTGATATGACATTTTTTTGAATTTTTATGTTTAGACCAATGATAACTTCTAAAATTATTAAAAAGATTTCCTAATATTAACTTATTATTTTATATTATATATAAATTAAGAAGCGTGTTAACATACAATAAAAAAATAATACATAATATTTTACCTTTTTTTTTGGAAAAATATCTTACATTCTAAATGTATACACTTATTCAGTTTTATACATTTTCATGAACATTTTTATCTCTATAATATGTTTTTATTTAAGGGACCAGGATTTGCTTCTTCCTTTTTTTAGATGCCAACAGGCAAAAATTTCTTTTTCATAGAGTGGTCTGATATTGATAAATTTTTTGAAATCATAATTTTTAATAATGTAATTAAAAATGTAATTCTAATGCGCCTTATAGAAAGTCTTTCCCTCAAAAAATACAATAATGGTAAGCTCTATGAAATGTGATAATTTCCTATTAAATTAGTTTCACTACCAGAATGGCAACAAGTCCTATAAAATAAATTCTTTGTTAACAATTATACACTATAGCTAAAACAAATAAACCTAAAAAATTGACGTTGTCAATATATTCAACTATTGCCTATATTTTACAACTATAATTTTTACAACTAGGCCATTAACATCTTTAAAATATCATTGTCAGGCAGGTATTATAAAACGTATGATTTAATAAATATTACAGCTGGATATAACACGTTATACTCTACAATCATAAGAAATACATTTTTTTAATAAATTATAATAATTTAATAATATGTTTTATATTATAAAAAGCTATGTCAATTTAAAAACATAAAAAAAAACCAATAAAATTTAAGGTCTTATAACAACAAATAAGATGACATTATTTACCTCATTATTTCTTCGCGAGTCATAGTAATATTTTCAGCTGAATTATCCTATGAAAAAATGAATTAAGTGTTGGTATTATTAATACCTAATTACCTTTTTTAGATATTCTGGTATAAATTTACTTCACCGGGCACACTTTTATTGTCAATAAATATTGGATTTTATACCAATTTCAAAAATCGGTAGATTTTTCTAGTTTAAATGTTAAAGTTACTTGAACTTTAGGACTTATTGTTTCACAAGTACGCAAGTATGCTGTGCACAAATTGGTCCAATCACAATTTGATAAAGTTAATGAGTTCTCCCACGTTTGACACAATGTGGAGGGTGGTTAACAACAATATTTTGTGTGGAATTGACAATTAGTTCATTGGAGAGGTGTGAATCTTTTACGTGAAAATTTGATTTTTATCATAGTGTGGAGCAGTCAATCATGTTTTAGAACTTTATTATTATTATTGGCTACTTATTTCTGACCCGAAATAAAGGCAATTCATGTTTGGTGTTACGGTTAATAACATCAAAGACACGACTAATTTTGTAGCATTTGTCCGTTAAAACTGAATAGAGTGCATTGTATTGTCTACCGGTGGTAGGGTGTAGGTTTCTGATAAAAACACTAAACAGCTTAATTGGGCAAGGTATAAACAAGTTGAAGGAAATCTGCTTATTATTGGATAGATAAGATCAGTGACCTGTCGTAAAAGGCGACTAATGTGACGTAGAGCCCTCCGAAAAGTGGCCTTCTGACTGGTCACTTCATCTTGAGACACACCTTCTTCGGCCCGCAATTAGCACCTAGTGCAACTAGTCGGTTTGCAGTCGTAGGGGATCCCTTTGGGGCGAACCATTAAAGCCAAGGAACATCAGATAAGATCAGTGAATATGTCATAATTAACCGAGTCGTCGGTGTGAATAATCAAATGTTTTAGAGTAGTTTTTAAACGATAAGCTGATGCAATTTAATTAATAATTTTTGAGCACAGATAACATTCATGCGCTCGCGCGGACGGCAAATTGGCCGTCCTTATAAATTTTTGCAAATATTATTGTCCAAAGTGCCAAGGAAGTGGTGAGAAGTAGTTATACATCTCTCCGATAGAATATGATCGAATTTGGTCAAACCAGTCCACCCCAGCAGTTCAGTATGACCACAAACTCAGTAGTGTCAGTATGACGGCCAACTTGCCGTCCACGCGAGCGAAAACGAGAATTTTTGCCTGTATTTTTTATACTTACGATCTGGATTTATATTATGAAAAAGGAGACATATAGGAAAGGTAAGTGTCAATAGAAATTACAAGAACCTTTTACCACTCCCTCGGTGCTCTGAAGAAAATTTTTCTCGAAAATATAAAAGGACGGCCAATTTGCCGTCCATGCGAGCGGATGAAGGATATTTCTATTATTTTTTAAATAAACATTTTTGGTCAACATTTTTTATGTTCCAATGTTGTGTTAGAGGTAATTGACTCTAAATATTTCAAAACATCCACCTTAAATAAAGAATAACTCACGAAAATGATAAAAATATAAGGACGGCCAAATTGCTGTCCTCGCCAGCGGCAGTGTAACTTTAGGAGGCGCGAGCGCATGAAGGTTAAGTTGTAACTCCCACTTATATAAATGGAGAGGCAATGAAAACATGTTTCTTAGGAGTAGACACCTAACTGATAGGTGGAGGGTTTGAGCTTTTGAGGGAAGTTGGTTTCAGAACTGGCAAGGCGGAAAACTCGGCTGACTGTAAGTCTAAAGTAGCGTATTTGTTTGGCAATGTGAATTTTTTTTCTCTTTAATTTTGGGAGTGACAGATGATGAATAATGCTGTTTAGGTATAAATCTTCATTACCGGGTACCTTTTTTTTTTTAAATCGATAGTACTTTTAATGCTGATTACGAATATGTAAGAATTTTGCCCCGCTCACACTTAGTTTGGAAGTTATATCAACATACGCGCGCACCCGGCATCGTACGATGCACGTCTACCCGCGCACGCTTAGACTTTGTCCGTCGTTCGCCACTCGATTATGATCGGATTCCTTGTTTACCTGCCTCCCGCCCATCGTGGTCCTTTTTTATTTTTGCTAGACACGATAATATTAAATTGGTGGTGCTCGAGAAAAACCAACTAAGTCTAAAATTTGGAATTTTCAATGTTCAAAAATTAAAATTCTAACGAAAATTAGAAATAAGATATTGTCTTATTTTTTCACATATGTATAACGAATGATAGAATTGATGTTTGACTTAGGTCATTTTACCCATAACACCATGTAATTTTTTTGAATCTAGGTATGACAAACTAATTTTAGTAAATAAAGATTTAATGCGCTTATTCCGTATAACGGGCGTCCATTATGACGAGAGCGGCGATCAACGGATGAAGTACCCAGCGGGCACAGGTAGACGTGCGGTGCCGGGCGCGCGCGTATGTCGATATTGGCGAACTTTAAAAGTCTGTAACTTCTAAGCTAAGTGCTAGCGGGGCAAAATTTTTACACATTCGTAATCAGTATTAAAAGTACTATCATTTAAAAAAAAAAGGGTGTCCGGTAAATTAGATTTGTTTCGTTGTTTTTAAGAGGATTTATTAAGTAGCATACTAGACATGAGACGTAATATGAGTACAATTAAAATAAATGTGATAGCAGAGGGATACCGGGAGTATGAGCGATAGATATGATGGCTAGCACCGAACTGATTAATATTAATTGCGCTTTAGTGATGACACGAGGTGCAATGATTATCTTGCCTACAGAATACTCAAATTACATGATACATAAACAAAGATAATTTTCAAAGTTCAAGTAGCTATAAATTTTGAATAAAAGAAGTATGTGGATTGCTAATTTGTTATCAGCGTAAAAAACACCGTAATTTGACAAAAATAAAAGCGTACTGATAAAGTATATTTGTTTCAATATTCCATTTATACCATGTGTAGATACTTACAGCAATAGCAGTAATATTTACAACTTCCATATTATTCACTTGAGTAGAAAATTGTTTTAAAATCAGTCAATACAAAAACATTGTTTATTAAAACTGTGTTGTTTACATCAACCCACTTCTAAAAGATTAATAAAAACATTTATAATTTTTTTAATATTCCATTCAATACATGCACTTTACTTACTTGCAAACGCCATTTACAACTAATAACTATACATCATAAGAACACCAAGTCCATTATTGATTACTTGTTTAAGTAAAATTAAAAAAATCAATAAACTAAATAAGTAACTTTATAGTTGAGTGTATGAATCCAATTTGGCAAAAACTACATTATTAAGTTTTAAATAAATAAATAATAATTAGTTATCATTATAAAATAAATATAATACTTTTATATAATATATTATACGGTAAACCTATACAAAATACTTTATGAAAATTAATGATTAGATAGTAGAACTCCCTAGCCACCTGGCGGCATCTCTTGCCGCTTGCGCACCTTGCACTTGATATCCATGTGTTGAAATCGATAAGAAAATGGGGTTATATGATATTGTTCTACGAGCAATTTGTTCTTATATTATGTACTTCTGGCAAAAAATAATACAAAATATATAATATATTTCAAGTTGATTTTACTAAAGAGACAAAAACTACTATTGTACATAAAAAATATAACTACGTTGTTCTCTTCAATGTTTTTTAGATCTAGGTAATTTTGTAGACTGTAGTAAATACACATCTATTGAATTTGACGTAGTGGTGTTTGGTTATTTTGAGTTAAATAATATTATCTATAAATTTTGATGGTTACACCTCAAAGAGCCACTCGACACGGAGCCACTCGACAAACAACCACCGAAAATCGACACGGAGCCACTCGACAAACAGCCACTCCAAGGGTTGTGCTACAAAGAGTTGTGCTACCAACATATACAATATTTATAAAAAATGCACGATTATTATTCGTGTATGTTGTGCGGCTAGTATTGTTTATTTAAAGGAGAAAACTTGTACATTTCATAATTAATGCAATAAGGCTTGGAATATTTTTAATTCACTGTGTGACCTGTCTCCTGTGTTAGTTTCTTTTTCTTAAATATCAACTTATATTTGACTTACTTTTATTTATAATGATAATGATAATTAATATCCAACAAAATATTGTAAGACCACTATCAAATATAATGACTTATCAGATATTCTCGATATAATGGGCAATGGCCGTATATCATAGACTTATAAAAAATATAACATTTTATTTAAATACATTGCCGAGTTCTTTTCGAATTAAACATTTAAAAATACAGTTTTGAATTTTTTTATTTAAGTTATAAACAAATCAGTTTTTATTATTGAAATTTATATAAATCAAAAACTTAAAGTATATGAAACAATATTTACAATATTATATTATAGTGATAATTAACCAACAATAAATTGTCTCTTGAGTTTGTAAAAAAAAAAATGTTTTTCAAAACATACTTACACGTTTTATAATAAGTAAAACAGAATGTTCATTGATAAAATTTCAATGAAATTATACTTTTTTTAAAATGATTGAATACCGATGTATTATACCTATCTATTTAAAACAATACATCGTGAATACCTCATACGAAACCATTCGATACCCGACAATAAAATTAAACACATTTACTTAAATACTTTACAACTTCCAATAACACAATAATAAATTATAGTTAAATATTATTTAATTTTGTATTATGTATTTTCATATCTGTGTATTAGTTATCATGTTATATATATGCCGAAAATAATAATTCCGAAAAAATTTAGAACCGAAAATATAATATCCAAAAAATATTTAAGTCGAAAATAATGTCATTGAACGTATTTTAGCTGACACTTATTATTTGAACCTTATAAGTTATAAATTATAATAGTATACAAAAACAGTGTTACGCGCGCCGTGTGACCGCGTTGTGTCTACTGTCTACACTATTTTTATAACATCTGTGATAAGTTCCATTTGTTATTGAAATATACAGCTATTTTTTATTTTGTGGTTGACATTTTTTTTCCATATACACTACCAATGCTTAATTGTTAGTATTTGTTTATACTTAGCTACACAATAGTAAATTCAAACAGGGACAACCTATGGTAGACTGGCGCCTTGCCGATGCTGAATAAAATGTTTATACATTAATGTATATTATTAAGCCGGCAGTAGTTTTTTGGGGTCTAAAATAACCGGTATGGTTCTTTTGGATCTAGATATGATACACTCATCAGACTTATCACTAATGTCCAGCTAATATATAAAATAGATAACTCCAGTTTATGTGTAAACAAGGGCAGATACAAGGGGAAGGCTGGAGTTAATAGTTAATAGTTTGTAATACAATCTATATTAAAATATAAACCAAGTCAAACTATAACGATAATTTATGAGTAGTAAATTCACATGACTTCTTAAAAACAATCCAAATTAACTCAGGTGCTATAATATAATATACATAATATTATCATTGATTATCATTAATCAAAGATATTATGTATAAATGCACAAACAACAAAAAAGTTCAAATGTATTAAATTTATATTTATAAACACAGATTTCCTTATTTCACACTATTATAATATACAAGTTAATAGTTAGCTATAACTCAAATTTAAGTGACATGTGTATTGGCGTTATCGATTGCATTATCTAGATGTTTATATACGTGTACTTAGAGTACACAAGGGTTTCACAAAATAATTGATACTTACAATTATTAGTGTGTGATATTATAATTATCGTGAAGTGCGTCTCATACGATTAAAAAGTTATTAATGAAAAGTTAATATTACTAAGTTTACTATGGTCAAGTTTATACAAACTAACGGTTGGTTACCAACTGCGGCCATCCATCACTGATCTTAAATAATTATAAGATTCGAGTTATCAAGAAATAAATTTAATGGGTCAACACGTTGACGGTAGCCAGTACATAACAAAAGACTGCAAGGAAATAGTTTTTATTAAAAAAATTGATGATTTTACTATTTTATCTATTTTTATTGTTATTATCGGCAGTAATAAACATATAAATTATAATATTAATCATTTGTTGAATAAAAACTAATAGCATACGTATTATTAACACAACGGATTTCATACAAGTTATTTTAATATTAAAGTTAGAAACAATTGTACATTATTTAAGAAAAATACTCAATTTAATATAATCAAGTTGATAAAAAATGTTTACTAAATTATTTCCACTTGGCTTAGTTTTTAAATTTTGAACATCGTTGGAAAAATAACAAAATATAGGTAGAACATTACAAATAATTATGGTATTAATCTACTTTACCGGGCACCCTTTTTTCCGATTTTTTTTTTAATCGACAGTACTTTTAATGTTGATTACGAATATGTAAAAAAATTTGCGCCGCTCGCACTTAGTTTGGAAGTTACAGACTTTTAAAGTTCGCCGAAATCGACATACGTGCGCGCCCGGTACCGCACGTCTACCCGCACCCGCTGGTTACTTCGTCCGTCGATCGCCGCTCGATTATCATCGGATTCCTCGTCTACCTGCCTCTCGCCCGTTGTGGCCCTTTTTTTTTTTGCAAACATAATTTCATCACGCTAATATTTGACTTGGTTGGGATTTTGCTATAGCGAACAATGAACAATTTTTGCCTCGCCCTATGCACATTGTTGAGACTTGAGGATGACTTAGTAGTAAATATTAATGTTTTATCGCGCCCCGCTAATATTATAAAGTATTACGGGCTAATACATGTTAATATTTTTTTATAATTTGGTTATTCATTTATATTTTATAATTCTACCTAATACATATTAATACAAAATAAATATATAATGCTGTTTTTCTACAAATTCTAATGAAAATTGTGGGGGGACACACACATCCATACACACACCTATATATATATATATATATATAGATAATAAAAATAGAAATAATTAATCAGATAAAAAAATCCAATTTATATAGATGGCCTATGGGTTATAACATAAAGTTAATGGGTGGAAAATATACACATTTGCGAATTAGCTAAAAATGTACTTTTTTAAAATTTTTATATCGGTATTTATCTCATTCTAACACTCTGCTTCTGAGTTTTTAATAATTAGTTCTAAATCAATAAAAAGTAAAAACCTTTATCAAATACTTTTTAATTTTATATATAATATATACATGGATCATTCATTCCGATACTCATGAAAATGCACACAAATTAAACAATGTTTAATAACTTTATTTGTTTTATACTTAAAATATATTTGTAATTTAATTGGAATACATGAAAGCAAGTTACAATATTATTCAATTAATATCGTTGCAATATAAATATTTTTTTTACCTATGTATTATATTAATAAATAAGTATCAATAATTTAAAAATGTATAATTATTTATAATAATAGAGTAAAAGTATTTAGAAACATAATAATTATTAATAATAGCATGAGTTAACAATAAATCCTGTGAGTAAATTGAAATGTTTACAATGAACATAGTAACAGTGTTTACTATACAATAGGAGTTTTAATAAAAATATATTTTTTTCTACAAAGTTACTCTGCTTTTATTTTTATTGACATACAATTTGGAAATTACATGTTTTGCTATTACTCCGTTAGAATACGTGGTGTCGGCCGCACAACATACACAATATAATCGTACATTTTACATAAATATTGTACATGTTGGTATCTCTTCGGGTGGCTGTTTGTCGAGTGGCTCCTTGTCGAGTGGGTCCGTGTCGTGCTCCCAATTTTGATGGTTTATAGCACTGTCTTGGTTTATAATATGAAAATAATTGTGATGTGATAAATAGCTATTATCTGATTATAATCAACACGTGACAAATTTAAATTTTCGACATTCGTGAAACGTGATTCGATCATCGAAATCGATATAATATTTTTATAATATTTTACATTACCTATTATTTTACTAGTATAATAATTTGATTTTTATACACGTTACTGTGTTAGGCAATGCAAACATGGCTTTACCTCCTTCTTTAATGTGGGAGGATTTAAATTTGTCAAGTCCGATACTTAAAACAATCAAAGAAAATTTCAAATTTGATCGGATGACTCCAATACAGGTAATTAGTTAACTCTTACATTATTCTTGTTGAATTTACAAGTTTTATTAATATTATCTTTTAATAGGCCGAATCAATAAGGAATTTTTTAGAGAAAAAGAAAGATGTGGCTGCAGAAGCTGTTACAGGCAGTGGAAAAACTTTGGCATTCTTGGTACCAATGTTAGAAATAATTTTAGTAAGTATTATTTTATTAATTGTTAAATTTAGTTAAAAACTAACTATCCTAACTTAAATTTTATATTATCTTAATCTATTATTAAATTTTTTAATATTATGTTTTTGCATTTAGAAACGTAATGACCCTTTAAAAACACATGAAATTGGAGGTCTTATAATATCTCCTACTCGAGAGTTAGCTACTCAAATTAGTCAAGTATTGGCTGAATTTTTAACCAATATTGAAGGTATTACACAAATGTTATCACTTGGAGGTAACTCTATAGAAACTGATGTTAAAGCATTTAATAAAAATGGAGCAAATATATTAGTTGCGACACCGGGTCGTTTAGAAGATCTATTAACACGAAAAATACCAAAATTCAATATTCAAAGATCTTTAAAATCAGTGGTATGTTATATGTTTTTACTTTATAGTATATTATATTTGTTGTTATCTTTATTTTGATCAAGTTATTTTTTTAGGAAATGTTAGTATTAGATGAAGCAGATAAATTATTAGAATTAGGTTTTGAAAAATCAATCAATACTGTTTTACATTATTTACCTACCCAAAGGAGAACTGGGCTTTTTTCTGCTACACAAACAAAACAGGTTGCTATGTTGGTGAAAGCAGGATTGAGAAATCCTATTATGGTTATTGTTAAAGAGAAACATTGCTTAAATCCTAAAAGGTAAATTTTTCAAAATAAATATTTGCAATTAGTGCATGTTTGCGATTAAACAAATTTTTAGATTCCCTTTTAATGCTTCGTACTAAATGACTATTTTCTGTAAATATTTTTATATTTACAAAAAAGCAATATAATGTATTTGTTTTGTTGTTTTAGCAATCAAATAGAATCTATGTCTACACCATTAACATTAAAAAATTATTACACGATTTGTGAAGCTGATAAAAAGTTGGCCTATTTAGTGCAGTTTTTGAAAACCAATGGATTAAACTTAAAATACATGTTGTTCTTATCAACATGTGCTTGTGTTGAGTATTTTTCTATAATTCTTCAAAGGTAATAAATTAAAGAGATTTTCTAAATGTTTATATTTATGCAAAAAAAAAAAACCGATTTAACAAATTTTTTTTAGATAACTAAATATATAATAAATCAGCAAATTTGTTAGTTAATTTTTAAAAACATTTTTTTATATTTTTCTAAGTTGTAATAAAATTTCAGTTATTGCTTTCTATGACATATATATTTAATAGTTACACGAATAAAACATAATATAACTAACATGGACTATTTTTTTTAATAAAAAATATTTTTCAGTTTAATCCCTAGTATAAAATTATTCAGTATACATGGCAAAATGAATAACAAGCGATACAAAGTATTTCAATTATTTTGTGAAGCTGAAAAAGGTAAGGTTTTATTGATGACTGCTAAAAAAAAACAAAATTTAATTATAACATAATTTACAAACCACAATTCTTCTTTCTTAGTTCCATTTCTAAGATTTAAGTAGAAATGATTAAATCACTTTACACTTATTTTATATGTGTGTAGATAAATCCTGAAATTCTCACTTTTATTCTATAAATATAAGTTTTTTTATATCTAAAAAGTAAAAATGTTAATCTTTATTACTTAGGGGAGGACCTATTGAATTTTAGAATTTTAATGAAAACATGAATAGTGTACACCCTGATTAGCAAATGATTAATTTAAACTCTTGTATTTCTTAAATTATAATAAAAAAAGTATATTTTAAAAATTTAATAATTAATATTTTGTTTAGGAATATTGCTATGTACAGATGTAATGGCTCGAGGCGTTGATATACCAGAAGTTAATTGGGTAATCCAATATGATCCTCCTAGCAATGCTTCTTCGTTTGTTCATCGAGCTGGTAGAACAGCTCGAGTTGGTAAAAATGGGTCTTCATTAGTAATGCTTATGCCAAATGAAGACGCCTATATACATTTTATTTTTTCTAATCAAAAAGTAATTACTTTCAATTAGATATAAAATTTTAAAAGTAAACGATTTTGGAATTATTTTTTATTATTTAAATTAGGTGGTACTTGAACTTTTACCTCCAATTAAAGTTGAAAATGTTGATCAAGTTGTTCAACGAGTTAGGAAACGCCAGCTAAAAGATAGGACTGTTTTTGATCGTGCCAATAAAGCATTTGTATCATATGTCCAAGCTTATTCGAAACATGAATGTTATTTGCTACTACGTGTAAAAGGTAATATATTGTAAAAATTATTTTAAATGTTAGTATATATTATTAATTTTAGTTTATCTCTCTCTCTCTCTCTTTCTTTTTGTTTGTATATATTTAGATAATATAACAATTTTGATGTCACCCATTAAAAGTATGTGAACAACATGTTCTCATACTTATGTACATGTCCACATCAATAGATCCTATATTTGTTAAATTTTTTCTATCTATTTTGCGTCAATTTGGTACCTACGCTGCATTTAAAGTTAAAATGTTTGATTGAATTGGTTTAAAAATTAAATAATAATTTTTGTAATTATAGAGAAGTTTAATTTATTTGTTGATATGTGTCCTCCGGACTTAAAATATGTTTTTCAAGAAGTCAAAAACCTACATTGTTTTTTTAAAGTTATAACTCTAGTTTAATTTTAATATTTTATAGATTTGGAATTTGGAAAACTTGCTACTGGGTTCGGTCTTTTAAGACTTCCAAAAATGCCAGAGTTGAAAAATAAAGTAATTAGTGATTTTGAGCCTGTTGAAATTGATTTCAACTCTATTAAATATCAGTAAGTTAAAATTAAAGTTATTTAATAATAGTACTAATATTAAATAATAAACATATTATATTATACTTGATATTTTTTTCATATATAGTGATAATTATTCATTATTTTGTATTGCCTCAAACATACAATTGAAAAAAATTTCAACTTGACCTCAAATTGAGGTTTAACCCAGATTAAGTATTCAAACCCGATTTGTTTTTTTTTATCATTTTTTTATAGCTTAAGTCTAATTTTCAATATTTTTGAGATTGAGAAAAAGTCTATATCCTTTACTATATCAATAAATATATTATTTGTTTTTAGAAATAATGAAAGAGAAGAGTCACGACAAAAAAAATTACTAAGTTATATAGAAACTGGTATTTGGCCTGGTCAAACCAAACATAAAAAAGGGATGAAACCAACAGTTGCTTGGGCAGATGCGAAACAAAAAAAATTGGAAAGAAGAGAGAAACGTAAAAGAAAGAAAGAACTTCGTAAACAAATGGAATTAGAAGGAAAAGCTAGGACTAAAAAGAAGCGTGAACAAGTTTTTACTGTAGATGAGCTTAATGATTTGGCAAAAGATATTGCGCTAATGAAGAAATTAAAAAATAAAAAGGTTGGTAATTCACACAAGAGTGATCAAAACTATTATGTATTTATTCAAGATCACTTAATATATTTTAAAAAATTGGTCAGTTAGTTATGTTAGTCTAGGTTAATATTTAAGTATTTTGGTCTCAAAATTTTATCTCCTTAAATATCGTTACCATAAGAATTTAATATGACTCGAATGTAATTTTTCTTTTTATGGTAAAAACTTGAATTTTAATTTAAATAAATTTTTGTATTCATAATTGTTAAATTTTATATGGAATGGCTCGTTGATAAAAAAGGATAGGCAGCCATAGATATTTTGACATTCATTACATTACATTGAGATCAGTATAATAATTAGTTAGAGTATCAAATTAATGAAAATCAATCATTTTACTAACGATTGCCAAAAATTCTGAACAATTGTAATTATGAACATTATATTATGATACTCAAATTATTATGAGCACATTACAAAACAGGAATATTATTATTTTAGTTTGATTATAACAAAACATTATATAATTTTATTAGACTTTTTATGCAAAATTACTACTAGAGTTTAGTTAAGACCTACAATAATGATTACAATCAAATAATAGTTGAATAACTTCTAAAACTAAATGGCAAATACACGTGTATTCTTAAATGCACATACATTATATTAACATTGTATGTAAAATAGGTACACAAACTTTTATTACACGTATCTTTAAAATAACACAAATAAAATTGTAGCCTCTAGTTAAAACAAATTTTTTTATTTTCAATGGGCGATTTCCTAAACAATTACCAATTTAACTAAATTATTATTTATGATAAACATCGTTAATTTTAGTAAAATTAACTATACTCATATTATTTTATATGTACATTAAAAATGTTTACAGCAAAGAAAAAATATTAATTAAATATTCAAATTATTATAGGACATTTTTAAAAGATTATTCTTTTATTGATTTACTTACATTAGTTTTTCCTTTAGATTTTTTTTCTATTTACAGTTTACCTATCACTTATTTAGAAGTATTTCTCGCTGTTTTTGCAATTTTTTATAAGTTCCATTTGTAAAATTGTTAATTGTTACCTAAGACTGTATAATGATATAACTTAAACCTATACACAATATTAATATGTTATATAATTATAAACCACTTTTCACATATTTGCAAACATACCCTTATTATTATTATTATATATATATTATATATTATATATATATATATATATATATATATTACATTAAATAATCTATTTATATGTTAGATATCAAAAATGCATGCCAATTGGCAAGTGTACAAGACATTTTTATGTGTCGAAATTCACTAGTAACTGTAATTTAAAAGGTCATAATTCATGACAAGTGACAACTTACGATTGATATGTCATTTTTAATAGCCGGTGTTTACTATAACTACATAATTCTAGTAACTTAGGATTTTAAACTGTCGTTGTAATATTACACAGTACTAACCATAATTAAAACAGTGAGCTTTTTGTACTTATTTAGTTAACTTAAGTATTACATTTTGGTTTCAGATATCTAAAGAACAGTTTAACACGGAATTTGGAGAAGTATAACCTAATATATAACTGTTGAAATCATGATTATTTTATTGTTAAATAAAATGTTTAAATAGTGTTTGTATTATATTGTAAACAATTTTTTTAAATAAAAAAAAAAATCGTAAAATTGTGTCACAAAATATTTATGTATTATTATTGTTACTTTTGATAAACTAATTTTGCATAATGTTCAAAAAGCATTGAAAACTTTTTTTAAAAGATGTAGTTATAGAATATAGAAGTACATCTGTACAAAATTAAAGATAGACCTGTCTTCATCTACATTTTGGCTCAAGTCCTAAATTTGTCCTCAGTTTTTGATAACATAAGAGAATGATATACCTTCTATTTATTATGAGATTTAGAAGGGATAATTTTTCTCAAAATCTTAATTTTAAAATAAAGAGTATTATTACAGTTAAGCAGTTGTTACGAGTGTTATATTTTCATGTTCTCTATTTTTAAACTAGTTCGCTATTCTCTTTCATTATTTTATTGTTCTAAACCATCTTATTTTGTCTGTAGTGGTCAAACTCTTAAAATTCTGATAAATTTTTAAAAAAAACATGCTACATGATATACATTGTCGGCTTGTTAATTGATTCTGTAAATAAAAAAGTTATTCTATTAGAAATATTAATAAAAATCGATAACATGCAGTGTATGGGATTTTTTTTAGTGCAACGTAATTGAGCTAAAATTTTCAGTCATATTATATAATATGTATCAACAGCAAAAATAAATTCATAATGGTGATGTTTGAGCCGTCGAGCAAAAGTGGCGTAAGTGTTGAAAATTTTAAGTTGAGAAACAAAAGTTTAACTGTAGAAATGCTGTATACATTTTGAAAAAAGGAAGCAAAGCAAGACTAGACGCAGGCATTAAACTGAATGTAGAACTATTGCCTTGTGGTGTCAACTAGATTGTGTGAAAACTTAACTTCCACCACTTATGCTCTTGACGGCTCATTTAATATTTGTTTTTAATCTTACGTTGTGTTATTTATTATTAACAAAAGTATGATACTAAATTTCTGCCTACGCTATCCTTTTAAGCGTAAAAAAATACGTTTTTTGAAAAAAGTAAACATTAACTTTTTGTATTTACGGTCAGTAAACTTTTTAAAAAATGTAGTTTAAGCTTAAAAGTGGTCCCGACCGGTAAAATCTGACTTCACCGTCGTTTTTAGCGTACAATTTTTAAAAAATTATTGTCAATAAACAAAAATTTGAAACATATATATATATTTTTTTTAAATGATCGTTAATAATCATACTGTATATTATTTAATATTTGTTTTTGGTTATAATTTGGCATTATTAAAATAACAAATAGAAGGGCAATATTCAAATTTGAAAAGAATAAATCAAACACAAGTCTAGTTCAGATATTGGTATTCATAAATCATAAATAAATCGGAAGATATAATGAATGCAAAAATTATAATATATTATGTTTTATTTGTGAAATACTGAATATGAGTTATTAAATTTTTAAAACTTGCGTTCGTTATGGGACATCCTTTACATAAATAAAGGTAAATTATTTTTTTTTTAAATAATTGAGAATTAAAAATTAATTAGTTTGCCAATTGACAATCGTCATTACTCATTTCACATTTGTTATAAATATGAATAATATGAAATAACAATTTATAGCAAAACGGACAAGCAAGTAGCAACGGTCCGTGTTTCATGGAAGAGAAAATTCCGGGAAGAAAAAATGGTTGGTGACGTAACGTCCGAACTACGCTACGCCATTTCACTTGGTATTAGCAGGCGGCCGTCGGCGTTCCCTTTTCGTCTCGCGATAACATAAACAAACATTTATTTTTCCTTCTTCCGAATTGTCGGCTCCATAAACCGTATTTTCTCCCCAAATGCTCAGGTCCGCACCAGTAACGTACCCCGTATCATAGTAACTATAAAAACATTAACGACACAACTAAATAGACTCGCGAAATAATGGGCGACAATGACAAGCTGAACATCGACAACATCATATCGAGACTATTGGAAGGTAAGTCGCCTCCGCCGACGCGCCGAAATTAAAATCGTTTGATGTCGGTTGTCCGTCATCCGTTTGTCCATTGTTTCATTTTGTTATTGCATTATAATTTACTCTTGTGGTTTGTCGTTATTTTCTATAGTACGCGGAGCCAGGCCTGGCAAAAACGTGCAACTGTCTGAAGGTGAAATTCGAGGGCTATGTCTAAAATCCAGAGAGATATTTCTCTCTCAACCAATACTGCTAGAGCTGGAAGCACCGTTAAAAATTTGTGGTGAGTATCTCAGAAAATTCAATTATTATGTAATTACCGAAATTACATTTTATCACGTAAACCAGGTATTATGAGTTTGTTGTTGGCGCTTTTTGTGCAAAAACACACTATGTTTGAATTTAATTTAATTATTGTGCGGTTTATGTTATTTTATTTCCGGACCTAAGTAATCTTATAATAGTAGTTAATAACTGATATTTTAGATTGATTCATTTCAATATAACATGACTCATGTTGTACTTTGATAACTAATGATGCATATATGTACGAGGATCGTTCGTAAAGTAATGCTTGTTTATTTTCAAAAAAGCCTAGTTTATTTTTTTCTACTAAATTTGTAGTTTTTGTTATAAATACATTAACTACATTTCAACTACATGTCCCCACATTCCTCTTTACTAATTCTAATACATAAAGGTCATCTTAAAAATTCTCTCCTTAATTTCAAACAGTTTCTTTGATCTCTTCATCTGTTGTGAACCGTTCTTTGGCTAAGCTTTTTTCAATTTGGAGAAAAGCCGAAAATCTCTTGGTGCTAAGTAAGAGCAGTAAGATGCATGGTTCAAAAAGTCCCACCCAAACGTGTTGAGAAGATCAGTTGTGGTACTAAACAAAAGAAAGAAGGTGTTGCCTACTACATGACAATTTCTGTCTTTGCACAGCTAGGCTCACAACTGGCTTGGCATCAGTTGATTTTCACATTTTTTTCAAAATCAATAATGCTTTAGCCGGAAAACGATCGACAATTAATGAAGCGATCAAAGAAGATGTTTGGAATTGGCTAACGAAAATGGTTGAAGACACTAGAATCTGATCCCTGCTTTGACTATGTTAAAAATAGTTGTATTTATTTACTACAAATCCTATACATTTTGTAGAAAAAAAATTTGATTTCTTAAAAATAAACAGGCGTTACTTTCCCAAACACCCTCGTATTATTTATTCATTATATAAAACTTGTTTATGTAAAATATGGTAACATAAGTTTGATGGTACTTCATGTTAAGCTTGTAAGTTAAAGAAACAGCTTGTGATGATTGCTAGTAATAATATTATCTCTTAGTTTCGAAAGGGATTTTTCTGTAGTGTAGATGATATTGTTAATACTATTGATTTTAAAATATAAAGGTAAGCTTTACTATTTACAAAAATGGTAACATTCATTATTTTTATATGGGATTCCTCCTGGCAAAAGATCCCATCTACCATCCACTTGTCTGTAAGCGAGGGTACCTCTACTGCTAGCCCAAATTGATTTCCGGTTTTTTTTGTTTAGCACCACTTATCTATATATTATAAAATCAATGACCATACTCTATAAATAGATTTATCAAAAAGGTATCGCACATCTCTGACATCATGACCCTAAATAACATTTTTTGAAAGTCTACCATAAAAATTATATTTTTGTAAAAAACAAAGTTTTTCCCTAGAACGTAGAAAGAAAGTTAAGTTGTAAGTTAGTATTGGAAATTATTTTCCTTCTGCTGTTAATAATATTCTTTTGCCTGGAAAAAGTCAAATGTAGTACAGTTATTTAAAATTTATATAAAAATAACAAATATCAACAGGCAGTAAAAGGGTATTTATTTATTAATAATATAAGAATCAGCATTATAATAACCAATATTAATATTAATTAGTAGTGTTATATATTTTTCAATAAGTATCAGGAAAATGAATAAATATTATCATATAAGCTACCAACGTTTTTGTTGTCACCTAATAAATACAAATATATATGCATTGTATCACTTTTACTTGAGACTTCATTATAATATATATTACTAACAAATTATAATTATTGTTAATTAGTGTTAATTATTTTGTGCTTTAAAATATTCTTTATATCTACTTGATAATATTGTATTTTTAGGGGATATTCATGGTCAATATTATGACTTGTTGCGACTATTTGAATATGGCAGTTTTCCACCAGAATCTAACTACTTATTCTTGGGTGACTATGTAGACCGCGGAAAACAATCATTAGAAACAATATGCCTGTTACTGGCGTATAAAATAAAATACCCTGAAAATTTCTTCCTGTTACGTGGCAACCATGAGTGTGCCAGCATTAATAGAATATATGGTTTTTATGATGAGTGTAAGTTACATTATATTTAACCATCTTAGTCGGCATTAACCTAATTTAAAGTATAAATTTACTTTCTTAAACAACGTAAATTTATTTTTTTTAAGTATGTGTAATTTTTTGTTTTACGTAGTGATGAAAAATGTATTACTTAAAACAAAATATTATTTTTTATCATTGTCTAAAATATTAAGGATAATTAATATGTTTTTCATTATTTAAAAGTAAAATTATTACTCTAAATAAGTAAATAAAATAATATTTTATTCTATTTTAAATTTTCCTAGGTAAACGGCGATATAATATAAAACTATGGAAAATATTTACGGACTGCTTCAATTGTTTGCCTGTGGCAGCAATAGTCGATGAAAAAATATTCTGCTGCCATGGTGGACTTAGCCCAGATTTGCAATCAATGGAACAAATTAGGCGAATCATGAGGCCGACAGACGTGCCTGATCAAGGATTATTATGTGATCTACTATGGTCTGACCCAGATAAAGTGAGTTTTTTTTAATTTTTAACTGGCCATAATTAATTATTAATTTTTGTTTGTTTCAGGATACTATGGGCTGGGGAGAAAACGATAGAGGTGTTTCTTTCACATTCGGTGCCGAGGTTGTGACTAAATTTTTGCATAAACACGATTTCGATCTCATATGCAGAGCTCATCAGGTTTGACAATAAAATATGTTATTCATCTCTTGACTATAAAAGTGATATTGTCATCTTAAATATTTTCTTAAATTAATGCTTGTTAATCTTATAGGTCGTGGAAGATGGTTATGAGTTCTTTGCAAAAAGGCAACTGGTTACATTGTTTTCAGCACCAAATTACTGTGGAGAATTTGACAATGCTGGAGCAATGATGTCTGTTGACGAAACATTGATGTGCTCATTCCAGATACTAAAGGTAAATAAATAGAGATAATATTGTAGACATTAGATTTATTTAGATTTTTTTTTTATAAAAGAACTAAGTTTTTGGTTTCCTAATATAGATTTGTTGTCCTTTTAAGTGGAAAGGTGGTTTATAGTAATTAAGTCAGATTCCCTGTTCACCTGTTAGTCGTCTGATTCTTAAGATAAAAACTAGTTATTAAAGGCAGCCTGGATGATCTATTTCTACAATAAGTTTTTCATAATGCATTTTAGTTTCTCAAATAGTTGCCCCCTCCCAAAATGATAAATACATTTTTAAAATAATTTATTTTTTATGAAGACTGATAGATTCAAGTACTGGAGGCGTATAAAATTCTATGATGCTAATCAATCTTTTCCATTGTCCAATTAGTAAGTGTTATTGGGACAACCATATTAATCCTTATCCCCTTGACTGAATTGTCTTGTCAGTAGGTCTAATCTTGTTAACAGCACGTACTTATAATAATTTAGAACTTCCAATGATCACCATATCTGTCCAGTGGCCACTAATTAAACATTATAGTTTAAAAATAATATTAACTAAAATGTGACTTGTGTTATTTGCTTTAATTTTGATTGGCATGCTTAGTTTTAATTAGTTCTATATTTTTTGGGGTAATAAATGATAACTACGTATGTTTTCCGATTATAATATGTCTTTAAATTTAAACAAATCTTAATTTATTATGGTTATAACTAAATGTATTTTAAAAGTGTCATACTTGTGTACTAAACTTTAAATGTTATAAACTTTAAATTAAGAGCTCATGTTTAGGCAGGGCCTAAATGCCTTCACCTTTTAAATGTATGGGATGCAACTTGATATAGGAAATTAAATGTAATTAAAATACAATGTGCATACAATATTATGTGTTCAAAATCGTTGCATTCGCATGTGAGCGAGTATAAAAAATCGACCCAAAATATTAAGTATAAAGGCCCCCTCTATCATAATTTTTGAAGTACGAAATACATCCCTATTGCCTTGTTTACACGTGACGAGTGTTTGGCCGAGACAGTGATATCGGCCGAGTACTTGACTATCTAAACAACACAGGCACATTACTCGGTCTAGTAAATAGAAACAGTTTCTATTCGCTCGGCCAAGTAGCAAAACAAGATGCTCGGCCGATAACTCGTCTTATGTAAACAAGGCATATGTAATGTTATTTGTTTTACTATTTATTATTTTTTGTTCATTGCAAAGAAATACATTATTTATATTTCACTTTAGAGTAGCAAATCGAAATATACATAATGCATTGACTATATTTAACTATATTTAATTTTCATAACTCGATTATATTTTACATAAATAATAAGATAACAAATTTCACTGCCCACACAACGATAGCCTACCTTAAACTCAATCTAGTCTGGCCCTATAAACATTATAATTGTATTTTTGAAATATTGTTTTTAGTAATAAGTTCTCTAAGTTTTTTTTTTTTAATTGTTTTATTAATTTGGTTTTATGTATAAAATTTATATATGTATGTATATAAAATGGAAAATGAATATTTGTAACACTGTTATTTATATACTTAAAAATTTGCTTATAACACATAGTTTTATACATTATAAATAATTATTGTGTTTGATTTTTGTTTTAGCCGGCAGACAAAAGAAAATACATGTATGGAGGGTTGTCCTCCGGTAGACCAGTAACACCTCCCAGAGGATCTGGTAAACAAGGAAAAAATAAGAAATAACCAAACTTGATGCAATATAAATTACTATATTTAGGTATGCTACAGCAAAGAATAATTTTAAAAAATCAATGTTATTTATATAAAGTATGGAAAAACAAATGAAATTTTTTTTATATAGGAAAAAATTGTATCGAGTAGCTAGTTAAAATAATATTGTATTTAAATCATTATGTACCTTTAAACTCCAACTTAACGTAAATCCCAAGATCATTTTTATTAACTTTAAATTTGGAGTATTTTTTTAATAGTTTAATATTATTGATATATTGTATTTGCACTTATTTTTCCAACTCGTCATTTCTTTTTTTTTTTTTAGTTAAGGCCTTTTAAGTTATATTTTATTTTTTTTAACTTAGTTTTTTCCATACATTTAAAACTGCATACAATTATATAAAAAAAATGACGTTGCCATTTATTCGGATTAGTTACTCCAAATAAATTGAAACAATAAAATGATCCACTTAATAGTTTTAATTATTACCAACTCTTGATAGAATTTATGTTTTACATGGATTGACACTCAATTTTCATCCTTAGGTATTTTTCTATATAATTTTAATATTTTCTTTTTTATCAATACTTCTGTTTAAAAAAAAATATAGTTTATGGTTATTACAATTGTTAGGTATCTAATTATTTAAAATTTTAATTTTTTTTTGTGCAATAGTAAAACAAAAATAATAATCATTACATCAGTATTTTATTTGATATTCATATTTTTCTTTTAAATAGAATGAACTGTTATTCATATTATTTACTATTTTCAGTGTTGTAAAAAGTACATAGAATGCAAAAACTATGAAAAATGGTGTTGAATTGTGAAAATCTGTAGAATCCTTGTAAAACTTCAAAATATATTGTAATGTACATTTTAAGTAAATTTGAATTTCTAGTATGGTGTCAACAATTGATTATACTGTGTACCTAGACTATGAATTTTTAGTAAAAAATTAACATGACAAGATTTTGTACAAATTTGGCAACATATTCTTAAATGTAATAACTTTAAACACCAGTGTTCATCATTGTTTTTTTTTTTGTACAACATCTTATTTACCATTTAAATTTTTGAAATACAACATTCAAGTTGAGAATTTCATATAAATTTCACTTTGTTTTTGGGAAAAAGAATATATGGTTTAAACCTATATTCTAGGATTTTTATTAATGCCTACGTGAAGAGTTATGTGATATCCATGACCAACACGCTAACAAAGGGTTAATTAATAATTTTAGGGCGGTAATTTAGATGACATAATTGTGTCTTGTGTTTGAAAAATTATTCTTAGAATCGAAATGTGTTGTATTTTTTAAACTTGATAGTTAACTGGCATTTTAACAAAAACATTTCTGTGTTGTAGTCAAATAAAGAAAAACAATTGGGGGCCACAATTGGTCAATGTTAATTGAATGTAGATACTAGACAGTTTACAGGTTATTTCTTACTCTTTTATAGTATAGAATAAATTTGACTTTTAAACATGTATTATAATATTAATTAACAAAAAGAACTCGTTATACTATTGCACGTCTAAATTGTACATTGAATTTAAGATATGTAATTTTAGACATTTCACAAATGCATCCTTGAGGGGGCTTTGGCTCATATGTGATAAATGTGCTCTAGTAGTAAAAATAGCAATAAACAATAAAATTATAATATACATTTTAGAATATAAAAAGGTTAAATAAATTTTGTTAGAAAGATGAAGCCATTTCAATAATGAAGGAGTCAATGAATGATAAAGGTGTTAACTGATATTTTTTCGAAAATTAATTTTATTGCATGAATATAAGTGTTAGTATATTTATAGAGCATCCCTAAATTGATATTTTTACTCTTATATTTCACTTTGCTAAGTTTTTTTATGTATTAAATATTATAAAAGTTCCACAGTTTTTTAATACTTAGTAGTTCCTGAACAAATTCAAAAATGTATGTCAGTTAACATACCTTTATCCACTAACCCCTTCTATTATACGAACTAAGTTCTACATTTTTATAATTAGTTTACTTTAATATACTAGTCTTTGTATACAAATACCTCTATATACATATAACATAGGTCATAATTTAGTGTAAGACTCTGGATAGGACGAGTTTTGTTTAACAGCCTCCCCCCCAAAAAAAAATATATTTTTGGGACGACAGCTGTATTATAAAAATGTATTACATGTACAAATCTTATCAACTTCTGGTCAAGACAATTGTTTTTACAATTGAATCTTTTCTCTACTATATTTTACTCAGCGACTGGAGTGCCAAGTTAAGTTTTATGGGTGTTATGTGATGTGCATACAAATTAAGTTTCGATCTATTTTTGATAAATTAAATTAATGAGTGAATATTTCTTAAAAGATTGTTTGTGCGATTATTATAAATTATCAAAGTTTCTAAACTGGTGCATTAGTTTCTTGCAAGTTGGACTTATGGCTGATACCATATATAGCTCCAGATTGGTTTCATAAGTATGTTTTGAAACAATATTGATGCTAAGTTTTTAAGTAAATAGTTGATGATGTAAGAGTGGATACTTGCCATTTGGAATGTGTTGTCCAAGTGAGTCACTCTTCGAAATAAAGAACAAGGTATTGTGATGTATGGTTTTTCTTTAAAGTAATATGTATATATATTTATATATATGATATAAAATGTTATATTTCTCCTCTACATTGATATATACAAAACACTTAAGGTATATTTTTAAAACAATTTGTCGATTTCATGTAAACAAAGAGAAACAAAAAAATGAGTTGCACAAAATTAATATATTAATTCTAAATTTAAAATTATTTAATTGGCTTATTGTATGACATTACATTATACTAAGTAGAGAGATTTCACAGTTGGGTTTGACACAATAAACGTATGGGCTCACCTTATAGTGAAGTTGGTACTGACTACCATCGCACCTCTTTACAATAAAAGGATAACTTAACTGTGGCCATAAATAATTACTTACAACTTAGATAGTCATATCCTGTTGAGAAAATGGGGCACGTCTATCATGAATATCAACTGCTCTAAGGGCAAAGTAATATTTATGTCCTGCAGTAAAAGCTGCTAAATCACATGCCATTGGTAATGGCTTTGCTTCAATTTCTCCCATTTTTTTCCACATAGAAGAATTGGGTATGGCTTTAGTTTCTTGACAAGCATACAATTCATACAACTTAACATCTGCCATGTTGGAAGTTAATCTTAAATCCCATATTAGTTGTACTTTATCACCATCAACAGTTAAACTTAATTTGGGTGCTGGAGGGACATTTTTCCATGATGGCTGACTGTTGTGAGGTGGTACTTTAGGCAAAGGTGGCGGGTATTTCATCTTTAATCCTCTAATATCATTAACACCATAAAACATCAAACCAACATTTGAATTTTCTTCTACACTAGTTGTAATTTGTGGTGGATTATGGGTTGTTACAGACGAGTGAGCATTATTATTTTCATTTGGTGTAGTTATAGCTTGTAAAACTGAATCAAGAGTAGGGCTATTTACGGTAAATGGATCCGGTGTACTATTTGTTTCAACAATAGAATTGTATGTTTCCGAATTATTGTTTTCATTGTTAGAATTAGTAGTTATTGATTGTGGACCATGATTATACATATTTTTTGTATTGGGTAAAATATCACTATTTGATGAACCTTGAACATCAATAATCTCAGGCTGAAGTTCTTCACAATCGCTATCTGGTTCGTGTTTTATATAAACTCTTTTAGACTTCGGACAAGGCCTATTGGGCATCTTTCTAGTGGTTGATACATTCAAGGTATGCTCATCGCTTGGCTCAGTTTTTTTAACAGAGTTTAAATTACGTTGCTGAATATTACTTGTAAAATGTTCATAACCAGTAGTTGCATCTTTTGAATCATCATCTGATATAGTAATAACTTCTGAATTACGAAATTTTCGAACAATTGGGGTAAATCTAAAAAAAAAATACAATATTTTAAGTACAGCTTCAATGTAACCATTGATTATAAATATTACAGATAGCTCAATGGTAGGTTTTATGTTTGTATGTCGATTGGGACCAAAAAACTGGCCAGTGAGCAATCTATATTTATAATCAATGAAGAAACCTTTAGCTTTAATTAATCATTTATTCATCAATAAATAAAATTTATTAGTTAGTTAATGGTTATTCAAATGTACATGTTTAAAAGGACATATTGAAACATGTGAAGGTGAGTTACAAGAAGTGATTATATAGGATAGGTATTTATGAATATAAAAAATTAAGATAACCTTACTAGATTCAATGGCCTGTTAAAAATTAATTTTAATGTTTTTAAGGGTGGTCAATATAGTTAAAAATTATATTATTCCTACCCTTTACAATTGCTCTAAATTATTTTATAAAAACTTACTACCTTTAAGAGAATACCATACTCATTGTTTATAAAGGGGTTCATTAATAGGTTAGTACATATTTCTCTTACGTTTAACGTCTGTTATTCCCACCGATTGGCTGCCGGTTAAAACAAAATAATTAAATGTAAATTTAATTAGTTGTTTTACTTACAATAAAGTTTTAAAACAAAACTATATTTTATGAAATGATGACCAGTAAGTTATTTATCTTTAGAATAATTAAGGGTACTTTTTAAAAGTCGAAAAACAACCTGTGTATGTGTATATATATATATATATACCTAGCATGATCTTATTATAGGTTTCTAAAGACGTGTTTAACAAACTAATATATACAAATTTAAAAAAGTAATGACAATTCGCTAACCATTAGTGTATACGTTAAAGACGCCATTGTAACTCATGATGTTTAAAAAAAAATATCAATCAATATGGTATACTTACGTATTGTTAATCATATTTGGAGTAACTTTAATGCCAAGCTTTACTGCATGATTAACTTTTATTGCTTGGGCAGCTTCGTTAGTTCTTAAATCGTTCTTGAGTCGGCTGTAAATAAATTCTAGTTCCTTTACTTTCTTTTCAGCTTCACCATATTGGGTCTGCCATTTGTTAACCAGTAACAAATTGGCACGGCTTACAAACTTCTCATTTATATTTTCATTATCAAGTATATACTTGGTAACTACATCGCTTATTACAGTATCAAGATCAGACATAGTCATCGTAGTAATTGTGCCGTTGAAGTTAATTTTTATTTGAGGTTCGTTTAATTCTTCTAGTTTTCTTTTTTTGACTTCTGTAATATTATTTGTGTCGGAGGACATATCAGTTTTACCTTCACAAGTATCTGAACTCGTTTCCATTTTCACAAAACCAAAACGTACAGAATAATAAAACTAATTATCAATTATCTTCAAGAATGTGAGAAATTACTACTTAGCATAATGCCTGTGCACAGGTTGTACTCAGGTCGAATGCGTGTGGTCAGTGGTGTAAACAAACCATATGGTATTACTATGATATGAAGTCTCCAAAGTAGTGCTACCACTTCAGAGAAACAATTATTACTTTTTTCCTTCGACGTCTTGACCGGAACGCTTAACGCGGTGTTGGCCAATGCTTTCACACGTGTTTCAAAATTCGAATCTCGGACCTCGGTCACTGAGCATTTCTTTCGGTGGGCGGGAAACCGTCTGGAGAAAAAAATGGCCACCCTACTGGTGCGGAAATGAAAAGAGAAACCACTGCACGGCGCACCATCATCCACTTGGCCAGGGTCGTAGAAAACAAAAAACCTGTCCAGCTCCATAAAAAGGTCCTTTATGCTATAATGGCCAACAATTGCATTGTACGAATTGAAAACAAAACGTATTTAATATAAATTCGGATTTCTTTTTGCAAATATATTACTGGTAATTTTAAATTAATATTAAGTTTCAATAGAAAATTGCCTATTTTTTACTTATTAATACATAGGGGAAAGGACTATAATTATTTAAAAATTAGGGATTATTAGAGAACCTATTTATGCTAGATTGCTGTATAGGTACATATATATATTTTTTAAATAAAATCCTCAAGTTCTGTATTTTTAAAAATGCTTCACATTTGCTTGTCATTTGTTGGAATTCTCCACTCTTCGGATGGATTATAGACTAATTAGATAGGTATAGTAAGCATCTTTATAAGTAATAAAAAAAACGACGCCTTCGCAAAAAAACCGTTTGAAACAAATAAACGCAAGACTTTCGATTTATATATTGTTAGAGTGGTCCTTAAAATAGCTTTTGAGAATTTCGACCGAGACATCCCATTAAATCGGTTCCAAACATAAATAATGAGCCACTGAAAATCTTAGTCATTATTTTTGATGTCAACACGTGCCTGCAGACACTTTCTTTTTAATGTACTAGATTTGGTCATACATGCAGCTCAAGTCTGGATCCAATTTTTCAAATAACTTTTTTTTGGACACATGTATTTTTGACGCTGAAAACGAAGGTGAAGTCGGATTTCGGTTATCGAACTTATTTTTAAAGTTGGTAGCAAAAAAAAATTATTATTTATTATTTTTTTTTAACGCACTAACTATTTATTTGTATATTTTAGTCTATAGGGATAACTTTTGGTATTTGGTTGTACAACCAAATCACTTAATTATTAATATGACGATAATATACAATGAAATAAGTAATAAATTCAAATTAACGGGAAAAAAATTTATCATTACAAGAAGTTAGCTGTCCTGCCTATATTGTAACCGGAAACGTTTTCTTGAAAATGTTATAGGCCTAGTTTGAAGTCTTCTTCAATTCAGTGGTTTTAACTTCTAGGTAGTACTGACTACTGTAGTTACTTTAAAAATGACTACTATATGCTATTCCCCTGATACGGCCTACTTTACTTAATTTTAAATTATCCACAAATTCACATTGAAGTATTCAATAGAGTTAAATTATTAACACTGTAAATTAGTTCCTATAAAATTTGACGATCGTCTAGACTCGGGTCTCTGCTGTGTTTACTTATTTTGGTGTTTGCTGTATTAAAATTATAAAAATTAGTCTTATAATTATATTTGTAGACAGTAGTAATAAAACTACTCTTTTTTTTTTTCAAAAATAACATTCAATGTGAATTTATCTCACCCAATAAAATGTTGGGTATATTATGTAAGATTCTTTATTACAAATTTATCGAAAAATATAAAAATTAATATGTTAAAAAAATGTAGATGGTTTTACTATAGGAAATAGGTTATTTATAGACAAACAAAATTCGCAATTGTGTTGGCGTGGTTAGTGTTTGTTGCCTGTTGGTCTACCTAAGCAAAACCTAATGTTATTGTTAAATACATTTTTATTCAATTTTATCAATATTTTGAAGTAGGGAATTATTATTATTATTATCCTTAAGAATTTGTAAGTAAATACATTTTCTAACAATTTACAACTTGTTATAACTGAATTAAAATGTTTTTTATTTCTTTTTGTTGTCACTTTATAAATAAAAAATATTCTTAAAAACAAACAAATACATAATTTAATAAAGTATTTAACTTATTTATTTAAATTAACAATAACAATAATAAATCGACTAAATTTACATTGATTTTAAAGGTATTAATCCTAAAATTGTCATTCCTATGCTTAGAACGTTTTTAGCCCTATTGAATAATAATAGTCTTTGTTCTGCAAGTGGAGTAACAGAATTTTTAACATTTAAAACTTTTAACGCTCTGTTAATAGAATTACATAGTCTGAATAAATAATTTACTAAAATACAAGCTTCTAAACTCTGTCTGGTTTCAGCTAAGATGTCTTCAAAACTAAAACAAAATTAATATAAATGAAAATCCCAAAAAAGTTTAAAATGCAAGTATATACATACCGACATAGTTCTAAAACTAATTCAATAGCAACAGGATCTTTAAGACATTGAATATTGACTTCATTGGGTATTTCTATATTAGAGTTCATTTGAATTAAACTTACTAAACGGCAATGTGTGTATTGTAATTTTATACCAGTATCCCCATTTACCTTAAAATGCAAAAAAAATTTTTTAAAAATGAAAACTAATTTCTTATTTAGAACTAATGAGTACTTAATAAAATATTATAACATTCAACATAAGGTTATATGAAATTTTGGTAGTTATAATATTTAAAAATGAGTAAGTAAAAGTAAAAATGTATTAATTGATTTTGGAAGGAAAATATTTAACTAATATAATGTATTATAAATACTAATTTATAAACATAGATACGTCTAGATATTTTTCACAGGTCGTGCACAAACTTAATTAGTATTTGCCTTTGCCAGATACTAAAAAAAATGATTAATGACCATTTGCACTGTCTATACTTAAAATTGATTTATTTATTAGTTACTTCAAAATGGACCGTGGCCTAAAGTACAGATATATTATATAGAAATGAAACATAATAAATACTAAATTAGGAATAAACAATACAAATCTAAAAGTATAAATGAACAGCGAGAGTTTACTTGGCTCAGTAATTCAGGACAGTCGATAAACCCCTCAAATAGTTTCTATAGGAATGATTGATTTGCAAGAACATGCCTATCTGCTAAGGACTGTAAACCTAATCTTATTATTATGGGTTCTTAGTTGTGAAGCTCATTGTCAATTTTCAATATATAAGAAGCAAAATTTAGAAATTTTAATATTCCTGGACTCTATCCTTATAAATTCACAGTTCATGCAACAACACGTCACTATGACCCGTAGACATACCTCTGTCTATATAGGTTGGTAATTACTAATTATGCATAATCCTCTGTATTGAAGACAAAATCGTAATAATTAATAAAACAAAAATTGAACTAATTGACATAAGCTAATTTTAGTATTTTTCAGAAGGATATCAACTTAAATAACAATTTGCCAAACATTTTAAATGGTTGATTAACAGTTTGTATAATTACCTAAATTTTCATTCATTATTTAACCACACTCCCTCTGCAGTCATCAATTTTAACATATATAAATATATATTAATAAATCAAAATTTATTTTGTAATTTTGAGGGACCAACAACTAAATTCTGACCCAGGAGCTATATTTGTAAACGAAAATTGGGCCGATAAAAATTTTTCCCCACCCTAAGAAAAACTGAAATGTTGTCGCCCCTGAACTCGAGTGGCTCATTTTGGGCAATTGCTGCTTCTTCCTAGTATAAGATTCCCTAACAATTTGCTTTAAAAAAATAAAATATATCTGGACTTAACTGGAGCCCCTAGTTCCCTGTAACACTACTGATTATTGAGGAACACACTTACTTGTAACGCCGATTCCCAAGAAAAATTGTAATCCTTTTTACGTTTTTGTTTAAGATCATTAATAATAATTGCTGATACACCTAATATATCTGATATTTCATTCTCATCTTGATCGTTTAATTTAGTTGCTAAAAACATAATTAAATTAATACCAAAATTATATATATATATATTTTGAATGAACATTTTTTAAAATAATTTTTAACAGAAAAATGTTAAACGTTATAAAATTTAAAAAAGTATTATTATGATTGAGTTGAAGCTTTCACGGGTTGAAATATCACGTGGATGATTTTCGGATATAACCATGTCAATGGTTGTTAACTGACTATTCGGACTCTTCGCAGAGTCCATCTTAGGGTTGTCACAACTGTTCCGCTGCCGTGACTGTACACTGTACGGTTAACAACCATTGACACGGATATATCCGAAAATCATCCACGTGAAGTATTATTATAATAACGTTTTTTAAAAGTATTAAGAAAATCTGAGTATAATACACTTACTTTGAGAAAATTTTCGTCTCAAAGTCATTATGGATTTTGCTTCATTTAGAAGTTCGTCTAATAATACTCCTTCACCTTTTCTAGAACGCATTCCATGAATTCGTCCAAATGGTATGTGCTGAACATTGATTTTTGGATCAATTTTATGCATAATAGATTTTAGTTGATAAAAATGTTTACTTTGAGTACTATCAACAATATAAAATAAGTTTTCAGAATTATAATGTTCATGACGTCTAACTGCAGCAGCAATATCTCGCGTTAAATATAAAGTAGATTTATCATTTTTCAAAACTGTTGTCTCTTGGTTGTTACAATATACTATAGCAGACCCATCATCTTTGTATTTTAAAATACCTAGATGTTCGAGTTTTTCTAAAATATCTTGTATACTTTCTTTAGCGTATTTAGATTCCCAATCATACCAATCAAATATAACACCAAGTCGTTTATACGTTTTTTCAAGCTCTTCAATGGTTATTGATCTAAAGTTAGTCCATAACTGAATGATATCTGAAGAAGATTTACTAAATTCAAGCTCATTAAATATAGATTTAGCTTTAACATGAACACTGTCGTCTTTTTCTGCCATTTTATTTGCAAGTATATAAGCTTTATGCAAGGATTCTATTGTAAAGCAACAATGAGGGTCTTGTTTTTTGAGTAGTTCTAAACCTAATATTATATAACCAAACTGTGGACCCCAATCACCCAAATAATTTAATTTTATAACTCTGCCGTCCATATATTCCATTAATCTGGACAAAAAATTTCCAATGATTGTAGAACGAAAATGGCCTACATGAAAAGGTTTTGCAATATTGGGTGAACTGAAAAAAAAACCTAATTAATAAATGCCTTAAAAGATCAATGTTTAAGATAAGAGTTATGTGTTTATAAATAACTTACCAATTACCTGAATTCAATAATATAAGGTTTCTTATTTAACAATTCAGAAGGATCAACTTTTTTAACTACATCGTTTTGAAGGACATTTTGTAAAAATTCATATTTATTCAAATGTATGACTAATGTATTTGAATTTATTGCAGTATCATGTAATGATTTATCTGAAGTTATGCTAGTTAGTAATGAGGTTTTGTTTTCACTTGACTGTTTCTTTAATACATCCAGTGACATGCGAAATCCAATACTATCTTCTGTAACTCCAGTCCCTATTTTCAGGTTAATCATTAGGTTATTTATTGTATCTGGCGTTTTTTTATTGATTGCAGTAGCCACCTAAAAAATACAGTTTAATTAGAATTGTTAACAAATTTAGATAGTATATATTTGTATTCAATTTTCTAAAATATTAATCAAATATAATTTTTTCAAGTATACATTTAAAGCATACAAATTAAACTTGCTTAAACAAAATTATTGCAAGATGTTTCAGACTAAAACAAAAATGTTGGGTTGTTAAATATTATTAGATTCTATTTTACTAAATTCCATTATATGTACGTTTGACTTTTTTTTACCTTTTCTGCTAAATTCCTTTTATATAAACTATAATATGTCCTTAAAGGCATATTATTTCGAACCATTTTTATTCAGCTAAAATCTCAACTAATGAAAACTTGGTGTCGAAATGTTTAACACATAATATTACTTGTAATTTTAAACAAAAATTAGTAAATTAATAAAAGGAATAATAATTATAATTGATACTATATATTAAAATACACTGTCCACTTCGATACTCTTAAGCCTGTATTATCATTTAACAATCATATCATGTTCAAAAAAAAAATCACATCGGTTTCAATTATGTGATAACTGATAACACTAGCAAAATCCATGCTGGCCAACAGCTACAATGTGAGCGCTGGTTAATGGTTAAACGTTACTTAGGTTATGATAGAAAAATAGTACCTTAATACTTTAATAGTTAATACAATAATAAACAAGTTTACATTTATTATTATTAAAAATAATATTTGAAATTTATATTTTATATGGCATGATATAAATTATAAATAATCATTTGCATAATAACGATATATTTTTTCACATTGGTTTGGTATTTAGAAGAAATTATAGTTTTTTTGTATATATTTATTACTTCTTTTTTAAAGTATAAAAACATTAAACTATAGTAGCGCTCAACGCTACAGCCTAGTGCCTACACGCTTTTTTTTATAGTGGTGAGTTTAAGCGTAAAACTGGTACTTTGATTTGGTGAGGGGGGAGGGTTGGATTGTCAATTAGAATTTAGAACTCGAAATCTGTAAAATCGTTGTAATCATTGGTGTAGCCAGAAATTAACCATTAATACAAATTATTCATTGATGCCGAAAATGATTTCACAAATTTCCTGTTTAAAAGTGAACAGTATCGCCTGAAATAAGAGACAATTTATCTTTATACTGCCTACTCCGATTCTCCCACAGATCACAGGTGCAACAGAGTTATTCCCCATAAGAACCCCCGTAATTCTTGAAAGTGTATCTTCTGGTTATTCTATACTGCCCTGGCCCCTGTGGTACATCTTGAATCTAGCTGAAACTGATAAGAGGGTGAGAACAGCTGTCAACTGAGAATATTATTAGACAGAATACCGACTACATTTTGCATACATGTATTACCTTGAACTTCGATTAAACATATTTTAAATCGTGTCCACACTCTAGTCTCTACAGCTAGCTGCATAGGGTTGACCGTTGAGCTGTTAAAGCGACATTCCATATCTTAGTTGCACAGTAAAGGAACTTTCAGGCATGATTGCCCGAATTGAGATGAATTCTCAGTAAAAGATTCGTGTTTCTGGGTAAAATATTTGAGTTGTGTAAGCACTAGGCTGTAGTCTGTACTCTATGTAAATAAGTTTTAGAAAAATGTCAAAACGTCAGTGGTCGAAATTATTGTTATTATAGTGTAATTATTTATTTTTACTGTCGGAATTATATTGTGTTCTTAAGATATGGTTCTTCGCTAAAATGCATTGTAAAATACCATATTTCACATAAAAAGCAAATTTTCTCCCTTCAACAATCGACAATTGACTTAATTCGTTTTTTAAGTTTGCTTTATTTTTAAAAATTTAATCTTCACTTATTTTATTTAAAAATTACGGTTGTGCGAGAGAAGCTTGACCCTGACCCTTGCGCAGGCGCACATGATTCGAAATTTAGCGCCTGCGAATTAATAAAAAATAATCAAATAAGAATCTATGTTGTTTTATGAAAGATTAAATTTCTTCTTGAAAATAAAAACTTGTTACATTTTTATTTGTATAATAATTTTGTAGACGTGACAGCGATCTACCGGCAAAAAATGTGACGCCTAATTGAATAGTGATAACCAAAATTTGTTATTTTACCATTTTCATTATCAACAGCAGTTTAGTCGACGTCTAGTTTGCGAGTCAAGTGCCGTGACTCAGTGTCGTGGTAAATATATTTTGTTTGAATACGTGCATTTAATGCGATATTTTGAACTAGTTAAAACGGTCGAGTGATTAAGGAACGACACTTTCATCACTTTCGTGAGTTTGAGTTTTATTCTGCTAAGTGTTACTGTCGTGCCGCCCTAAGACGTCTATAACACAATGGCTGGTCAAACGATCCAAGATAGACTATTGGCGGCTAGACATAGTTTAGCTGGACAAGGTTTAGCGAAGTCTGTGTGTAAAGCTACCACCGAAGAACTGATTGGACCCAAAAAGAAACATTTAGATTGTAAGTATTTCAGACATCTTTATCTACATGACCTATTATTTAAAAAAATATTAACTAATCGAAAACATTTTTTTAAATTATTTTCCTAAATTGTAAATTTACTGTCATCAAATTTTTTAATTTCCCAATATTGTGGGTCCTACTATTGTACAAGCCCACATTATCCAATAGTTTATAATACAAGACACGTACTTGTACATCTTTAGATTAAATTGTTGTTTGAATGATTAATCGAAAACAAAATTGTTCTTTATCCCTTCAGCTATGATTTGATTATTCTTGATTAATTAATTTTCTTAGTTAATTGGTTAATTTTATATTATTTATTATTATTAAAAACTATTTATATGCTTTTTTTGTTTTTTATTGTATATTTTAAAAAAAAATGATTCTTTATTTATTGAATAACAGGTCATTCCTAATTTTTATTATTTATTCATCGTTCAAAGCTTTTTTGTATAACTCTGACAAGACATGTAAGACATATATCAACAATAATTTATTGTTTATTTCGTTTACATTATGTACGTGCGTATGACATTTACCCACCTCAGGCAGCTTAGATTATTGTTTTGTTTAAGTGGAACAATATTACCATTACAGCTGGTTGCTAACCTAATGCTATCTAAACTTTACCTAATTTTAACTTTTTTAGAGATGTAATGAAAAAATTCTAATCAGCAGCAGCTGAAAAATAGTTTTATAATAACACTACGAGTGTTAGAAAAAATATGTAGGTATATTTTAAACAATTATATTATGAGAAATAAAATAAGATGTATCAATAAACATTAGTCAATAGAAGATGAAAGAGTTTCAATAAATTGTTGTCATTGTTTATACTACTTCATCTTAAGAGTATGTTGTACAGCCAATTTTCTAACGTTAAAACATACCTATGCAGAATGCATTTTACTCGTTCCATGATGATTTTAGAACAAAAATATTTATAACATAAACGAAAGATGACAAGAATTTTGGAGACAATATCATATCTTTTTATTTTTAAGTGTTACTTTCAAAATCGGATATGATATTGTCTTTATAATGTTATTATCTTTCGATTTCTTAATAGATGTTTTTGCTCTTAAACCAAACATCGACTTAATAAAACACATTATTCGTAACTATGTTTAAATTAAAAAGTTTTTAAAATCGTTGACAAAGATTCTGTAATCCGAAAAATACATTAACTATTTAAAATTAGTTAACTAATTTCAAGCTTTAAATTAAGATTTGTAAAAAAAATGTCTATACTTAACTTCTTAATAAAAATAGGGTGTATCGCGTCCTCTTAAGAATATGCCATACAAATTTGGAACTAATTTGTCTATTTTTAAAAAAGTTATAAAGCACTGTATTTTTAAGTTAAAAAATTTGAGAACTTTTTGTGTGTTTTTCTTGATATTGAAGAAGGGGTGAATTTTTAATTTTTTAAGCTTAATTAAATACTTATATGGTATAATTTCTGATGAATTTCTACATAAAAAATAAAAATGGTTCAGCGGTTAAGAAAATACTGTAGGTTCAGACGCACAAAGAAAAAAAAACGCACAATTGTAAAAACAATACTTTCTCAACTATACTCCGAAGCTAAAAATTAGTGTAGTCGTTACCGTTCAGTTACTGACTCATAATACATTAAATTAAATACATTAGAAAGAATATTTCACAATGGTATTTTGACACATTTTCATACATATTATGGAGATTTCCATAATATCAGATCTGATTGGTCAGATTAAAGTGATATACGCTGTGTACCTGAAATGCCTATGTAGTATGTATTATTTCCTTAATTGACTAAACATTAATTATGATTCAAGTGTTAGCATAACCAGTACTAGAAGTTTAAAAGTATTCATTACCCAAAATTGGTAGATGCCTGATCGAATGAAAGAGCACTTCATCATTATGGTTACCGGGTAATTGACTTTCTTGAGTACTTAATCGTTTAGACTACTTAGCCGTTTAATGTATGTACCGGGTACCCGTTATGTTTCGGGTTGTCAAGAACCAAGCTGTTCCAGGTATTACCTAATTAGGGAGACCCGGTAATGTAGGTGTACGGGTATTACCGACTAAAAGTTAAGAGCTCTCATAAATTTATATCCACTACTTTGACATTTTTGAAAACAACAAACATTTTTTAATACAGTTTTTTATTTTGTTAAATTATTGTTAATAATTAAAAATATGTACAATATGTGAACTAATATATTATTATTATATTAAATAAAAGTGAATAAACTTAAAGTCCTTTGAATAAGAAAAAGAAAATAATATAATTTATAGCCATCATCATTTTTTAAACAAAAATTTTCAAGACAGACTTCTATACTAAAGGGTTTCAAAAAAATGTTTTTTCCGTGTTCTACCCAATATTATATTCCTTTAAATAAAAAGAAAAGTGTCCTGATTCTTCTAAATTAGTTGAATGACAGAAGTTCTTAATCTGTTATTAGTCTTGTGGTGAGTGCGGCATGGCACTCAGCCGATTTCATTTTATTCATAACATAATATGTTTTTAGTCCAAAAGTACAGAATGTAAAATTACATTTCTGTTACACATTAAATAATCGAAAACTCATATTTAAATTTCACTGTTTTTATGGATCGTTTAAAAACAAAATATGGTTTTGTATTTTTATTATAGCTCCATCATATTAGTAGAACTGAAAAAAAGAAATATCATGTTGATGTGATCTGTTGAGTTCAGGGTTTTTTTTTAGTAGTTTTTTTTAGTTGACCTTGACAACATTTAATCCAACAGTTATTGGTTAGGACTTAGTTATCAATTATCAGTTATCACTAATTAATAGTTACTATATTTTCGAAATTTTATGTTTTTTCAAAATTATTGAGTCATTTAAATATATTATTCTTGAACGCAGATGAGAAAAATTGTATATTTTATAAGTATGCACTAAATCATTTTTAGTCTTATACCAAGTTTAAACTCAAATAATATATCTAAACTACAGGTGTTATTAGTACCTATCCATACTTTGTTTATAAAACAGAAAAGTTATAATGTTTAGATTTGTTATTAGGTTATTATAGAGGAATTTCAAATGTTTTGCTTACTAATATGTAGGTATTGCCACTTAGAGCTTATTTGTTTAATAAGTTAATAAACCTAGTTTGTTTTAATGATGTTGGATTAACAAATATGTAAGTAGTGCGGGTTTCTGATTGTTGTAGGATTAATAATGACCCATGACCCATGAGTTATAATGGGGATAAAGTAACATTCCGAATAGCTATACACCCTGTTGAGTATTGGTTAACTAGGTCATTGGGTACAAAAAGGGAGACGACAAAGTCCATGACCTTCCGAGTATTGAACATTTTCTTGACTTCCCGTTTAACTTCTACATAGCATTGTGAAAATGTTCCGTAATTAAACCGTGTTCAATAATAATTTATCTTGATTATTCTCAATAAAAAAAAACAAATTTCTTAAATTAACATAATGTACTTTTTGATGTGTTGGTTTTTTTTTTGTACGATACTAGTATACTATGATTTAGTACGAATCTATACATTTTGTTGTTATAATGCTGATTTTTCACCTAACTTAGTTGGCAGCATGCCAAATGACGTGGTGTTGACGAAATAAGTCTCTTTTATAATATTTGGTTTATTTGGAATATTATGTAGCTTTATCATTCGTGTCCAAAACGAGTAGCCGCCACCAACTAAGATAATAATATAGATTATCTTAGTTCATGGTATCCGCCCATGATGAAAAACATCCTTGTCGTGCGATACTGTCGTCGGACCAATATAATTAAAAAACTACACCATAAATATATAGTCATGTACCACAACATGAAACAGGACTCCAATGGTTGATAAAAAAAAGTAGTCATTTGGGATTTTTTAATAAAATGGTGTCCGTATGGTATTTTTTTTTATATTATCTTGCACGGATACTCTAAGGCGGGTGCGCCGATCGTTATTGCGGCCGGATGACAATTAGCTACAACTACGTGTTTTATAATATAACATTGCCCATTGGATAAATACCAGTATGACGATTGAGGGAAAATTACTTACCGGTTCATTGATATGAACTTAAAATACAGACAACGACGTCAAACTTTTGGACAATACAAATGTGTACACCATTGTTGGTACATAAAATATATGCATGTATTCGCGTGTATATGTGTATATATGCGTGTATATGCATGGTTAGGCAATTTCAACAATGAAATACTTTATGCGATTCGTATTTCGAACGGTCTTCAAAATAAAACTCCCTGATAAAATGATACTATATTTTTAGTCCATGGGTACAGAATGTAAAACTATAATATCTCCAATGTACATTAACTAATCGTATTTTGTAATCAGAAACTCGTATTTAAATTTCATTGTTTATATGGTTTTGTTATTTTGTATATGTACTATAGTACTATCTCATAAGTAGACTGTAGAACTGAAAAGAAACATGTAAACATGATCTATTGTTAGAGTTCAGGGTTTTTTTTATTGGGGCTGATGTGTGACCTTGACAATATTTAATCCAATAGTTTCTGGTTAGGCATCAATTATCATTTATCACTGATCACGTAGTTTATTTTCGAAATTTTATGGTTTTTTTTTTAATTTTATAAAATATATTATTTTTCAATAGTTCATTTAAATAATATATTTATATTCTTAACCACAGTTGAGGTCAAAAAATATAAAATCCCATATCGTAAACAAATTATGACAAAATTGAATTGTTCAATAACAATTGTATTCTACCACTGTAGAGGTTTTTAAATTGTAATTTACTAGTTCCATTATAAAATAATACAATACGTACAATATAAATCAAAATGAATTGATGTCCGCCGTTGTCGATTATTGTCCGCCAACAACCTGTGAAATATTAGTAGAAAACTAAACTGGACAACAAGTCGTTTCAGTGCGTTTCTAGATAATGATTATTAGCTATACAGCTTTATACCTTTATAGATGGTTAATTTTACTTCGAGAGAAAAGCCCAGTTCTTCAAAAAATTCGAGGCGAAAATTAATGGCGTTTCTTAGAAAAAATTGGGGAGTGGGGGGGGGGGCTTGGCATAATTAAACCGAAACGAATAGAAATATTATTGTCAGTATGAACATTTGAATATTATATGTATATGTAATATTATATCTGTAACAACTGTGAATAAGTGTGTAAGTCAAATTTTGGTCATAATTGACTAAGTACGCTAGGATGTAGTACGAAGTGCCTAGCACACCTTGAATAAATGTCTAACTCGTTGGACCAACAAGAAAACCTTGAGAGAGTTGTAAGTTCCTGATTATTACACGCTAACTTATGGCAGCTGGTCAGTTTAAAATCGCTCCCTTGTAAAATCACTGAATTCGACTTACATACTTATTCATTGTTGTTACAGATATATGATCCAAAATCGGAATCGTTTAATATTGTAGACTATGTGGGCTGCTATATAATTAATTGATTTTTTTTAGGCTTATTCTCAAGTTTCCAATCGGCCCTCTCCATGTATTTATGGTTTTTAATTAATTGATGTTAGATAGTATATTATCATGTTTAAACTACCAGCGTCATTAGGATATCCTATAAGTCAAAGTCCTAAATACGTTTATAATTCTACTATTCATTCATTATCTTGATAAAATAAAAAAACACCTTATGAATTCAGTAGTAGCGGTATGCTGATTTTAGACATAAATTTACTCTATTGTCTATAAGATAAATTAAAAAAAAAAAATGTATTGGAAAACCTGTAGAATTCCAGTTACTTATTACATCGGCGTGAAATTTAATATTCATACTTTATAAGTATTTAAACAAATTAGGTTCTTAGCTTCTATACGATTTTTATTTGGTAATTTCATTTTGTCAGTAGGAACGATGTTTTGATTACATAATAAAAAAAAGTTGGAAAATCACTGTTATATTCTCATATAGTATAATGTGTTTTTAATTACTTTTTTTTTTGTTTATTCGTGTATTTTTCATTAAAAAAGTATTATTGTTTTAAAAAGTATAAAACATATTTGTATGACAATGTATTATATGAATTAATAGGTCATTAAAATGTATTTAATATTCTATATTGATTATGTAAATAAAAAAACTAATATGCACTATTTTTAAACACAAAGATTTCACATATTTCCTATTAATTTGTATTCATAAATTTGTAAGTTCATAAAAAAATGATGTAGAAATCATTTTTTGCAAAGGTATTATGTGTAAAATAAAGAAGTCAAAACATATTTGAGAAATTTTTCTTGGGTTTTATTCAACTGGGCGCTAAAATATATTTATAAGTTTTGAAGTTAAGACGATTTTAATGAAAAATGTTCAATGGGGAAAATATAGCTCTATAGAACCGATTAGATAGAGATGTCCTAGAAACTAAAAATTTAAGCATTTCTTCTTTTGGACACAAACATTTCGGGGAATAGCAAACAACTTTTAAGATTTTAGAACAAGCGCCTAAGTACAACTATTTTTTTGGATTTGGCACAATTATTCTAAATTTGGTGCCATATTTATGCAGCATGTCTAATTTTTTTTTGCAAAATTGTAAAAACACGTTTTTCTTTAATTTTCAACATTTGTATAAAAAAATTCTAAACAATTTCTTATCTCTCAATGCCGAAATTTTTTTGAGTCCAAGTTGTTTCATTAAGATCTTAAAATATCTGAGTAAAAAGCATCTTTTGCATCAAATTTGAAATTTATTTAAACTTTTTTAACCGTCACAAAAATTGTAAAAATCAATGTCAAAAATATAAATTATAAAAGTCAATATTGAGTATTGACAATTTATTCTAAGCGGAGGAAGTCTTACCTAAAAATTATTTTTCAATAGTTTGAAAATATTTATTTTTGTTCAATATCTTAAAAATACTTACAAAAACAAAGATAAAACGCCAGTAATTTGAAGTAAGAGATCATAGCACGACAGAGCATATTGGGAACGAAGAGGTCACAGGTTTACAGGAATTATAGCTGAGAGTGATAAATCACTTTTAAAATAAACACTTTGATGCGAATATGTAGATAGTTAAATACAAAAATCAATAAAAACATTATAAAAGCTAATAATATGCTAAAAATGATATTTAGAGCATTAAGAGGATACTAACAGGGTTGATCGTCTGTCTGTTATAATTATTATTTTTTGGTGCTGTTTCCCAAGTATCATTATTAACAAAATAATGAAGTTTGACTACAGATTTTTAAGAAAATCATAAAAGTTTTCACTCCTTTAGGGGAAAGAGTTGGTGATATTTTTTTGATAATGCTATGTCTAAAGAATATTCTGTACACATTTGGAACTAATTCGAGTTTCAACTATTTTTAAAAACGTTATAGAGCACGGAAATTTAATTAAACAAATATGTAAATGTTTTGGATGTTTTCCTTGATTTTAAAGGCGAAGAGTGAACCTTTGGCCCTGTATAGTACCTTTTATGTATGATTACTGAATATAAGAGTTGATACATGAAGAAATCGGTTCAGAAGTTTAGGAAGTATCGTTAGTCCAGACAGTCGAAGGTATTATATAGAAATTATTTAAAAAAATATTTATAACAAGAAATAGAAGTTGCAATAATGGTAAACACAAATGACTTTTAAGAAAATAGTTATTTAAAAACTGTCCCATTAAATTATTTATCAACAATAATTGTTGATAAGTTAGTTTGTACCTAATTATACAGAATTTATTATTTAGCCTAGCAGACAAAATATGTTAATATGTGTTAATTATACCTATTATATTTAATAAATGTTAAATTATTCTTATATTAATTACAATATAAAAGCATATAATTATTATGTTTTTTATAAAATTAACGTGACATTTTTATTTGTGTTACAGATTTGATACATTGTACTAATGAACCTAATGTGTCAATCCCACAATTAGCTAATTTGTTAATTGAGCGATCACAGAATGCAAGTTGGGTTGTAGTATTCAAGTCCTTAATTACAGTTCATCACCTTATGTGCTATGGAAATGAAGTTTGTTAATTAAATTTAATAATACAATTTATACTATTTATATTTATATTTTATTTTATTTTTCTAAATGTATAGAGGTTTACACAATATTTGGCTTCCAGCAATAGTTCCTTTCAACTTAGTAATTTCTTAGACAAAAGCAGCTTACAAGGTAAATACGAATGTAGTAATCATTTTATCAATTATAGTAAAATACTTAAAATATTTGTATTTTATTTTTAACATAGGCGTGCACAAAAAGGGATTAACTTAAAACTATTTTATCCCTTTTTCATGAGGTTGTCTTAATATTCATTATTTACTTAATTAAGTCTATTATTGTACATGTTTATTTGTTCTTTTTCGGGGAAAGATTACTGGACTTATCCGGTTAGTCTGGTTTATCAGACAACTGTATTAATAAAATAAAATAAATGTATTGTATTTTTTTGAGGTTCTTATTATAGAGGCTCAGAGGAATGTGTTATACTTTTGTGCATCTGGATACTATATGAGAAATGCCTGCGCACGCCTTGTTAATAAATATTAGTTAATTATTAATAAATCATTAGCTTAAACTTTGTAATAAAAACGATGATGTTTTATTTTTATGAATGGTACAAATAGGACCCGTTGGAGTACGATCTGGTAAGAATACCGTTTTTAAACCAAAGTTAATTAAAATGTGTTTATGTACACAATTTTCATACATGTATTGCTTAAAGGAGTTTTGTAAATCTAAAGCCTTTATGTCATGCATTTCTAGTTCTACACTATACATTTTGAAATTAAAATATATCAGAGAAAAATTTATCATCATGTGTTCAATATAGTTTAGAATACAATCTACATTATTACATGCATGCAAATATTTATATTCATAGCTTTTTAAATGTAGTTTTGTGTTTAAGATTACCTGGTGTTAAGTATATTTTTATACTTTAAGTATTTTTTAAATGTTATAGGTTATGATATGTCACCATTTATAAGGCGTTATTCAAAATACTTGAACGAGAAAGCCTTATCCTATCGCACTGTTGCATTTGACTTCTGCAAAGTTAAGAGAAGGTAATTTAAAATATATTAAATATTATTTTATTATATACAGGGTGGCCCACAATAATTTCACAAATGAAATAACTATTGTTCTAGTAAATATTTTTAAGATTTTTTTTTTTTTAATAATTTATGCTCATTTGCGTTATAAGCACCACGGTTTTTATTGCACTTACCTGTTTTACTTTTTTTAAAATAATTTTATTAAAAATGTAACAAAAAAATTAAAAAAAGTTAAATAGTTAAGTGCAATAAAAAATTTGGTGCTTATAGCGTAAATGAGTATAATTTTAAAAAAATAAATCTTAATAATATTTACTAGAACAAAAAACTATTATACAAAAGTTATTTCATTTGTCAAATCGTTGTAGGCCACTCTGTATAACCATGAGTTGCTCAAGTTTTTTCTAGAAGGTAATTTATATTATACATTAAAATTTATTAGCACTACTCAGAATTAATTTGTAAACATATATGTATAATTTTTTTTTAGCAAGGAAGATGGAGTGTTACGTACAATGAATTCAGAAAAATTGTTGAAGACGTTGCCTGTTTTACAATCCCAATTGGACGCATTATTGGAATTTGATTGTACTGCTGCTGATCTCACTAATGGTGTCATTAACATGTCTTTCATGTTGCTATTTCGTGATTTAATTCGCCTTTTTGCTGGATACAATGATAGTATTATTAATCTATTAGGTATAATTTATACATGTAGATCTTTACTTATTGCAGTGTTGGGCATCTAACTACAAAAATTAAATGAATTTTTTTTTTTTTTTTTGGTCTACATTTTAAATTTAGAACACAATATTAAGTTTCTTTCTAAGGTCTTGGAAGCAACTGTCAGTTGGAAGAAAAGCATGCATTTTGACGTGACATATTGGAAAGAAAATAAAATTAATTCTTGGTTTGCCACATTAAATAGTACGAAATTTGTACTATATTTTATTAGTACAAATTATATACCCAGTAGATCGTAGTTCTGTTTAACAGAAACAATCGTTGATGTTAAATTTTTGATTAATAATAATTATTTAAGTAGACATCATTAGGGTATATAAAAAATTTTAGTTTACAATAATTGAAGGGTCATGTGGAAAGAAGATGATTAATGTCAATTTTTTTGTGAAAAGGAGCTACTAAGTAAAAATGTTTTTTCTTGCTCAAACCCTTGATAAAATGTCATTTTGTTGGTTAGTAAATTTAAAAAAATTGACATTGACGTTTTTCCCCCGTGACCCTTCCAATTATTAAATAGTTTTATATTTACTACGCATAATGTTATATATTTATATATTTACTCAGTTGAAGCTATCAGATAAACTAGAATCACAACATACAATCTCTAAAAACAATTTTTATTTTGTTCCGATAATTTAATATAGTTTGTGCTCATCACTGTACATTATTAAGTATACACATTTTTATATATTGATGAATTTTAATGGTATTCCTTGGTGTTATAGAAAAATATTTCGATATGAATAAAAAACAGTGTCGAGATGCTTTAGATTTGTATAAGAAGTTTCTTATTAGAATGGATCGAGTTGGAGAATTCCTCAAAGTGGCTGAAAACGTGGGCATTGATAAGGGTGAAATTCCGGATCTTACAAAAGTATGTCATTAAAAATAAAAATAATTTATGATTATGTGTATCTGTATATTTGCATACAAATTTAGGCTCCCAGTAGCTTATTGGATGCATTGGAACAACATTTAGCGTCTATTGAAGGAAAGAAGTCTGCAGCAAACACTCCAACTCAGGCAACTAGGTATGACATTTCAAATTATCTACTTATTTTTCTTAGATATTAATACAACTTTATTCTTGGAAGACATTGTCGATTGTTTGTATAGTATTTCAGTTATTGCTAAATGGGTATTATCATTTTATAACCACATGATAAAAATTAATATTAATAAAATTTCATTTTTTTAAAAATATTTATTAAAAATAGAATATATTAATACTTAAACCGTGATAAAATTAATTTTAATATATCAAATTTTCATATCTTTGGAAGATAGGAGTTACAAATCGTTTCTATAAGAGATAAAGAAAATTAAATGTTATCTTAATATTTAATAAACCGAAAAATGATAAAAATCGAGTTACATCCTTCTTCGTTGGACACGTCAATATACTTTTTCTTTGCTGTGTGTTGTTCTCTATGAATTAAATATACATTTTTTCTTTTTTTTACCTAACCTAGCCTAACAAGATATTTAATAAATTCAACATTTATTCTCAAATCAAATTAATCTGTTGCATTATTATGCTTTTAAATTTGTTCAATATTTTAAGGACCTAGTGCTAGTGCGGTATTTTGCTCAATAACATGTCTAATGGGAATAGGGATAAAGATACCTCATCAAATGATCAAATGTTTATAATTATTATTTTGTTTATAAGAAGATCATTTCTTTCAGGACACATAAAATTTAGAATTTCAAAATCTTATCTTTCTATTTCTGAAATAAAAAATTGTTTATATTAAAAATTACACTCCAAAACCTAAAACAAATTAACCACAAAATAAAATTGATATCATTAAAAATGTATTTTAATAAATACTATTATTCTTCTCTATGAGCTAAAGAGGCTCGATACTTCTTCCAATGAGACAGAGGTTTCTTGAATCAGCAATTGTGAATACTCTACACTGATTCCTTACCCTACCCACTTGGCTACTTGGCATCCTCATTAATTTGGCAAAATATTGCTTTTACTTTGGGTTATAAGGAAATTATTATTATAGGCCAGCACAAGTACCTATAAAAGCATTTGTAGTATCAATGTTAAATTATTTACTTTAATGAAATTCATAATAAACTTCCACTATAATAGGAACACTATCATTGATGTTCTTCATTGTGTTCCTTATCAAGAAAATAACTCGAGAGTTAGAAAAAAAAATTTTTTACCTAATTTTAAATACAATTAATGGTGATAATCAATATTTCCAGTGTGCGTAATATTGCAAAACATTTTTTACTTGGACATAATTCCTTAGGACGTTTTTTAACACCTAACTAAACTAAAACATTTTTTTTATTTGTACCAATTTTGTTTGTGTGTGTTTTCAACATTAGCCTAGCACAGTTCAAATGATATATGTTAAAATATGCTGATATTAGTGTGTGTTAAATATATGCTTTTTTACATTTATAATTAATAGACATTCTTATTTATTCATATTGACTGGATATTTCAAAAATTTTTAGAAGCCTTTTGATAATTAGTATCTTTTAGTTTCAGTGTTGTGTACCATAACACTGAATGCTTATACTATTTTGCTTGTTCCATGGTTATACGATTCTAAGGTATAAAATTTTTTAAACCAGAGGCGTACATGAAGGGAGGGGGGCGAAAGAGGCTAAATCCTCTCTTATTGCTTGTGTTTTACCTTTTATATAGTGTGTTGGTTAAATGGAAAATGAGTGGATTTTAAACAAATGCTCCAATCATTTATTTGAAAACCAATTTTGAATCATAAAGTTATTTGTGTAGGTATCCTACTTTTTAAGTTATTAAACTATTTTAAAATAATATATACAATATATACATTTTTTGTTTTCACATTTAAATTACTACTATAACTTCTTTATAAAAAAAATTAAATAGAATAGGTAGTTTTTGTAGATTTTTAGTTATAATTTTTCTTTTTTTTGTATTTGATTTTGTATTTTGTTTTTATCTGCTTTTCCCCTATCCTATCCTCGCATAATCTTGTAGCATCCATCGGACTGATGTAAAGACTGGTGTATCTGCCCTTTCTTCTACTAGCAGCTCTTTTGGAACAATAGCCCAACAAGCAGATGGTGTTGAAGAATCACTAAAACAAGCAGTTCTAGCTGAAGAAGAAGCTGTATTGAACCAATACAAGGTATTACCCCATTAAGACTATTTCTAAAATGCTTGTTTAAGTAGAAAATTAAATTAACAAATTAACTTAAATAAAACAAACCTTTTTTATGTGGTTAAATATTAGGCAAAAGTCAATAGTCCAGTTAATGGTGCTTCTGTAGCTGCAGCAAATAATCCATTTTTAGTATCATCAGAGCCCATTGTCGACTTGTTTTCATGTCCTGCTCCATCTTCACAGGTAGTATATTGTACTAATTGTTTTTTAAATTTTTGATTGAACAATGTTGTATTATATTTTAGTTGTCTGCCAAGGCCTCAGATGATTTACTTCAATTAAGTAATCCGTTTGCTGACATGTTTTCGGGATCCATGACAACTTCACAAGGAAGCGCTACTAGTACAATTGACAATGCGTCTGCCAACAACTGGATGAGCAATGGCTTTAATACAAATACCAGTAACGCTTTTGTTGATGACAAATCATTTACATCTGTGTTTGGCCAGACTGAACCGATCCAAACTAGTTCAGTTACAAACGCAGGTAATTAATAGTTTGCTTAGTATAATTATTATATACTTTGTTGTTAAAAAAAAAAGAACATTAAATTTAATATCATTCAAATTCAAATATTCCTGAAAGTTTATGTATAACTTTTAAGCTGCATATCCTGGGACATCTTTTATTTCCTCAAACATTTTATCATCGGAAACAAAACATAATGAGTCTGTTACTACGTCAATTGAAACAACTCAATCTAGAAAATCTAGTGGAGCTTCAGTACCTCCTCCAAGACCTCCTCCGCCATCCAATCCTACTTCATCCGTTTCAGACTTAACAGGTGATCTATTTCTTTCACAAAACACCCTTCAATCTTTGTATGGATCTCCTAGCAAATCTGATTTGAACGAACTTTCTTCAGGTATACAATATTATAAAATATTGTATTCACATTTCAGGCATAATATAAAGCCAGACTGCTGTTCTGCATATTTATAATTTTATGGTTTCAAGGTAGTTTCATTTTTAAGTTTAAAATACTTATAAATTAGAATTTAAAAGATTGCAAAAACTTTATTTAGTTTGAATGATTAAGGGGACATCATACACCCAAATTTCTAATGTAATTAACTACGTATGTGACTTAAATACGTAGAATGCAAAGAGAGTGAGTTTTTAGAGTAAATGTCGCATCAGATTTAAAAAAAAAATTTCTAAGGAAATAAGTTAAATTTTTTAATTTAACAATAGAATTTAATTTGTATAAAACAGTACCACATTTTTGTATTTTATTTTTTCTCTTGTATAACTCTTATAACTTATAAAATAATAACCAGTGACATGTTATGGGAGAGGAACTAAATAATAAAACATACGTGACTGCCTTGAAACCAAGTTTTTTAACATTTTTTATTTTTTAAATTTATATTATTATTAAAAATTATTAAGTAATGTTATTAAATATTATGGCCCATACTTTAGCCAGTTTAATTATAGTTTATACATAATATAACTATTTTTAAGGTGGTCCTAGTGTATAATTTTTTTCACCCCCTCAATTCTTACAAATAGGGTTGGCCAGTAAAATACTTATCACTTAACATTATTTCATGTATTTATATTTTATAATAACAACTATGGTTGAAAGACAATCGCAATCAAAATGAAAAATTAGAACCACCTTAATGCATTAAGCATGTCAAGTTATTTGTTTTTAGAAAAATAAGGCATATTTTTTATCAGATGCCAGTGCTTTTGCTGTTTTAATTCTTATACGTGTATAAATTTGGACTTTATAACAACATTCATAAAAATCGATTTTTTTTTAAATTTAACTAGGTTCGTCAGATTTAAATAACAAAAAAGTATTGACTGGAGACTTAGACAGCAGTTTGGCATCATTGGCCGAAAATTTAACCATCAATAAGGCTACACAACCACCACCGTAAGTATTTTATTCAATTTTTAAAAAAAAATTTGTTTTATAATTTAAATGTGTTATTACTTAAAAAAAGGGTTCAATGGAATTCGCCCAAAAATACTCCAAAGCCAGGAAGTGGGCAGCCTGGAATGGGTTGGAGTCCTCAACCTATGGCGGCTACAACTGGAGCAAATTACAGACCTATGGTATGTACTACTTTATTTAATAAATGAGACTTAAATCATTATAATGGAACTATCAATTGGTTTTAGATTCGTACCAATATATTTTAAGCTTAAGCTTAATTTGTAAATACAGTTGATTAGTTGTAGTTTATCACATTTTCTGTAAATTTTTATTTTGCATGTAATTATTTTTTCTGCTTGCCAAATATTGAATTACAGGGTCAAGGAATGATGTCCAACCCTTCACCCTTTGTATCATCTTATGGTCAGATGGTAAGTTAAAATAATTTGTAAAAAGATTAAGGTTTAACGCGTTTTCAAATTATTACTGCACTCTTCTTATTACTACTCTTATTATACTCTTCATATTTTCTTTATGGCTCTTTTATGGTATTGCTATTATTTTCTTAAATTGAAATTATTTTTTGTAAAGATTGTTAGTTAAGCCAATGCTGCTTGTTATTTAAAAACTACTTTACTGGTAGAAATTACATATTTTTTTATTTTTAGCGTTTATTTGTTATTATCATACGTGGACAAAATTGTAATATTTTTGGCATACCGATATTATATTTGTATTTTATTCTAACTTATTTATTGTTAATCAAACTAGTATAAGTATACTGCATTTATAATTATATTGCATATTATTCAAGTTTCATCTAAGTATACGTTGTATTTATTACATTTGTTTATGGTATATTTAATTATACTTTAAACTTGGAATTTCACTTACAAATTAATTATTTTTCATTACTTCAAACATGTAGTTATGTGTCAGAGATAAATTAAAGTGTTATATAAACAAAGTTACCAATAAATACTATTATCACCTATTAAAGAGAAATTTATGCATTTTTTAAAATTATCTTTCGCAGCTGTCTTGATTGTTGTATTTAAATAAAAAGGACTGTTCATAAATATTCAAAATGATGTTTTAATATTTTATTAAAATTAACTAACACTAATAAAAAGGTTTACTACAATTCAGCTGTAAAGTTATAGAACAAAACCAATATTATGTGATGATATCACTTTTATATTTCTCTATTATCCTTACCCGTAAAACAGATAGTAATACAAATGGACTTAGACCTTTCTAAAATGACTGATGTTTCTTATATATTTAGATAGGAACTGTTATATTTATTTGTGTTTTTTTATAAAGTATACGTCTACAAAAAAAAAAACAAATTAAACAATCAAAATTTATATGTGTAATGGAACATTGTTTTGTTACGATTTTATTATTGAATTGAAACTGGGTAATATATAAATCTCAAGTTTGCAAAGTAAGCAATATTAAATAACTAAAAACAATATCTTAACATTTTTGTTTGCGTAGATAATGTGGGTATGATGATACAAGTATAATAATATAGTATTTGGTGATAAAGTGTATTAGTAATTTTCATACAGATAGATTATTTTAGAACATAATATTTTCACAAGCTGTAATAATTACAATTTATTATATTAATTTTTTCTAAAATTATAAATTTGTATAATTATTAGTACACCTATACTATAATTTTTAATGATTTAACACGTAATAATAATAATTAAAACATGCAAAATTTCAATAACAAAAGTATTTACTTCCGAGATAATAATACTATAAAATGTCGAACCAGTTATACAATGGCATATTATTGACTTCATATGTCAATACAAAATAGGATATATTTCGTTACATAAATATATTTTTAATATTTCCCTGTGCTTAGCAATAATATTCTTAAAAACATGCTCTATTTTTATATTAAAAAATTTAGTTTCTATCACTTCTTTTTTATGTTAAGTTTTTGTTATTGCTTAAGGGTGTACAGCCCAGTTCTGTTGGTGGTAGCGCAGTAGGTGGTGGTAATCCTGGAGTAGCTGCTTCTTCCAGCGCTCAGACCTCTCAACCACAGCCGGCTATGGATCCTTTTGGTTTGTAAGGTAATTTTCTTGTGCTTTATTAGTATTTAGTTTTTCCCTTTTTTTTTAACACTACAGATGATGTATATATATGTATATATTTTTTTTTTTTAATAATATTATTGGTTTTGTTTTAGGAGTTAAAATGGGACTAAACATCTACCAATTTATGTGTGGCCAATGTATTCAATTTTAAATGATGATAAACGAAATATTATCATAATACTATTTTTGTGCCATACGTTTCATCATTGAGTTAGCAATGCGACAATTCAAATTGACTCTTATTGTTATTCAATTAAATAGTTTGATATGAAACAAAATTTGTATCTTTTTGTTAGAATTCCAAGTTGTTTGGTTTACTTTAGTTGAATTAATATTCTTACAATGCTTAAATTTGCCTTAGTTAATTTTTGAAAAATATCCAGCTAGAATTGAACTATATAATATATTTATATATATTTCTTTTTTGTGTAAAAAAAATTGTTCCTTTACAAATAAAATATGAGTTTTATAGAGATTTTAACTTAATTAAGTGCAATATAAAAATGAAATGTTGGCTTATACATATAAATATACCTCAATAATACTCCTTAATGTATTACAAAATTGTAAATAAAATACCATAATAGTTATGTGTTACATAAACACACCCATAATATTATATTCAAATATATTTTATTTATTTATTAATAAATAATTATTATAGTAATATTATAATGGCATATATTGCATTATATATATATATATTATATTATCTAGTATTAAAAATTGTATTGCTATTGTATTCCACAATGTAGTAAATTTGCTTTTAAATAGGGTTGGTTTAAATTGTATTATTTTTATTATAAGAATTTAGGGTTTTAATGAGGTTTGTATTCACAAATTTACCAAAATGTGGTAGTAGGTATTTGATATTAAAGATTACCAATATACAATATAAAACGAGTACACAACTCAACTGAATATTCTCATAGATATATTATTTCTTATTGGTATTTGGACCGATAATCAATGAAAAACATTATTATATTATATAAATTATTTAGAACTTTAAATTTCGAAATAAGTATAGAACGAATCTATCTAAAGGCAAACGGTTTTAATTTATTTATTAAAATTCCTCAATATAATTAAAAAACTACTTATAATATTATTATTACTCTTTTGAAAAATATAAATATTGTTATTAAATTTGTCAAAAAAGCTATTCAAATATGTTATTAATATAATATGTTATATTTTACTTTTATTTCATAAGGAAATCTCATCAATTTATGATTTATAATTAAACTATTTTAATTTTGTATTTTTTTTATCGTGTTGAATGACCATAATTTGTTATTATCTACCTGGCAAATATTATACTCACATTTAAACAATTGGGTACGAATGTGTAATTATAGAACTTTGAAGGAACATTATTATTGAATAATTTAGTAAAATGGGATAGTGCAATAACTATATTATCTGTTTTATTTGTCCAATTCAAAACAAAATTCTTCATATATACAAAAAAAAATGTACTTTTTCCTGTTAAAAATAAATAGTTTTTCTTAAACTAAAAACACTTAGTTCCATTTTTTATAAATAGTTAAAGTTTGTAGTTTTTAATTTATTAATAATTAATAGCTTACATCAAAGACTAAGTAAAGCTAAATACATCAATAATGTAGACATATGTTTAGTGTATACATAAATATTTTTAAAAAATGCAATCCTCACTGTTGTAATTTTTAATTTAAAAAAAATGATTATACTCACTTTTAACACCAATGATCAAAATAACATTTTAGAATAGCCACAGTTCTTTATTATTAACTCAACTATAACAAAGTTGAGTGCTACATTTAAATTGTATTTATAAAATAATGATTTAATAAAATTTTTAATAAACGAATAATTAATAGTTATTAAATAGGAGTGTTTAATTTTATTAATATGCTTTTTTCTCCATGGGAAATACAATATAAATGTATGGATAGATAGTTTAATGAAATAATAATTATAATAATAATAATATATATATATTAATGTGTTGTTTAGTTAAAATTACTTTGTATACTACCTTGGTTTATAAGAAAATATAAAGTTTAGTCATTTTTTTAATAATTTATTTTTTAAATATATTTTAGTAACCATTAAACACAAATGTACTACTTTTATTCATTTTTCAGAGCTGATTTTTTGTTAATAAATATGGCAAAAATTATTGAAGTAAAACTACTATTACCAACAAATAAAACTGGTTAGTTAATTTGAATACTTGATTCAAATTTTAACGTAATAAACTGTTGTCGTATTTATTTTATTAGTCTTAAATTACTAATTTGTTACAGTAAAAAATTACAAAACTTCTTGTGATGCAATATAATTATTAAATAAAGGTTGGTGAAGTATGTATTTTACATGATCCCATATTCTGTGAACATTTACTCTATTTATTGCATGTGTTAAATATATTAGTTTTATGTGTTGTAACCATTAATTACATTTATCATTATTACTACTGATTTTATAATATATAAGCGGTGCTTTGGAGTAACTAGTAGGTAACCAGTAATAACTGCCAGCAAAAGTACCTTGAAACTTCCTCTTGGGACTTTGTTTGTAGACGATTGAACGGATGTTAGAATCTTCTCTTGCCATCGGGAATCCTGCACACAAATGTTACTATTTTTGTGAATAGCACCGCTTATCTGTGTATTATAAAATTAATGTTATTACCTATTAAATAAAATTATTTCTATTATTATCAACTTCGTTTTAATTTTCTAATAATTGTATTTGTATAATCAATAATTTTAATTATGACATACATTCCAATTTAAAAATTAGAACTATTTATTTGTAAATTAGTATAAATTGAAAAATGTACACATAATGTTATGACTATTATTGCTATTATTATTATTGCAACAATACATGCCTAAAAGTTGGATTAAATATACACTACTAAAATAAATAATTGTGTTTTATATAAAAAAAAAAAACTATTACAATAGGTACCTATACCTTATTTTTCTATAACTTTTACCTTGTATACCACGCTTTATAAAGCTAATTAAGTTGAATGGATATCGAATAAAGGTGTGGTGATTCCAACAGAGTGGATGAGTGCAATTTAAGCATTGAGAACTGTCAATTCGAGATATAACTCCCACATGGTTGGTAGCCGCCCCGCCATTGCAAATCGTAGGTCTGAAATAAGTATAATAGGATATATCCACAGAATAAATGAAATCGGAAAGGACAATTTCAATGTAAACAAAAACGTGGTGGCCACGTTCTAAACCTGCTATAATCATAATAACTTATACCTATATTCTATACGCAATTCAAATAATAATGTATCATGAATAAAGCAGGTTAAGAATACGGCCGCCACGTTTTTGTGTGATAAGATTAAATTTGTTTTTCTTATGGCTTACTCTTTAAATCAATAGTGTTTTGTTAGAGAAGAAGAAATCCCTAAAATTTCAGATTCCTAGCTCAACTCTAAGCACTTACTAATGAAGAATATTGCAACGAACAAATTATATATTTAAAAAAAAAAAAATAACAAATAAGTGCACTAAAATTTAATAAATACTAAAATATACTATTTACTTATTAAAAAAATTAAATGATTTTTTTTAATGCACTTATATGTAATTTTTTTGTTTTAAATAAAAAAATTATTTTCAAATGCAATTATTTATTCGTACATGGCATTAATATGTATATAATTTTTTCATTGTAATAAAATAATTTTGAATTTTAGAAATTCCATAAGTTCGTTAAATTATTAAGTTTAATATTATTATTAAAATCATTAATTTTAATTCAATAAGAAAATAAAAAGAACATTTTCTGTAACTAAAAGGATCATTAGAGCTTTAAGAAAATAGTGACGCTCTTGTGTCACGAGATGAGGAACAAAAGTTTTTATTTTTTAACTCGCCCTGGAATTTGTCAAAGCCGAATTCAACACGACCATAATATAACGTCGGTCGTCGATAATAGTCTGTAACACAGGTTTGTGGGATACAATAATAAGCAAGTGGAAAATTATATAGAGTAAAAAAAAAAAGTAATGCAGTGTTAGGTACCTATTCCATAAATAAAATACAACTGTATTTTTAAAAGGATGTTATTTAAACTATTAATTTGACTTGGGTCTGGGAAAGGGAAGATAAAACCCTCTACCCAAACCCCACCCCTACGCCACTGCTTACATCTGCCTTTTTTTTCCTTTCTCATCTCTCTCAATTCCTTCCCATACTGAATCGTAACATGATGAAACTGCTCTGTGTCATTTTTCCCATCTTCTTTTACATTAGCCCACTTTTTCTTCTAACAGAAATACTCTTTTTAACTTTCTTTCCGTTATGGCCTATGTGTGTTAACAACCCCCAACCCATCCGAAATCTTTAATTCTCGTTCTGTTTCCATCATAACTCCCATCATTGGATTTATTTTACTTTTTAGGCCCTAGTTTTTCTATTTAATTAGGAAAATAATTTACTTGCGATATTTGTTTTTTTGTATTTATTATATTTAAAGTTGATTTCAACATAACACCTATAAAGTATTGTAAATGTTGAGCTATAATATTGTTCAACAAAGTCTAAAATCATTTTTAAAAAAATGTATACGTAAGATTTATAGTTATTTATTGACATTATAAATTGAATTGGTTATAAACAAACAAGATATGGTTTTAGTTAATATATATATATATATATATATATATTATTTTATGTTACAATAGATTCAGAATAAAATTATTAAAATGGAGAAACAATTAGTTTTGTTGTCAATCTAATTACACACATGACACATTTTTTTTAAATATTGCGACAAAAATATTATATCATAGAAAATAATCACTTTTAAGCTTGAAAAAAACATTATGCTAAGTGTTGAATGTTATACTAAAACAATATGAAATAGAATTTATAATTAACGTAAAGTGTATACGATTTACAGTTATTTATTCACAACACAAATTGAATTGGTTGTAAGCAAATACGATTTGATTTTAGTGTATTATACACGGTATATATTTTGAAAATTTCGAAATTTGCAAAAATAGAAAAGGAAACTAATCATGTCGTCAACCTAGTGGCTAGTGCAACCATTTTTTTCAATGTATAACGTTAACAGCTTTTCAATTTCGGACCACGCACATACTTCACATGTACGACTGTCATTCAACGTTATGGGCATGCGGTTTTCGTTGAAATAAAATGATACTTTGTATTCGTCATTATCGCTCCTAAAAAGTACAGCCATGCAGTTTGCAAGCGATGGAACCATCGTGGAACTTTTCCACTTACGTTCCTTCATGTCAATGTAGTTAGTTGACTGTAATGGAGCACTGTCTTTGGCTAGACCCAGTATAACATATAAATGAAATATGTTATGAGCGTTTCCAAAATGAAAAGCGCCATTTGGACC